TTAATTTATTTATATTAACTTCAATATGAATATTTATCTATTTCTTCCAAATATACATAAATATTCATAAAAGTTTTGCTTCGAGTTGATATAATGAAAAAAAACTCAGAAACATGTTTTATATTAATAAAATTATGATTTATTTTGTTTAACGATTTTAAGCTTCTTAGCTAAGCACTAATATATAAATATGAGATTCGATTTTAAAGAACTATTATCGATAAATTATTGTTGGATATCAATATTTTATTAAAAAAATTATATATATATATAATATCAAATAAGAAAATTAGATAGTTAATAATTATATTAATTTTGTTTAAAATAGATACATTAATAAATGAGTATAAATCTAAAAATGCCTAAAATATTAATTTAAAAGTGAATTTAAATGAAAAAAATAAAAAAAGCTCCGCGTCCGGGAATTGAACCCGGGCCTCAAACGTGACAGGCTTGAATACTAACCACTATACTAACGCGGATTCTTAATATCTATCTAATTATTTAATTAATAAAACCCAGAACATAATTTCATTAAGAGACAATAATTTCGATAATAATCAATAAAATAAATTATTTATGAATTTTAATATCAGTATCAGAAGTCCATTTATTGAAGAATTTATTAGTACATTAAATAAGACAGATACAATTTATGATCATTTTGATTATGAATAAATTCAAATAATTTCTAACAATAAGTATTCACTTTTAATAGTTACAACTAATTTTATTGGATCTATAGAACAAAGAATAGAAATGGCTTAATAATTAGTCAATCATTAAAAGATGATTAATCAAAGATTAAGAAATCTGGGTTTAAATGGAATTTTAGTTGATATATTTGAATATGAGATTATAAAAAATGATGATGCAGTAATTATAATCTGTAAAACAATGAGATTGTCTTAATAAAAAGGGTAAATAAATTTAGGATTAGCAAATTGTATAGAATTTTACACAGGATTAGAATTAAAGGGAGTGAGATAATAAATAATTATGCAAATTGAAGATTTAGGTATGAATAAAATTATTCCCTTCACATTTTTAGAAGGTATAATAAATGAAGATAATTATGAATTAATAGCAAATTTACCATAAGTTCAATAGAGTGATTTATTAAATCAAAATGGAAATAGTAATCACTTTTCTAACTAATCAGCAATAGTAATAATATATAATGATCAACTGGTTTAATTCAAATAATTAAATGAAATGAAAGATATTCATATATTAAAGTATTTAGAATTGACTTCTGGAGTTAAAATAAGTGATGTATTAAAGAAAAGCAGTAAAAAAATAGTGAATGATAAATTGCATTATTTAAATTAAGAGGATGAGTTAATAGCTATAGGTGATGTTGGAGAGAAAGGAAATATTTAATTAAGTATAAAAATAAAAAACAATAATTATACATTGACAGCAGAGTGGAATAACATGAAAGAATTGATTGTAATTTATTTATCATTAAGGAGAATCAAAGAATAGATGGATAGTCCTTTGAGCAACTTCCGAATAATTTGTTTACTCCTATAGATAATGATATCTTGAGTTATTTTAATCATTTTGAGTTTGACTAAAGAGGGTATTCATTAATAATTATGTCTTAGTTCTTTAATTTTTTTAAATTGTTCCCTAAAAGGTGATGTGAAAAACAAAGTTATAATTATAAACAAATAGATAAAAAGATAGATTTGGTTCATAGCATTAAAAACTCTGCTTACAATTTTATAAGTCAATATATAAAATGCTATTTATTAAGATTAAAAACTTCATCTAAGAACTTTATGTAAGTTAAATCAAAAAATTCCAATATTGTAAGTTGAAATTTAAGCTGATCTTAAAGAAGAGGATTTTAATTTAATTTTAGATTAATGCAATTTAAATCCTAATTTAGAATCATTAGTAATTGATGGTTCTAATTTTAAAGATTCAATTTTATCTGGTCTTATCTAAGGAAATATTTTAAAAAGCATTAAAGAATTAAGTTTCAAAGGATGTCAGAATATCACTGATGAAGGTATTTCTCTTTTATAAAATTTTGGAGTATAAAAATTAGATATATCCCATACTTAAATCCATTTAACATTACCTTAACATTTATAAATTTTGAATATTGCATATAGCAAATTCAAAGAAGAAACATTGCTTTAATTATTTAGAGATAAATCTTTAGTGAATTTGATTTCAATAAATATTAGTGGATTAGCATCTGATAAACTTATTTAGGTTATTTTTAGTTGTCATTATAAAGAACTAAGAGTTTTAATAGCTAATGAATGTAAATTATCCTTATCTGTATTTCATTATATTCATGATTCAAAGCATGTTAAATAGTTGGATCTGTTAAGTTTTTAAGGTTCCATTACAGATGTTGAAGAAAGTATCTTTAAAAAAAATGGATATGCTTTGTTAGGAGCAAGCAAAACTAAATTAAGCAAATTAGATCTTAGTTATTGTTTAATAAATGATAAATTAATTTAATCTATGGTTGAAGCTGGAAAATTGCTCAAAAATCTAAGAGCACTTTCATTATCTGGATGTAGATATATATCTGATAAATCAATTTATTTATTATGTGATGCTCATTATACATCAACTTCTCAATTAAAAAGTTTAGATATATCTAATTTACCACAAATAACTGAATCTTCGTTAGAATACTTAACAAACAAAACTTTGAAGAATTTATCAGATTTGAACCTAGCTTATTCAACTTAGATTTAATCTGAACATTTGAAAAAGGCATTTGATACTGGAAAATTTAACTAATTAAAATATTTAGGTATAAGTGGTACAACTGATAGTGGAGGATAAGCTGATATATTTAAATTTAATATACCAGAATTATGCACATATTATATCAGAAATCACTTATCTGAAATTTAATTAGTAGAAATTTATACATCAACAAAAAATATTTAAAATATATCTACAACTATTTTGAATTTGTTGTAAACTCAAATTCTTACTAAAATCATAACACCAGATTAAATTATTTTAGAACCAGAAACATATAATTTATTTAGAAACTGCATTGGTTGTGAAAGATTACTTTTAAATAATAAACCTCTTCAATTAGATATTCAAGATAAAATTGAATAATAAAACTTACTTACTGCAAATCAATTTTATGAAAGATTGCTCAAACAAAATCAGCATGTAATTATCAATAATAATGAAATAAAATTCATTAAATAGATGTTTAATTTTTAAACAATTAATAGAATTTGCTTTAAAAAAACTGAAATAATAGATAAAGATATTTAAGGCATTTGTTAAAATTTGATTTTAACAGAAATCAATATTAAGAAATGTAAAAAACTAACATTTAAGAGTTTGATTTACTTATAGAAACTTTCAAACTCATTGATTAATTTAGATTTTAGAGGAACAATTTTTGAAAATTTTTATCAAACTTTAGAGCATTTATAATATTTTCCTTAGCTTTTGTATCTGAATGGAGGCAAACTCAATATAGAAATGTATAACTTTTATTTGTAAATTTAGTATCAACGTAAATGAAACAAATCATGTTATTTAAGAACTACAGCACTTACCATCTCTTTGGATGTAATTAGAATAAATAAAATCATTTAAATTAACAATAAGAGCTCATTATATATAAACATTTAAATTTATCTTTAAAACAATGTCTTTACTGCTTAATAAAAATTAAGACTTTATAAAATCAATGTCTTTGTAACTATATCAATTTAAAGTTATATAAGACAAATCGCTTTAATTATTTCACAACAGTTTATTAAATTTATAATTTTTGTAGAATTTTCATCTTGGATTTTAAAGGTATATAAACTTAGAAATAATATTTTAGTATGAAAAATATATCACTTTTAACATTAAAAAATATGTTTATAAGTCTTTCTAGTTTAGATTCTCTTAAATCACTTTCGGTTAGCTTAGATGAGTAAAAATAAATTTAATAATCTAGTTGCTAAGTATAATTTGTAGATGAGGATTTGTTTTTGGCATCAACTGTATTTGAAGGAATTAGAAATATGAAATTAAAGAGTTTTAGTTTTTCATCCAATGATACTGTAACATACGATTAATCAATTTTTTCAAGTCTCTTTAAATATATATCAGATATTGATACTTTAAAACATATTAAATTAAGTTTTCAAAGGTAGATAATGTTATATAAATATTTAGACATGCAATAAACAGGGAAAGTTTATCAGAATTATTTTAAGCATTGAAGGAATTAAATTTATAAAGTTTAAGTTTAAATTTTGAATAAAGTGGAGTTAAATACACAAGATAAATTTGGGGAGAGTTATTAGAGGTTTTAAGAATGAATTATAGCTTATTCGATTTAGAACTTAATTTTAATCATACATTTGAGTTGACTGATATGGATATTCACAGTATTATTGATGAACTCTATTGTATGAAATTGACAACCACCTGTGTATCTTTAATAGGGTAATTAATATACTAAAAATAGTTGCTATCATAATGAGAAGAGTATTAAGGAATTTGCAAATGAAGATGTTAAGAATTATTAATTTTTTATTTGATTAAAAATTAAGGGAAATAAGAATTATGTCTTATTTTGATTAATTTAGAAATTATAAATTTATAAATATTATTTAAGAGTTGCAAATGATCACATAAAGAAAGGAACTTAAAAAAGAAATTAAAACATATTAATGTTAAGTTATTAATCATTAAGTTTATTTTATATGTTCTTCATTCCAATATTTCTACGTTTTAGGATCAGCATGATTTGTAACCATAGTTGATTATCCTGGCTTCCATTATGCAGGACAAACTTCTCCATTTTCATCTGTAAATTTGAATGCTTAAACTAGTCTAAAATTCTAATTATTTTTATACCTTAAAATCTCATCTACTTTTCTACCTACAGGCAAATCATTAATAGAATAATGTCTAAGAATTCCTTTTCTATCAATTATAAATGTTCCTCTAAAAGCCACACCAAAATCTGGATCTTCAAAATCATCTATTATAACTCCATATTTTTTAGAAATTTCCTTTTTTACACACGTATATCTACCAAACTTAGATCAGAGATTAAAGGAAACTATATTTCACCTGATCCTCCATTATTTCTAGTCTATTTACAATATTTCATATGAAAAAACTAAGAATCTATAGAAATTCCTCAAATATCACATCCAATCGATTTGAATTCCTAATATTTCCATTTTTATAATACATCAACACGATCAGAAAATTGAATTATTTCTGTTGGGCACACAAATGTAAAATCTAATGGATAAAAGAAAAGAACAACATATCTATCTTATAATCACTTAAAGATATCTAATTTTATTTATTTTGATACTCTCTTAAACTATTTATTAAAGTAAGCTGATGCTGTAAATTAGGGTGCTTACTTATGCACTTTCATTAATTATTTTAATAATTAATAATAATTCATTCTGTTGGCTTTTATTAGACTTAATTGATTGACAAATATTTGTATTTAACAATATTTTTAAATTTCTTCTCCTCATAAGTCTTATTGGCAATTCTTCCTCTTGCATTTATAAACCATATTTGTATCTAAATTTAAGGTTAATAATACCTGTTTATATGTTAAATCACATTTTTCAGCTAATTATAAAGTTTATTCTTTAGTTGGGTATGGATAGGAGAAATGTTTATAAAGCCAGTTTTTTAGAATTAAGTTCGATTTTTTAGAAAACTTATGACCCTTCTTCTCATTTTGTTTTTCTTAGACTTTGAGAAATTATCGTTATTGATAGAGTTTGACTTCATTCTCAAGGACTTATTGCATATAATCAAAGTGTTGTTATAAAGATTTTATAGTGTGGCAAGCGAGTTCATCTATGCTGAGTGAACGTAAGTATGTAAGGAATCCTTAGAAATGAGAAATATTAGTTGCTGTTTGACTTTGAGTCAATTATTCTTCTATATGAGATGATTGAGTATTTTCTTCATTGAGGTTGTTAGAGCTAATCCATTTGTGAAAGAGAGCTTCAAGTTCATTAACTTATTGTAAAACAAACAGTTTTCTCGATTCTGCATGAATTGGTAATGATTGAGACATTAGAATGAGAAAAATGAGATATTAATTTTAAATTAGATACATTCAGACATCCATAAACTTAAATACTTTGAAATCAAAACATATTATGAATTTATATTAATAATAATAGAAATAGGTTTGTTAGAATATACAATTAAATTTGAATGGCCTGAATATAATTTATGAAAATATTGATTGAATTTTCAATTTTATATATCTTTTATTCATTATATAAGGTGAGTTATGGAAAATATGTTCATCATTAAGCATACTAAAAATGATAAAAATAGAAAAGATAAATAATGAAGAGGATTCATAAAAGTCAAAATAAAAGAATTAAAAAAATATGAAAAGTAGGAGAAGCATTTGAAATAAGCGAAGAGAAGAAGAGTAACATTATAAAAAGTATGTAAAAAAAGCAAATTAAATAAGAGGTGGAACCGTAAAAATAAGAAAATCATCCCCATATTTCTAATAAGGAATTATTGAAACAAGAAAGCATAATAAATAATATTAGAATAAATAGCAATAGAAACCACAAAGCAAAAGTAAATTTATTTTCTTGATGTTATTATCTCATCTATTATACTTATTCTCAGTGAAGGAATTTTCAGATTATATAACAGACCTTTCATATAAGAACAGATACTTCATCGCAGCAGGATTTTGATAATAGTATAAAATTATTAGAGATGGAATACTTTTAAAAAATCCAGATTAACCAAAATATTTATTTCATTATTTGAATGATATGTATGCTACAGCAATATGTATACCTAAAAAGAGGAGACAGCATATTTTGCAGCAAATCATTAATTATTTAATTTAGAATTTCATTAAAAAGTTGAAGATAAATAATATTTTAATATAATTCAAAAAACAAAGAATTGTCATAAAAAGGATATTAATAGTTTTAATGTAGATGAAAATGATAAAATTTCAATTTCAACAAGTCCAAATAGTTATATAAAGATTTGGAATGTGAAAGGAGATTTGTTAAAGGAAATAAATCCATCATAAGGGGACAATTATATTTCATGTTTAATGAAAGTACTTTTGTTGGAGTGTGGAAACAAGTATTAATGAGATTAAGTTCAATAGGATCATACATTTAGAATACTTGAAAAGAAGGAAGTATTAAAAGGTGAGAAAACAAGTGTATTGGATGCAAGTTTTTTAAACGAACTTAGAACTTTGGCTACTTTATGTAATAAATCATAGTGTAGAGTATATAAAATAAATACTGAGAGAAAGATTAAAGAGGATATTAGATTATTAAATAAGATTGAACATTAAAATATTAGTGCAGTTGCATTAAATGAAAAAAATATAATTGTAGCTATTGATGGAAATATTCATATCTATGATAAAAATGTATAAATAATATTAATATATAATAGTTCTAATAAATAGATTAAATTGATAATGCTGCTAATGGTGCATATATAGAGAGAGTGAGAATTTATGAATTACATTCAAGTTTAAAGAATAAGAATTGCAATGTTTGTTTCAATTGGGGTTGGATGAGGAAAGAGTCATTATCTATGATTTAACCAAATATCATGAATGATTAATTATTTTAATATAAATTAGATGCAGAAAGTAATATTATAAGAACGAACGATTATTGTTTCTAAAAACGAATTCAAGTATTTATTATTAATATACAAAAATGAAAGCATCTCTTGTATGCATACTGATTCTGACTGTTGCTGCAGTTGATTTTGAGTCATTTTAACAAGCATTGAATTTTGATCCAGAGACAATGTCAGGAGATAATTGTGGAAATGATGATTAATTCACAAAATAATATGAGGCGTATTTCATCTTAATATTTTCAGTTACTTGCCTTGGATTTAATTGCTTGAAGAGGGTGAAATTGAAATGTAAGAAGATCATAGTGTACTTACTTAAGCTAGAGATAAAATTAAATTAGTCAGAGACTTTATTTAAGATTTAGATGAATGTAATCTATTTATAATTAACTAGAACTTGAGAAAGAAACATAAGATAATAATAATAATAATGTAGTTGAGTAACCTACATAATAAGCAGAACCAGAACCAGTTTAATAACCATAAGAAGAAGTTTAGACAGATGATGATGATGAAGAAGATGATGATCCTTTTGGTTGGGGAGCTGGTGAAATTCCATAATAATTATTGGTTGATAGCAAGAAAAAACATAATAAAAATTTAAAAGGACATGCTAAAGTTTTATTGGAAGTTATGAATTAAAGCAAATCCCTTAAATATAAAAGCGTATTATTTAATCTATGTTAGAAAATCAAAAAAATAATTGCTATGGCTACTGCTTTAGATACTGATATGGGAACTTAAGATTTATAAGAAAGAAAAAATCGTAAATTAGAACTTTGTGATTTAATTTTAAATGAATTAATTGATATGATTGAATTCTTAGAAAAAGTAATGAATGATTATGTATTTATTTATATCTATTATTTATAGGTATATCAATAAGAGGCTTTTGATATATTCAAAAAGAAATAAGAAGAAATAGTATAAGTTGCAGATGAATGTGGAGCAAGAGTAATTTCACTTTAAGATACTTATTCAACAAGTTTTGTTTAAACTAAACCATTAAACAGAAATAAGAAATAAAACAAAGAACACAAAAGAAAAAGAAAGCATTGAATGATAAATAAATGATACATCTTCATTTAACCTAAGTGATCCAATATTACTCATATTTCTGATACTTGTCTGTGTTTCTTCTTAAAATATCTTCTAAAGGTCCTAACATTCTTTTAAAACTATGTCGATCTAAGTAAATTAATTTGACTTCAGTCTATTAAATATAATTGTATTATATACTTCAGCAATAATATTAGCCTATCTTGGTATATCTTTAAGTAAGGCTAATTCACCAAAATAATCTCCTTCTTTATATTGAAATACTTTAACAGGTTCTTATCCTTAAACTAAAGTTTTGGTTGCTATTAAGTTTCCTTCTTCAATCATATAAAATATATCTCCTTATTCACCTTCTCTAATTATATAATCTCCTTTTTAAAAAGTAGCACTTTTGATAGCATCAGCAACATGAGATCTTTCATATGGATCCATCATGGAGAGAAGTTCAATAGATTTCATAACATTGACATATTTTTCTCTTTTTCTATTGTTTAATATATATATAAATATACTTCATAGCTGCATCTTTAACAATATGATTAAATGTTTATCTATCCAATGCAAATAAAACACTTGTAGTTTTGCTTTGAATAGATGCAGCTCTAGGAGCATTGTATAATAAAGCTAATTCTCCAAATGATTCTCCAGGATAATAAACTTTTAAGAATTTATTTTCACCATCCTTAGTAAATCTCTTATAACAATTTAACTCTCCTTAATCAACAACATATAAATTATCACCACTATCCCCTTATTTAATAACCCAATCATCCACACTAAATAATTAGTAGAATGATCTTCATACTTATAAGTTCGTTCTTCCATTGCATCTATTACAATATCTTTTTCTCTACTATCTAAAGATGCAAACATAAATGATTATGATAATCTTTTACTGATAATCTCTTTCTGTTATTAAGATTTGACAATCACTCTAGGTTAGAAGGACTGGAATTATAAAATTATTATTTTACACCTCTTTTCTATTGTATTCTCCATACGCTTCAGCTGAAATTGAAGCTCTCTATTTACGAGCTGCTATAGGTCTTTTTGGTAATTCAATTACTTCATCATCTGAAGATGAAGATTGCACATTTACTTTTTATTTCTCTTTTACTATATCTCTACCTTTTTTATTTAACCATGCTATTGACCAATCAATCTCATTATTATCAATTATCTTTACCACATTCTTTGGCTATTATGCCAAAATGTCTTCCATAAGTCTCTATAAAAGAAAAACCACATTCTCTTAGGCATATTAACGTACCTTATCTGCCTATTAATTCATTTATTGGATAATTATTTAATCACAATTTTTGCTTTACTTTCCTATTATGGAATTAATATTAGTAATTATTTATTTTCATAATAATGTAAAACGATGATAATGAATGGTAAAAAGTAGTTCAAACTACTACAAGAATAGATTAATAAATCAAGAATATCAAAATGAGATTACAATCAGCACTTACATAATTAATCATATAATCAGAAGAATAAAATAAAATTACTAATCCAGATCCAATCATTCAAAAAATTAATCCTCCTTTAATTATTTAACATAACAGTAGATCAATAGAAAAAAAAGATAAACCTGCATTAAGATAATGTGCATCCAAATCACCTATTCGAACTCCAGATAATAATACAGATTGTCCATCCCCAATATCCACCTTATCTAATAATTCAACACTTAGAATGCAATTAAAATAAGCTGAACTTCTTAGTCCTAAATATTAAAATATTTCTGATCGATTTCATATTGGAAAATTCTTAGGAAAAGGCAAATTTAGTGATGTCTTTTAAGCATAGTAAATCTTTTAATTAAGATAGAGAAAAAACTTCAAAAGTATTAGTTGCTCTAAAAGTGATCTAAAAAACTGTTATTAGTAAATATAAAATGGAAGCATAACTTGCACATGAAATCAAAATACAAAGTTATTTGAATCATCCTAATATCTTAAAACTATTTGGAGTCTTCTAAGAATAAACTAAAGTAACTCTTGTTATTTAAATTAGATTGTTTTAATTCTTGAATATGCACCAGATGGAGAATTATATAAATTATTAAAAAAATAGCCAAATCGAAGATTTACAGAGAATAAAGCTGTCAATTATATTGCATAAATTGTAGAAGGAATTTCATATATGCATAAAATGAAAGTCATTCATAGAGATATCAAACCTGAAAACATTTTAATAAGTCTAGTATAAAATTCTTATCATATTAGTAATTCTTAAAAATTGCAGATTTTGGTTTAGCAACTTACTCTCCAGAATCAAAACCAAGATAATCGTTTTGTGGAACTATAGATTATATGTGTCCAGAAATAGCATCAGGATAAGATTATGACCATTCTGTTGATTTATGGTCTATTGGAATTTTAGCTTATGAATTAACTACTGGAACTACTCCATTTTACTAATCTTCTAAAGAAGATACCATGAGAAAAATCATTGAAGGAAGAGTTGATTTCCCAAAATATGTTTCAAATGAATTATAAGATTTTACTAAATGTTGCTTAAGAAAAGATCCATAATAGAGACTCAGATTAGATTAAATGGCTATTCACAAATGGATATAAATAAATCATCAATCTGGTGGTTAATATGATAGAATGTTAGTTCAATCTTTGGTGACTATTTTAAAATGATTAATAAACCTATTTATTTGTTCTTTAATCATCAAATTATGCATCTTCTAGTCTTTAAACTTTTATTATAATTAAAATGATAAAAAAACTCTTTTAAAATTTTTTGGGTTTATTGATCAATAAAAAAGTTTTAATTTTATAAATTTAAAAAATTTAATGAATTTATTGTATATAATATTATTTTTGGCTATTAGAATTAGATCTAAATAGAATTTTTTGAATTTTAATACTGTCGGTATTTATGCTGTTGTCTATCAGTAATTACTCATAATGTTAAATATTATCATATAAAGGAATGATGGATTTCTTATAGTCTTAATCTTAGCAAAGTGAGAATTCTTTAATTAAATAGAAACCTAGCATTTTCATATTGTTTAGCTTGTTCTAGTAAAATACTTTGAATTATTAGTATTTCTACAGAATAGCTTGTAGCTGGAAACAAACAGGCGTTATAATAAAAGTGTTTGAAATTTTCCTTAAAGAATCATAAAGAATTCTGAATAAGTAAATAAACTGTGTTTTTTTTCTCTAAGATTTAATAAATTTTATTATCTTTTAATGTGTTTGATCACAATTTTCAAAACAAATAAACTTTAATTTTTCTTGATATCTCACTTGCTTATCTTTGAGTAATATCTTTATTAACCTTTCACTTCCTGATCAACATAATAAAATTAAAATCTTATGAGTTCATTTTCGATTTAGGATTTGAATCATGTACTTTCAGTTAAGTAGTACCTAGACTGATAGTCAAATTTATATTAAAATAGTATGATTCTTTCTTCTCTAATTTTTTGTTGAATATTCATTTGAATAATGGACATATTAAAAAAATTAATTATTCATTCATGAACAATAATTAATGATACATTTACTTTAATGTAATTACAGTGGTAGATTTTCTTATTATCACAAATTTATCACTTTATAATTTTATCTTACCCAAAAATCATCTATATTTAAAATACAAAAAAAATTACATTTGTCAAACATTATAAAAGAAAGAATATACTTTAAATATTTTACTATATAAAATTTATATCTAATTATTGTATACTTTTCTCTATTTCTATAAGTTTTCCAAATACCAGTTTATGTTATTATTTTATCCCTCAAAAATACAAAAACAAAACTGATATTTTGATACTGGTAGTAATAATTTATAAATAAACTAAATCATATTTTCAGCAGCTTTAAAGTGAAAAAATGGTTATTTTATACACTCAAGATTTTAAATTATATCTATTTACATTTATATATATAAATAATGATTTCAATTTGATAAGATATTGGCCATTTTATTATAAAATTTAGTACCTTAGTAATCAGGAGAATAATAATCATTATGTTCAAAATGTTCTTTATATTTATCTATTCGATTAATTTTATTTTATTGCTATTCTAATAGATCTTATAATGCATTATCCATTTAATTGAAATTCCTCCTTTATTAATGAGCATCTATCTCATCTAATCTATCTAATTTATCTATTTTTAATATATATTGTTACCAGAATATTTTTGAATTACGTCTTTCACTTCATCATCTTCCATCATATAATGAGGATGCGTACTACTAATTAGAGATACATAATTTGTTTATGGAGAAATTGATGTATTATCCATATTTGTCAAATCATAATTATTTGCAGGACGATTATCAACATATTTCTTAGCAACATAAAGTTTTTATCTATTAAGATAATCCTCTGGCATTTAAAGATCATTTGGATTCAATTCTACTCCTAATCTTCCATTATCTTTCATTTCCTCTTTTGAATAAAGTAGTTTATCTTCTATTATATCTTTATCATATTAATTATTGCTTCCAAAATCATAGGAAACAGGAACCATTTATGTATTATCATTAAATATTTAATTAAGATCTTTGTTTGCTTCATCATCAGTGCCTAAGTATGGATCTGCTAGATTATAATATGGTCTAGGTCTTTTTGGAAATGTAAATTTGACAGCTTCAGGAGTCATTAATCTTTAGGTTGTATCAATTATTTATCTAGATTTATCTTAACTTAAAAATGCTTAATAAAGCTCTCTTTACCGTATTTCATCCACAATTTATGTCTATCTTAATTCTTCTTTTAATCTCCTGATTTAATCTTCATTATAATGCCTATTTTCATTTGCTTTAAGTAATTAACCTTTTAATTATACTACTTATTCAGAAACTTGATTAGTTTAGAGATTCATTTCTTATCTTAATCTTTGCAATTCAACATTGATAGTATCTCTAACTGTTTTTTCAACTTCAATAGGTAATTCTTTTATAATTCTTTATTCTATTCTTGATTTCATTAAATCATTTTATTAATCTCTAAAATTTCTTTCTGCATCTTAAACAGGAGTTCTTTATCTAACTCCTGTTTTTGCATTTTTTCTATTTTATTATTCAATTAATTCATTTTAATATTTTAACATTTCTAATCTTTTTAATGCTTTTAATCCATCAACATCAAAATTAGTTTCCTACAAATTTCTTTTTTCTAATTTATCAATACCATATTCTTCTATCATTTTTTTTTCTAATTCTTCTCTTTCTCTTATAACTCTTAAATCATCTAATTCTTTATCCCTTTTGATTCTCAATTTTTCTTCTTATTTTTTTCTTTCAGCAGCTTCCATTTATTAAACTAATTCTCTTTGTAATATAAATTATTTTTATTTTTTTTCAGCTAAAGCAATTTATTCTCCAATTTAAGTGAATTAACTTTAATTGATACTCTATTTGAATATGTAAAAATACATTATTAGAGACAGGTAGATTTATCATACTTTAATTGGTTGTAATGACTCTTTATTATTATTAAGGAAATTAACTTATACTCATATTATCAAATTAGTTAGATGATAATGAAGAATTAGATGGTCCAAATAATTAAGCTGATTAAACATTTGGATCCATAGGATTTCTTCTAGTAGTCTAAAAATAATAGTATTTAACATTATTTACAGTTATATTTCCATATTGATCTCTTATTGGAGCTCCTCCACCTCCTCTTCCAGAATTAGTTTAACCATTTGCTAATTGTAATTCCTTTGAAATAATTGTTATTCTATACCAATAATCTTTCTTATATTCTTTCTTATTATTGTCTCATCTTTTTTTATTCAATCTATTGTCTTAGAGTATCACCATATTGCTTTTTATTGATTTATTCTAAGGTTGGCTCACTTATAGGAAAGGCACTTGAATTTATGAGATTATGTTATGATTATGAGTTAATCATATAAATTTAATAATTTTCATATTTCTATTTCTTTAACTTTAGGCTTCTTATAAAACCGTAATTGAGCATTAGATTCGGGTGGATAAAATGGAGCTTATTTGCCATAATTCTTTGGTAATGGAGCTCCTGTTATATCATCTGGAATGTATTATTGTACTCTTTATTTGGCCATAGTCTTACAAGAAAAAGGTTCGAACATTTTTTCTTGCTATTCTTTTTCTAATCTTTAACGTCTAACAATTAATTAATTATAATAATCAACCTATCTTCTAAATATCTTATCTAAGCTTTTTATTATCTTAGATATTCATCTTCATGTTCTGGCAATGGAGGTAAACTCTTATCTAATCTTTATCTTGCTTCTTATACTACATTTTCTAATTCATCCTTTTCTTATTATAATTTAATTGCTGTTGCTTAATACATTGATAATTCAGCTATTGTTGCCATCATTTTTCTAGTCAAATCTTTTAACTTTGCTTAAAATTCATTAACCTTTTCTGATAACTCCAAAGTTGACAATCGCCCATCTAAAGCTTACTTTCTTAATTTCTCTGATAAATTTGTTATTTCATCTAAAATTAATTCTTTTTCTAATAATTGTTCTTTTTTATTATTTAATCTTTCTTCTAAAACATGAATCTTAGCATCTAATGCTTCCTAATCTGGATCTTCACCACCTAATTCTCTAAATCTTTATTAATTATTTGGGTTTTCAAGTTCTTCAGAAAGTTAAGACTCTTTCTTCTTCTCCAATTCTAATTCATCTTTTAATTATATAACTTTTGATGATAATTATGGTATTTATAAAATATCTTTCCTTGCAACATCTATTTTTCTTTTTTATTCTTATATTTCTATCTTTATCATTCTTATATCATCCTCTAATCTTTTTATTTCTAATTCTCCAGATTTCAATATGTTATCTTATATGTTACATTTTTCATACATAATGCACAATTCATCATTTCTATCTATCAATACTATGCCTGTATGATTTCTTGATTCACAAACTTACTCATATTACTTTCTTAAATTTAACATATCTTTTTCTAATGAAGATATAATCATATTTAATTTCTATATTTCATTTATATTTTAATCTATAATTTCTTTTTTAGCTTTTCTTTAATATTCTAATTTATTTAATTTAGCATGACTTCTATCTTTCTTATGTACTTCAACTTATAAACAATGTCTATACTCTAATAATGTTCTCTCTTTCTCTTAAGATTCATTTTTTAATATTTCTAATTCATTCTAAAGTATTTTAATTCTTTCCTTTAGTTCTGCTAAATCTTATGAACTATTCTATATCATATTAACATATTTGTTTCTTGCTTATTTAACCTCTTCATATAATGATTTATAATTATGTTCCTTTGCTTCTGTTTCTTATGCTTTTTTCTATAAATCCATAATTAATAATTCTTTTATTTTAAGTTCTTCTCTTGTTTCTCTTACTTCTGCTAATGCACTAGATGCTTTTCTAGCCATACTTTCTCTTGTTGCTGTTAATGCTTTAACTCTCTTTAATCCTTCAGCTTCAAAATTTTATAATTCTATCATTTGTTTTTCAAATTTCTTTATTTCATTATCTACTTTACTCTATTCTTGCATTTTCTCTTCTGCTTTATCTTTTACTTTTCTTACTCTGCCTTCTAACATTGTATATTCTTCTGCTATATTATCTCCAATTTCATTTTATTTCTCTATTTCATATTTTAAATTAACTATTTCCTTTTTTATATTTTCTAATATCATTTTTTATTCATGAAGAGTATCATTAATTTATTACATCTATGTTTATTACTTTTTTAATTCTTTTTTATCTAAATCAATTGCCTTCTTTAAAGAACTAACTGTATCTCTATGTCTTCTAATTTCTAATTAACTATTTCTTATTTCAATATCATTAGAGACTTTTTAACTACTTAAATCACTTATTTCTTCTTTTAATTTTGAAGATAGATCATTTTAAATTGCTTATTCTCTTTAATTCTTTTCTGTTATACTCTTTTCTTCATCTATTTAACTTTCATATTCTTATAATTTTAATTATAATTTTTTTAGTTCTACATTTAAATCATCTATTTATTTATTTTTTTTAGATATATCATCTTTATATCCCTAAAGGTCTTTTAACATTATTTTATTAGCACTTTTTAACATTTCTGCATTTTTACTAAAACGATTAGGATCATCTTTTATTTTAATATATTCATCATTTAATTTACTAATCTTATTTAATTTTTCATCATTTTCAATTTTCAATTATTCTATCTTTTCTGTTTTTTCATCAATACTTTTTTATTCACTCTCAATTTTTTATTTATATTCTAATAATAAATCTCTTTCTCTTTCTATTTCAGCATCTTTTTAAAGCATTTCAGGTAAAGCTTTACTCTTAGCCATTTTTTCTTATTCAGATATTCTAGTCAATATAATTGATTTCTCATGTTCTACTTCTTCACATTAAAATTATTTAGCATCAATTAATTACTCCATCATTTCATATTCTGCTTCTGTCTTTTTTAAACTTGCATTTAAATTTTATGCTTTCTCTTATGCATTAGCCTATAATGTTATTCAAACTATAAATACTTGATCATTTAAAGCAGTTTCGAGATTTTATTTCTCAGTTGCTAATTATGTTTTCAATTTTTTTGATTTTTCCCATAGAAAATGATGATTCTTAAATGTTTAAACAACTGTGTCATGAAGTTTATGAAATTTTTTCTTATATGAATCACATTACTCTTAATTGATTTTTCCTTGTCTAAAATAAATTATTGAAATCTAACTTAAAAAGATCAGTAAGCATACTAAGAGCAACATTACTCTATAAATCTCTTATTTCATCTGGTACTTCTGACATTTTTAAGTTAAAATAAATAATAAATATATATATATATAATGAAAGCATCAAAATACTAAATTGAAAATAGAGACTATAACATTATTACTTGTGTTGATTTTAATCAAAAATAACAATCATTACCTCCATTAAGGAAATTAGGTTAATCATAAGATCATCCTTTTCCTAGAAAAGCTAAATTTGAAGTAGCTTAAGATTAAATATAAATGCAACAGACATAAACCAATAAAGTTAACAATTCTCAATAAGATATAAATTAAATATAACCAGGTTCTATGATGAATGTTTCATCAGTTAAATTTGATTTTATTTCATTTACTTAAGGAAAATAATAACCATTTCATGATTTAAAATAAGAACTGAAGATCTTGCATAAAAAAAAAGTATATTTATGTATAAATATATAAAGGGTGGAATGGGTGAAATTGCTGACTTAGGAGGTTTATGTTATCCAAATTTCAATAGAGAATATTAAGATAAATTCAAGGAAAACTAAACTATATTTAGAAAACAGAAAGGAGATTATCCTGCTGTTACAGATCCTAAATTCTCTTATGGACCTTTTATGAAACCATTTAAAAAGTTCAAATTTTGATAATTTCATTATATTATTATTTTTCAAATTAATAATTAAATGGAAACATCAATTATGAGATAATATTTAAGTTCAAATGAGACTTATTCAAAAACAGATCATATCAAACTCAAAATTTTATATTCTGATATGTGACTATTTAATCTTATAATAGTTAGTATATAAAATAAGTTTAATTGTCTATTGCTAATATAATCTTAGATCCATCAGAATGTCCAAATACAAAATTAATGGCTTTAAAAGTATAAATCTCTTTATAACTTAGTTAAATAAAGAACTTGTTGAAACTTTCAATTGTAATTACATTTATTTACTATAAAAAACTTTATTGCCAATACTTGAAGATATTGCTAAATATAAATATACTTCAGATAATCCAGATAGAGGTTGTACTTATTTTTTAAATGGTGAAAATCCAAATTAAGGTTTTATTAATCTAAATTTTAGATAATAAAGATTTATAAATTACTGGCGAATAATTTGTCAGAGTTGTTTTAGAATGCATAAGAGTTTGGAGTAGATGGTTTCCATTAGATTACTAATCATATTTTTTAAGTTCTTTTAAAATTACCTATGAAAAGTTAGTAAAATTAGGAATTAAATTTCCTAAAATCATTTATTTTGACAATGTTTAATAGTATATTCCCAATTAATTAATACCTTTATCAATGATAATTTAATTAAGAGAACTACTTAAAAATTAAACTAATCTTTCAATAAAATAAATTAGAAATTATTTAGCAATGAATCCTGCTCATTTTTTTTATTAACATAAATATAATACATATGGAGATTTTTTCCATTAGATTAAAAATAAAAATCCAATCCAAAAAAAAAAAGTTTTAAGAAAGGCTACCTTTCTATTAGAAAGGGAATTTGAGAATCTTGAGACAAAGAAAAAAGATCCATCACAAAATCCTATTTCATCAGAAACTCTACAAATTGAAAATCTTTGTTTACAAAATTTATATAATGCATTATCAATTAAAGTGCCAGATCTTCAATCATAAATTATCACATTATAAAATAAAGTATCTAGTTTAGAAAAACAGCTTTTAGATAAAGAAGAAAAAATTAATGAATTACAAAATGAATTAAAACAATTATATTAATAGTTTTCTATTAACATTAAATAATTTTTAACTTCAAACGATCTATCCAATAGTGAATTATTTCAAACAGATGTAAATTTAACTATTATAGTTAGGTTACAAAATTGAAATTATATTATGGTATTTATGATTAAACTTATGAAATTGATAAATTGAAATAACATATCTATAAATCTGACATTAAAATAGAAGAATTATCTGATAAATTAGATGAATCCATTAAAAAAAAAAATTAACTTTTTGAAGAAAATAAAACTCTAAATTAGACAATATTAGTTTTAGAGAGAAGATTAATTTAAAATAGTATATAGCCTATAAAAAATGTATCAACTTAATAATGTTTGAGTGAATGTCCTATGAATACTATGACTAATATAAATCAAACTGGTAATATAGTTTAAAAAAAAGAAAAGATAACTGGATTTTAAAACTCTTTATTGTTATCATTAAAACAATAAATTTTAGGATATTAATTCAATATTAAGACCTTATAAATTGAATTAAGTAAGTATGATAAATTATTATAACATTCTGGTCATGCTCATAGTAATTCTATCTTCTCTTATCATACAGCATCCACACAATAAAAAAGTAAATCTATCAATTTAAAATTAGTCCCTATGTATTCTCCTTAATCTATTTGTTAACCTAAATCAAGAGGATCAAAATAAATTACTTCACCATTTGTAGATTATGATGGCAAAATATTTGCAATTATTCCAGAAGCTTTTACTGTAAAATTTAGGTAATCATGCTTATTGAAAAAATCTATTTTATACTCTGATGATAATCTTCAAATTGGTGTTCAATCTAATTTATAATAGAATTAATAACTATTAATAAATTTAGTCTTGCATAACAGAACTTAAGAGTTGTTGAGTAATCTTAACATTTAATATCAAAAATCTTAGAATCTATAATTTTAGGTTTATCCTAATAATATTTAATAATCTATTAAAGGAAACGAATAAGTATCCTAAAAAATATTTATATCCTATGAATAAATACCTTATTAATTATTAGAATTTTAAATAAGTTACTATATTTCAAAGTAAGAGTTTAGTTTCAAGGTTTGCCTTCCCTGCACAATTAATAAATTTTTTACCTTTTTAGAAATTCCTTAGTAAACCCCAAAAACATATTTTTATAATAGTAAAATCTTTCAAACAAGCTTTTAAAATCAAATTAAATAATTACTTCCTGAATTTTAAATTAATTAAATTAATGATCAATTTGTCGAAGCATTAGCAAGGATTCAAATTGAAAAATCAGTGTTTATAATTTAGATTTAATCTCATAATCATTAAATGCAGATTAAATTAAATGGTACTTATTAAGATTCCCTCGTTGAATGTATTGTGTCAACATATTAAGGGCTGTTTATGATTAGATGAAAAATTTTTAATATATTAATTAAAATTAGAAAATAATTATAAATGCAGTAGCTTTAGATAGGACTAGTCTTATTAATTTCTTGTTTAGCTTTTTTCCTTCTAGGTTACTAATGGGCTTTTTCGAATAATTAATCATATGATAGAGTATATATTTTAATATCGTTTTTAGCTTAGATCTGATGATGATGAATGTAAAGTATAAGTTATTTTCTTTAGAAAAACTTGAATAATAATTGTATGAATAATAGTTAAAAGAGGAAAAATATAAGTAATAAATTGAGGATCTCAAAAAATAATTAGGAATGATAACAAATAAGAAAAATACAAAGATTTGAACATGAATAAATTAATTATAAGACATGTGTATAATTATTTATAATAGTTCTTACATTTTAAAAATTCTAAAATAGTTTTTATATATTTAAAGTTATCAATTAATGAGAAAGTGTTTTTTTATCTTGAGATTACTTTGTACAAATTTATTTGGAAGTGAGATAATTATTCATTAATAAATATTAAAATATGGCCTTAGAAACAAATTATGGTGACGTAAATGATATATAAAATCCTAGATTTTGCTTTTATGTGGAGATCTACATGTTGGTACAAGAGTGTAGAAGATTCATGAAAAGATTGTAAGCGCATTAGGATAAAATAAATTATAACATGTCCTTTGCACAGGAAATGTTGGAAATAAAGAGACTTATGATTGGTTAAAGTAAATTTCACAAAATTTTCATTGTGTTCGAGGTTAATATGATGATGTATTTATTCATTTTTGATAATAGGAAAATAATGAAATTCATTATGATCAAAAAGTAATTTAAATTGGAATATGGAAAATTTTATTAATTCATGGGCATTAATTTGTGCCTTGGAATGATGAAGAAACAATCAGCGTATTCTTGAAAGAAAATGCATGTGATATTGCAGTTTTTGGAAACTCTCATTAATCACTTATAAGTAAATTTGAGAAAAAATATTTCATAAATCCTGGAACAATGAGTGGAGCTTATGGATCTATTAAATAGTTAAATTTTTATTTATATTTAGAGATGCAGTAATTTAACCAGAATTTGTTATACTTGAATGTTTAGGTGATGAAATGGGAGTTTATAAATATAAATTAGTAAATGGCGAATTGCTTATTGAAAAATGTGTAATTACAAAATGAACAAATATTTTTTTTAAAAGATATTTTGATAATCTTGACAAATCTCTATTAACTATATCTATACAACCTTATTTCTGCATAATGTATTAATATTTTTATTCAAAAAATAAAGAAATAAATATGATTGAAAAAAAATAATTTATTTAAAGATAGATAATTCTGAAGTTTATCAAAATTTTTGAGATTAAAATTTAAAGAGTATTTAAAGATGTATAAAAATACCTTATTTTTTGTAAATTATCATAAAATTATTAAAATATATATATAATATTAATATATTTAAAATATATTGATGAAACAAAGTGAACAGGTAATTCTTGCATCTTAATAACCTGGATTAATAGATACATCAACAAAAAGATTAATTTCTAAATCCTCAACTTAATTTTAGACATCTGGTATGTAATAATAACCTGTTGTTACTCGTCGTATACATAGAAAATTAGTACCAATGGATGGTGGTAATTTATAAATGATAATATTTAGAGGCTGAGGAAACTGTAGTTTAACCTATTTAACCTCCTCCTTAACCAATAGTTCATCCTGTATAACAAATGATTTGGCCAGTTGCAGTTTAATTTAATGAAGATGATGCATTAGCAAAAATTAGAGAAGAAAAAATGTTAGCTCTTCTTGAAAGATAATCTGAAATGCTTACGAATTTACTTCAAAAGTATAAAAGATTAGAGGAAGAATAAACAAACAAAATATAAAGAAGAATAAAAGAACTAGAAAGAGAAAATGAAGAAATATGGTAAAGAAGAAGATAAAATTATTTAATTTATAATGTTTCTTAATCAGTTGATTAAAAATTAAAGGAGTTTAATGAGTTTTAAATGCGTCCTTTTCTAGATTAAGGTTAACCTGTACTTTTAAAACCAATCCATTAAGATGATAGACTATTTTTTGATAAAAAAAAGAAAAAACCAAAACCTAAAAAGATTGTTGAAGTTGATGATGGACTTGTTTAAGATCCAGATACAGGAGAACTTTGGGATCCAAAAACTGGAGAAGTTGTACAATAACCCCCTCCTTTATAATCGCCATATTGATAATAATTATCGTTAAAATTTTATACTATTATACATCTCTTTAAATCTCTTTAGATATATAATCTTTAATCTATAAAAAATTCTATTGTTAATCATTATAAGAAAAAATTAATTTATTTAAAAATTATTAATAAAATTTATAAAACATAACAATAATATAATTTATGAGCCATTTAAATCATAGTTTGAAAATTAGAACAGTCTTTTTAAATACCAAGTTCAAATTTATTTTCTATAATTAATTAAGATAAATTTATTTCTAATTTTAGAACTTAGAATGATTGTTCTGTAATTCTGTTATTCTGTTCTATTTGTGCAACCTATTAACACAAAATTGTTTAGAAAAATCAATTATTCTTTCAGTCCTATATAAATTTTGAATAGAGTTATAATTGTAAATTATTAATTATTATTGTTATTTTTATATTTATAAAATTATCAAACAATTAATAATAAGCATTTAAAATAAAATAACAGAAATCCTGATCTAAGAATTAAAAAAAATAAAAATTTATCAAATATATGTAATAGCTATTTAAATTTTTATTTAATTAAATAAGCTCATTTTCAAAAGATTATTGAACTTTCTTTTAGAATTCATTTTAAAAAAGAATATTGTTGATTAAGAATTAAACAATCGCTTATATGTTAATTTTAATTGACTTGGTAGTATTATTGATATGTTATTTTGATAAAATATTGTTTGATTTCAATAAACTTAACTTAAATCATGTTGAAGTGATGTGTTTTATTTAAATTATTGAATAATTTATGTTTAGAAATAATAGCTCGTTGAGAAGTTGATAAAATTATAATAAAGAAGTAATATAAAGATAGTTATCAAAACTATTCAGGACATAGAATCACTATCTGAAGAGACTTCTGCTATAATATCATCATAAATGTTTTTGTCTGTTTCATCAGTAATAACACGCATTTATTTGTTTTTTAAATATTTTGGTTTTCTTTGTCTTATGGACTTAATATATAATTTGATTTCAGCAGCAATTTTGTCAAATTTTTCATTTTCTTCTGTTTTATAAATAGAATCAAGGTTTTGCACAAACTTTGAATCATGATTTATTATTATATCTAAATATAAATAGATGAAATGAGACTTTTTAAATTTTCCTTTTCATTGGTGGTGATAATCTAACTGGCAGACATTTGTTGGACTATCTTAAATACGTCATAGTAAAATTATTATTACAACATTTTATAATAAAAACAATCATTTATATTAAATACTTATTGGTCCAAACTTTTCAACATTTTACTAAGAGATCTTGAAATTAGTTAATGTTTGTGCATCACAAAGATAATGATAAAATTACACAGCCTTGTCATAACTAGATTTCTCTTAAAATAAAGACATTGAAGTGTTATAATGATTAGATATTTCTTCTTAAATTTCTTCTAAATGTTGTTCTTCAACAAAGTGTATTCTTTTCATACTTTTAATGGAGTCTTCACTCAAATTTCTACTTCTGAGAACTGATTTTACAGATACATTAGATTTATTGTTACTTTCACATGATTGATTTAAGTATATTTCTTCTGGATTCATAATACTAACCATTGATAACAATTAGTTTTAATAATTAGAATCATTAAGACATTAGAATATTTATTGAAGCATTTCATCTTAATTAATTAGTTAATCCTAATGTTATGTCTTATATTCATTTATAAGATATGATTCTAATTTTTATAATAAATGAGATTCTTCATCGTCTAATTCATAGAATTGACTTTTATAATTTTGAATCTTTTGTTTTTTTATTCCTTAATCCATTTAGACTTTTATTTTTTTTCTAGTATTTTATTTAGTTTCACATTCTTCATTACATACACTTTCAGCATCTATACTGATTTGTAATTATTCTAACATTTACAAATATAAATTATAAACTACACCATTCTCCATATTTACTTATTTTACCTCAGTTTTAAACATATTTTCTTCATTTTGATGTAGTTATTACATAAGAGTTTAATTTTTAAGTAAATCTCTGTAATCTGGGACAAAAATTTATTCAGGTGCTATTCCTTCTTCCTCTATTTACATAATTTATTATTATGAATGATAAGAGGATTATTAACTACCTGGTAACAAAATTGATTCTTCTTTAGCTAATTAAGAATCTAAAATATAAAATAAAATTTCACTTTAAGTTTATGAGAAATAATTGGGTAGTTTGATTAACTAGTTATCAACAACTATCTATTCTCTTCTTTGTTTCTATACTTTTCTTTTTTTTGGAATGGGAGTAACTAATTTTTCATCTTTATTATTAGTATTATTGAAAATGGATTCCTTAGCTTCAATAATCTATTATTTCAATTTTTTCATTCTTTTTTTGATTATTATACTAATTGCTAACATTAAGAAAACATCATCTCTGAGTAATGAATGACCATGGTATTTATGAACATAAACATCACTTTTAGATAAATGATTGAAATTTACAAAATAGATGTAATGTCAATGCGTTCTGTTTCTTAGATACTTAGATTAGTGTAAACCAATTTCTTTAAGGGATGGAACTAAGGATCTGAAAACATAAAATAATAATAAAGGTAAAGAGAGATTTTAGTAAAGTTTTATTGTTCACTAAATTTTAGTTGATTGATGCAATGTAATATATAGAATTAATATTGGAAATATATAAATAAAATAAATGATTGGCAGATAAATCTTTCGTGCATTTTCATCAACTACAACTCCATATGTGTGGGTTAATAAGCACACAAAGGTGATATGTTAAGGTATCACTGGAAATTAGGTAATTAATGATATTATAAGACTAGGGTACATTCTAAACAGAATAAGCATTAAACTACTTTACAAAAATGGTTGGTGGAGTGTCACCAAAGAGTAATATAAATATATATAAATTATAGAGGCTGGAAGCACACATCTAGGATTGCCAGTTTTTAAGAATTGTTAAGAAGCTAAATAAGTCACAGGATGTGATGCATCAGTAATATATGTACCTCCACCAACAGCTGCAGCAGCCATAATTGAAGCTATTGAAGCTTAAATTGGCTTAGTGGTATTATATATTTTATATATATAACAAGGTTGTAATCACTGATGGAATTCCTTAACATGATATGATTAAAGTTAAGCATGCACTTAGATCTTAATCAGTAACACGTGTTATTGGAGTAAGATACTAATAAATAAATTTAGCCTAATTGTCCAGGAATCATTAAACCTAATGAATGTAAAATTGGTATCATGCCAGGATATATTCATTAGAATGGAAAAATTGGTATTGTTTCAAGATCTGGTACACTTACATATGAAGCTGTTGATTAAACTACTAGAGCAGGTTTAGGATAATCAACTGTAGTTGGTATTGGTGGAGATCCATTCAATGGAACTAATTTTATTGATGTTTTAGAGAGATTCATGGTTGATCCAGAAACAGAAGGTACATATAATTATTATTATTAAATAGGTATTGTTATGATTGGAGAAATCGGTGGTGAAAATGAAGAAATGGCTGCTGATTGGATTAAAAATAACAATCCTAAAAATAAACCAGTTGTTGGATTTATTGCTGGTATCACTGCACCACCTGAAAGAAGAATGGGACATGCAGGAGCTATTGTATCAAGTAATATTATAAATTTAAATTATTTCTAGAGGGCAAGGGAAGTGCTCCTGAAAAAATTAGAGCTCTTGAATAAGCAGGAATTAGGGTTGTTAAATCACCTGCATAAATTGGTAAGACTATGCTAGAAGTTATGAAAGAAAAAGGATTAGCATGAATTTATCATGTAATTTTTAAATAATAATTTTAATTATGAATAATTCAATTATTCTCTCTAAAAACTAATTATCTCTACTTTCCAAATATATTTCATAAGGCTACTAAATGATTGAAACTAAAAATGATACTATTACTCTTGCATTCACATCACCATAAAATAAATGCTCTATTGGTGTTGGTGCCATTATTAGAAAAAATAATCAAATCTTATTAGTCTAAGAAGCAAATGGACCTGCAAGATATTCTTGGGCTTTCCCTGCTGGTTTACTTTAAGAAAACGAAACCATTTAAGCTGGAATCAAAAGAGAAATCTAAGAAGAAATTGGAATTGATTCATTATTTAAATCTATTATCTTTTTTGGATAATAACCTCTATCTCGATGGGGAAAATAAGATTTCTATTTTGGATGTGAAGTAGAAATATTTTAAAATGATTTTAAAATATGTTAATATGAATTACTTGATTGTAAATGGTGGAACATTGATCAAATTCATTCATTATAATTAACACCAATTACCAGAATTGGCTTACCTTATATATTATGACATACTTTAATATATATATATATATATCAATTTAAATATATTTTTATTTGTCACTTAACTTAATTTATTATTAGTACTTTATATCATTTAATTAACAGTTCATTAACTTTTCATTTTATTAATAAAATAAATGTTTTCAATTATTTTATCATTAATTTTTCCTATTAATTGTGCTACTAATATTGATATCTTTATTGAAAGTCAATGTCCAGATACTGTTAGATTATTTAAAAAAATGAAAACTTTGCTAGATTATGAATAAATACACTCTTAAATTGAATTTCATTTTATACCTTTTGGAAAAGGAAATGAAAAACTAGTATTAAATCAAGGATATGAATTCAATTGTTAACATGGCAATAAAGAATGCTATGGAAATTTAATAGATTCTTGTGTTTTAGAATAATTAGACTAAATTGAATAATTACGTTATTTAATATGCATACATTAAGAAAGATAAAACAATGAGGAATTAATCAATCTAAGCCTTAAAAAATGTGTTTAAAATTAAGAATGTGTTTATGAAAGAACATTAAAATGTGCTTAATCTAAATTTGGCAATTATTTATAACATAAAGCTGCCAAATTTACACTTGCATAAAATTTAGTTGAAATTCCTTGGATTAATATTAATGGTTAACATTCACCTGAATTTGATAAGAAATTTAAACTAAATCCGTTAAAAGCTATCTGTGAACAAATAGATTGTGAAAAGATCAAAGTCAACTTTAAATGAAACTGATTATATATATATATAAATGAATATAATTCAATTTAAATAATATCAAGAGATTTTTTATTTTAAAACTTCAAAATTATACATTTGAACTTTAACTCCAGAGATCCTCCACAGATTTTTACTTTTATTTCAATTTTGAACTAATATATAAAACTAAGTTGATTACCTTAAAACTGGAGATTAATTTTATTTAGATTATGGTTTCTATTACATTAGTTTCACTAACTATCCTGTTGATTTAGCCATCTAATCATTTTATTTATTTATTAATATTATTTTATTAGGAGAATCACTTGTAGATTTACTAAAAGAATTTTAACCTTTTATATGACTTTTACTTGGCTATAAACCTTATTTTAGCATTTTTTATAATTAATTTAACTCTTTAGCAACATTTGCTAATCCTAATTCATTAGTTTGAGAAGTTAATTATTCCAAAATTTTATCTACTGATTTTCTAGCATTTAAAATTAAATCGTTTTATTCGGAATTTGATATTTTTATTAATTATTCTATTTCATTCTTTCTTTTTTCCAATTCTGTTTTTGTTAATTTCAAGTCAAATGAAATTTATTTATTGATTTCAACTTAATTTTTGAGTTCATAAGATATAAGAGCATCAGATTAGACTTATTAATTAGTATGTAAAGTTTATACAGGTATTTATTCAAGCTTTTAGATTTGTAAATCATTTTGTATATCTATAACTTTCTCTTTATTAAATTATTTTTAATTTTATAATGCCATAGGAATGTCAATTTTATGCTCTAATAATAGCTCTTCAAATTATTCTTATCTAACTTATTGAGAATGAAATTGATCTTCATTTTCTTTTTATAATTTTTCATAAACATCCAACTCTTCTTATAATTGAAGTATAGTTTCATCTCTATCATTTAATCTATTAGTTAAGGCTATCATAATGTCTCTTTACTTTAACAATAATTGTTTATACTTATCTGTTTAAGCTTTATCTTCCTCAATGCATTATCTTTCTTTTTCTAACTCTGTTAATTTCTCTTAATATTATTATCTTATCAATCTTTATTATTTCTCTAAAGCACTTTAAAATTATGGAGTTTCTTCTATTTTTTATCCTCCAACTAACATCTGAGAATTTAATGCTGAAATCTTTTCTTCTAATTATTTTCTTAGTTCTGTTTCTTTAAATAAATCTTTGGATCTTTATTCATAGGCAGATTAAGCTTCTTATTTATCTTCTAAAGCCTTCTACTTTTCTTTTTCTAATTCATTAACTAAATTTTCAAGTGGTTACTTTGTTCTTTCATCTAATTCTTATTTTAATTTTTAAATTTCTAATTAATATTTTCTTAATAAAGCCCCTTAATCTCCATCTTAATTTACGATTGGAGTATTCTTAATAGTTTTAGCTCTATTAGCAAACTTTAAAGTTGATAAAGATTCACCAAATGCATCAATAGCTGGGGATATCATTGCCATAAATGTTGTTTTACAATTTCCACCTAAAGAATCTTCTAATAATCTCGTTATTTTTGAATCTCTATAAGGAATATGAGGTTTAGAACCTCTATTTTCTGTTAAAGCTGCTATTACATTTCCTAATGCAGATAAAGATTAATTTATTTTTTTAGATTCTTCTAATCTTTAACCTGTAGCTCCTGTTACCCTAACTCTTTCACTACCAGCCAAATCAACTAAATTCAATTTCCCAACTCTTGCAGATTTTCCTTCTGGTTTCTCCTCTATTTATTCAACTGTTATAATAAAAACTGCATGACTTCTTGAACTTGTATCATTCATTCTTGTACTTGCTGTTACTCTTTTTGCATTACCTTTACGCATTAATTAATATATTTCAGCTGGACCTCTTACAGCCCATTCTGACAAGTTTTCAACAAAAACTCCTCTTTTCTTATCTTCTCTTATATTCAAAGATGCAGAATCTCTTAATAAATCACTAATATTTTCATTATATATTTGTAAATATGAAGCACGTACCATAAATGTTGTGGAAGAATTACTTTTCATTTGAATGTGATTAAATATATTATGTAAAGATCTAGGTATAATACCTAATTAATCAGAATTAGGATTAAAACTAAATCCATGCATAGTATATGTTTTACCAGTACCAGTTTGACCATATGCAATTATGGTTGAATTATATCCTTATAAAGTTGAATCTACTGATAATGCTGCAGTTGTATTATAAACTTATTCTTGAGTACTATCTTAATCATAAACATAATCAAATGTAAATTAATGAAGAGTATAATTAGATGGATTTGATACATATTATTCTAAATCTTCATCAGGTACAAGTTCTATTGCATGATAATCAAAAATGCAAAGTTATAAATTATCAGGGGCTACCTAAACAGTTGAAATAAACTTGCCATCTCTAATTTCTCGAGCCATTGGAGGACGAACTCTTATAACTACTCTTAAATTTTCATTGCTTGGTGTTTAACTATTATTTTATTTCATTGAATGGACTTATAAATTTTATTTTATAAAATAAAGTAAAAAAGGAATATTTTTATTAATATTTTTATTTCCTATATTTTTGTGGATTTTATATTATAATTAATTTTGCGCGACGTTAATTATTTTAACGAATTAATTATGGAAATTAAATACAACAGATCACTAAGTGGAGTTCCTGAAAATCAATAGTAATAACCTTTAAGAAGAATTACTAAGACCTATATAGAAAATAGAGACCCTGTAAGAAGAAATTTAACTATGTTGTATAATGAAGGTAATTCCATTATGTAATAAATTAGACACTCAACAAATAAATAAATAAATGCTTAGTAGTAATAATGACTTAAGAAGAAAGATGCTTAATCAAGAGAGAGTAAAAAGATCTCTCAATCAAGATGTATTAGAAGATAAAGAAAATGTACCTTAACATAAAGGTATTACAAACAAAGTCTATACTCTTCCTTAAGAATTGTAAAATATCACAATTAAACCTAAATTCGATCATACTATTTAAGAAAATAAAAATCTACAAAAATTTTACACAGATGAAATATTTTTCTATTTAAAAGAATAAGAAGTATAATATCAATAAAATTTATGTAGAAAAAATCAACTCCATTAGAATTTTTAGAAAATCATTCAATTCCTAGTAATTTAAGAGCTAAAATGATTGATTGGATGGTAGAAGTACTTTGTTCATATAAATGTACTGATTAAACATTTTTTGTTGCTGTAAGAACTATGGATTTCTATTTTTCAAAAAGTGAAAAATAATTAGAAGTTTCTGATTTACATTTATGTGGAGTCACTTCAATGTTTATTGCTGCAAAATATGAAGAAATTCATCCTATGAAATTATCTGTTGTTTATGAAAAAATTGCACATAAAAAATTATCAACAGATTAAATTAAAAAAAAAGAGAGTGAAATACTTTAAACTATTGGATTTGATTTAGTTGGTGGAACACTTTTTGATATGTATAGTTTAATTCTAACAAATTGCCTTATTGAATCTAAATTACTTGAGAAAAATTACAAATATTTAAAAAAGTTATGTTTATATCTTTCAAAAATGGTTTTATATGATTATGAGATTTGTAGCAAGAATAATTATACATTATTAGCTGCTGCTTTAATATTTGTAGCATTTAAAATAGTTGAATAATTAGAAACTAGTTTTAATGCTGATAGTTAAGTATGTAATTTGTTTATATTAAAGATCAAGGATGTAGCATAAATTATTTAAGTTGATTAAGATTAGTTAATAGAAGTAGCAGCAAAAATCTTAAATTTGGCTAAAAACTTTGAGAAACATTTTCCGAGTTTAGAAAATTTAAAAAAATTTAATGGATTTTAGTTAGAAGATGATGAATAATGATATATATATAAATATATATTACTTTTATAAATAAATATGTGGCAAACAAAAAAAAATATTTCTAATGTACTTCTATATTTTAATAAATCAATCAGCTTTCTTAGTGCTTTCAGTGGTATGTTTCTCACCCTTTCCTTTTGTTGAAACTTTGGCAGATGCCTTTCTTGCTAACAATTATTTTCTGTCTTCATTAAGGTAGGGTTTTGTAATGATGCATTATGATGGTCTTATTGGAATTTAATATGGCATTCCTATAATAACATTATTAAATTACCATTAGCTTTTGTTCTTGTGAGTTTCTCTATTTGAATAACCCATCTCTTTCTATAAACTGATGAAACTTTACCCTTTGTTCCCTTATGTGTGCCTATACTCAATTTTATTATTATACCCCTAACAACTGTGACTTCATCATCTTTTCTAACAGGTAATGCTCTAACATTGTATTTCTTTCTTAAATCTTTAGAAAGATGAGCACTCATTAATTTATATCTAATGTTTGATGGTGCTCCTAAATGGGCTCTTCTGCCCTTTCTTCTTTAACTTGAAACTTCGACATGGGTTTTCATTTTGAAAAAGATTTAATTAAAAATTAATTTTTGTTTTTTTCTTCACAAATTACAAACAATATATTTACAAATAATGAATTTTTTTAATTACTATTTAAAAATTAATTTATAATACCTGCATTTTACTACTTTTTTTAATCAATCTCCTACTTAAAATATAAAAATCAATTATAAACATTAACATTTATTCTTTATTTGAAATTTTATTTATTATTTATAAGATGTCTATTAAAAAAGATTGATTTTTTTTGATAATACATTAATAATAATATAATAATTTCTTCTCAATATATTTGCAAAATTAATTTAATTATATCTAATTATGTGATTAGATAATCTAAATATGAATTCCTAATTATATATATTTAAATATAAAAAATCCTTTTTATATATGAGAATCTTTATATTCAATTTTCAACATATATTAAAATGATATTTAAAAGTTCTATATATATGATTTTGAACTCATATAGAAATTGATCTATTAAAAAATAGTTGATTCATAAAATTTTATTGATTTTTATATCTATTATTTTATTTATTTTAATGATTATATTAAAATAGAAAAATAATATATGGGTCTTCTAAGAGAGAAGATATTAAGAATAGAATTAATTAATTCTGAATGAAAATAAAACTCATGCACCGAATCCATAGAGTGTTCTTCCTTATCTCTTTAATGAGTAAACAACATCCATAACAGTGACGGTCTTTCTTCTAGCATGTTCAGTGTATGTGATAGCATCTCTAACAACATTCTCTAAGAAGCTCTTTAAAACATTTCTTGAGTCATCATAAAGGAATGATGAAATTCTCTTGACTCCTCCTCTTCTAGCTAATCTTCTGATAGCAGGTTTTGTGATTCCTTCAATTGAAGCTTTGTTTGGTTTTCTTGCGTGTCTCTTTGCACTTACTTTTCCGATTCCTTTTCCTGATTTTCCAGCCATTTTTGTGTATTTTGAATTGAAAATAATATAATTAAAAAGTGGAGGTTGTATATGGGATAAAAATCCAAATGATGCAAAAATTAGCCAATCAAATTTTATCATAAAAATTGATTTTTATTGATTGGAATAATTATATTATGCCATTTTATTCTTATCGTTTAATTGAATGAATTAATATTGATAATTATTTGAACGTATTTCAATCAAATAAGACCATTGTAAATTTTAATCATCTTTTATTTACATTAAAATTATAATTAAAATTAATTAATATAGTAAAAAAATATTATACAAAGCAGCATCATTCTTATTAATTTTCATCATTATTATTAATTTTTTATCTACATACAGGACATGAATTATTCGTAAAAAACCATTTTTCTATACATTTTACATGAAAAAGATGCTTGCATGATAATAAAATTCCTTGATTCTAAAAAGAACATAGGCATATTGAACAAATATCTTTAGTTGTAAATGAATTATGAATATATTTCATTAATATAGAATGTTTTACCCTTTTAACTTGAATATTTTTTAATAAATATTTTATAAGATTTGGTAAAGAAACACATATGTTAATAATAACACCTATGATCATTTGTATTAAGTTGATTAAAGAATTAAAGCCTATGTATATTAACATAAAGGATAAGATAATAAAGATTAAGATAAGTGGTAATGAAATTAATGCAAATTCTGGGATTATTAAATATAAATTATTCTTAAATTCTAAAATAATAAATTGGATACACATAGCAAAAATTCCTATCGATATTAAAATGATAAGTATTAAAGATTTTTTGTGGATATTTACAAATTCTAAAAGAATTTATTTAAATGTCAATTTAGATCCAATTATTAAATCAATTAATCTTATTTCAACTCTTTTTTCAGAATCAAGATTTATTTCTGTTCTAATAATATTTAAAAATATTTTTCTTGTAATTGTAGATTTACATCCTATATACTATTTTTATTTTTTAGCTGATATAGTTAGATATAGAAATATCAAAAATTTGAAAAATAATCCAACTCCAAAGTAAATTAATAAATATTCTTGACTGATGATAAAAACTATAAAGCAACTAGAAAAAGTAATAGCTTCATAACAAGTGAAAATAATTGATATAGTTTACAATTGTTTTAAAAATTCTTTAGATTTCTTTAAAGTATTCGACTCAGTGATGGATTAAGTCTTTATGTAATTTAAAAATAGTTATGAGATTTCTTAAGTTTCTGAAAGGCAACCTTCTCCAGATGTATCAAGTTTTTCAGAATAGTTCTAATAAAGACTTCTTTAGCTCATAAATTATAATGAATGCAATTTTAAGAAATATTTATAGAAAAGTATTTCAAATAGTTGTTTATTTTTTAATAAAAAATTCTACATGAGAATCACACACTTAGGATTAAGCATTAATTGAATCCTATGAGTTTCCTAAAAGTTATTTAACATAACTCATTTGTTTTTTATTTTTTTCATGTGCTTTTTTCTACATCATAGTAACTTGACCAATTTTTTGAAAATGTTATTATTATTTAGAATTAATCTTATCAAAACTCTATAAAACAATTTTAGCAATATAAGAAGATTTAAGAAGTTCTTTTGCTTAAGGTCTTTTTGATGGATCTAAATTAAGAAGAGATTAAATTAAATTAACTAATTCTAAACTATATTTTCTAGTATCTGAGATTGTTTGATCTTTATTATCTTAAATTAATATTTCTTGTTATAATTTTCTCTATTAAATATTTTGGAGTACTTAATCAAATTATTGTCCATCAAAAGCTCTTTTTAAAGTGCACATTTCAAATAATATGCATCCAAGAGACCATAAATCTGAGGAATATGAATAACCTAATCCTTAACTGATTTCTGGTGATAAATAAAAAGGACTACCAGTTATTGTTTTAGCCATATTATCTTCTTTTAAAATCTACTATTAAATAATTATATTACTTTAGCAACCCCAAAATCTGCAATTTTTAATTGTCCATCATCCTTAATTAAAATATTAGAACTCTTTAAATCTCTATGTATTACATTATTCTCATGTATAAATGCCAAACCCATAATTAATTGCACTAGCCATTATTCAACTACTTTTTAAGTATATCCTCTATTCTTTCCTTCAAGAATTCTATATTAGATCATATTCCACAAATCTCCCTCTAAGATTTTATTTATAAATATATACTTTAACAATAATCCATTATTATAATTGTTTAGTTTTCATCTCTAAAACATTCATAAACATTTATAATATTTGGATGTTTCATTTTAAATAAAATATCTAATTCTGAACGCTAACATTCTCCATTTATTTTTTTTGATGCATATTCCTTCATAGTTTATTTATGCTAAATTAAATAAACAATTCCTAAATATTTTGAATATTTCTAATTACCAAATTAACCTCTCCCAATTATTTTAATTTCTTTATAACATTATTCATACTCATTTATTGGCCTTATCATTGATATTATAAAAATAACAATTATATAAATCAAATATAAAATAGCACTTTTTAATAAATTAAATCTGATTGTGGTAGGAATTTTATTTTATCTTTATCATCATAATTATCTCCAATAAAATTACAGAGACAATGTGCATAACGAACTGGTGCTGGTATTTTAATAGATCCAGTAAAATTATAAAATAACCAACATAATTTAAATGTCATAATTTTAATACTTTCTGCAACATCTTATAATATTATTAATATAAATACCCTTTATATCTGAATAAAGAACTTTATATAGAGTTGGAGTAACTGTTCCTTATCTACTCAATTGAGATATTAGATAAAATTTAATTGCATCCTCATTAGTTATATTTTTATTATCTATTATAGTACCAGGTGGTGGATTATCTGCTCTTCCTTATGCTGTATAGAATTTTGCAGAAACTCTTTTATTACAGATAACTAAAGTTAATTTAACATCATCCAACTCTAATTCTTTTATTGCTGATTAATATTATGGTAATTCTGATCCTAACACTGCTGTTTATTAACCATCTCCTACACCATCTCTATATATGATCACATTTTTTGGATAAATCTATAACTCTTATTTAAAAGCCAACATAGCTGCCTTTAAACATTATTATAAATGTGAACTAAATTCTCCTGATGTCACAACTTAAGAATAATATCTACTAAAATTTCTATTAATGGTGCTACAAAATGCTAATTAACTTTTTCTTCCAGATTTAGTAAAAATGTCAACTCCACATATCATAGTAGGTTTATCTGAAAACATACTAGGTATACCATCTAATGCCCATGGAGTTCCTCCAATCTTTGCATTTAATTAAATCAAAATCTTATTTACTATAGATCTTGTATTTTTACTTAAAGTTCTTTCTATTATTACTTAAGAAGCACATCCAAATTTAGCCATTGAAATTCTTTTACTAGCTTTATATAGTCTTGCTTTCTTCTTTTAACCTGGTAATAAAAATACCAAAAAATTAACTTTGGCTCTATTTTATTCAGCAAAAACTTGAAGATCTTATAATAATCTTTCTAATTCCTCTTCTCTATCTGATTACATCTCAATAATTTTAGGCTAATAAAATGCACTAAACTGAAATTCATCACAGGCCTACTTAAAATTCTCTAAAAAAGATCTTAATGCTTATTCACCTGAAGATTTATTATATACTACTCCTAACATTAATTTTAATTTAGGTGTTGAAAACATTTAAGTTTATGTTTGTCTATCTAAATTTGTTCTGCTATCTGCTAAATTTAATCTTAAATCTCTTCCCATTAACATATTTCCAGGATCTAATCTATATGCTTAAGTTTAAACACACTCTTTCGAAATTTCTAAACCCCATTCTTTTAAAACATCTTTTTATGTATTATCCTTTCTGTTAATTATTTTTGTATTCTAAAGTTACTATATAAAATCTTATGCTGTCTTCATTCTAACATCTGCAGATGGTTTTGTAATTTCTGATATCTTTTTCATTGCATTAAAATCCTAATCAATTATATTTTATTATTTACATTTCTCATTTAATCTGTAAGTCCAGTCATTTAACAAAGTGAAGGAATTAATAAAATTTCTTTCTCATTTTAATCTCTTCTTCCTTTTACTATGGCTTTCAACAATGGTTAATTCAAGTCAATTTTTTAATTGTACTTTCTACTGTAATACTATTCAAAAGTTATTGCTTCACCATTTTAATTTTAAAATGTTGATCTTGGACTCATTTTTAATTCTAAACCTGATATCTAATAAAACTTTTTATTATATGTAGTCATCACAACCTAACCAATTATGATATCAAGATTATTTCTAAATTAATTCAATTCTTCTAAAACACTTCTATATCTTAGAATTCTAAATGCACAATCAATTATCAATTTAGGTTTACAATTTTAAATTGCACTTTATTAATAAATGCATTCAACTCCTGGCCAAATCTAAGTCTTTTATTAAAAATATACCTCCAAGTTATTTTCTTATTATCTAGCCGCTCTTTAAGTCCAAAACAGTTTACTACCTGTTTTTCCTACTGAAACCATTTATAGTTAATTTTTAACTACCTACTTTATTAATCTAGCAATTATTTAAGCTTTGTTAATATGATTTTCATTCAAACGACCTATGATTTGAATCGATACTATTGGTTATGCTTCTTAATTATTTTATAAGGCTCCCAAAGTCTTTGGCCTTCCTTTTTCAATTCCCTCTGCAATTTTAGGTGAGTAAATTTTGTTATCAATACTCATAAAATTTACTAACATTTCTAATATTTAAGGTCTAAACTATCTTAAAGCTGATTAGATCATTTCTGGAGTAGAGTTTTCGATTTCTAATTAATATTCATATATTGGTTTTGCTGTTTATAAACTTACTTCGTGATAATTAGTCTTTAGTTATATTACTTATGATTGTGAAAGCATTGGCAAACAAATTAATTAATATTTTCTTGCTCTTTCTATTGCTTTATACTAAAGAAATTTTTGAACTAAAACATAGGTGTAAATTTAATGAACTAAAATTTTAGTATTTTACAAAAATATTTATTTTTCTTAATAGTAATAATGCAAACTTTTTAGAATAATTATAATATTAATGCTAGATAAAAGGATAATGGCATTCTAAATAAAAATTTACCTTGATGATCCAATGCTTGCTTTTTTTTATATAATTTTTTTTATCATTAGGCCATTATTTAATTTTTTGAGGTCTTTTTTTTACCATTATTTTAATTATAATAATTTGAATTTTGGAGAAATAATACACTTTTGAAATTGAACTAAAAATGAGTGAAAATTTTTTTCATTCTTTTGTTAATATTAAAAATGATGAATCTGAAGGTTAAAGGAAAGATGTGATTTATATTTATAATTATAGAATAAATAAATTAATGTAAATTTTATACTACTAAATTGAAAAAAAAATAAAGGAAGAAAATAGAATTTAAGTTCTTGATTAAAACTAAGAATTAAACATTAGTATAATGGTGTTAAGCAAAGGTCTATATTTAGAAATGCAAAAGTGTTTTAATTTTAGTAGAGTCTGATAATTTTCTAAATAATTAAGAGAAAGAAATTAGAATAAGGTTAGAGCTAGAGAAGGATGAGGAAAATAATTGAAATAATTCTGATTATATAGTTAATAAATAAAATTATAAAAAGAGGATGTTTTTCTTTTTATTTTACTTTTTTATAACTGGATTAGGGATTCAAACAATTAATATTAATTAGGATTATATGGATGAAGAAGAATTATTCGAATTAGAGGATTCTGATTATTTTATAATATAAGAAATAAAAAATGGAACTATGTTCTTTTAAGCAAGAACATCAGACATATAGAAATATATTTAGATAGAGTAATATTATATTGAATAAAAGATTAATATTCTTAACACCAGGAGATGGCTAGGTTAATTTATCATTTACAATAAGTAAAAACAGTTTTCCATCAATGAAAGATAATAGAACAATTTCATCAACATATGCAGATATAAATGGTTTTTATGTTAAGAAGAGTTATTAAAACATAGTAATACCAGCAAATTCATTTGGGGCAGGTGATAAATTTTATATAACAAATTTAAAAAGGGAAGATGAAAAGACTTATTAATATAATATTAGAATAAAGAAGAGTGATAATATTCCATGTCCTAATGAATGCACTTAAGCTTCTTTAGGCTTTTGTAATTTAGGTACATGTGCATGTGAACCAAATAGAGTTGATTTAGATTGTTCTAAGAAGGCAACACCATTAATGTTTGATAAAAGAATGGATAATATAACAGTAAGTGGAACAGAATATTTTTATTTTGAATAGATTACTTAATTAGAGACAATTTTATTAGATATTGGAATTTCTAATATTTTAATTGCAGAGTATTCTTAAATCTTTGTATATTTTATGTTTGAAAACTTTAAATATGGTGTACCTACTCCATATTATAATAATTATTCTTTTACATTTAGTCAAGATTCAAAAATTAAATCACTAATTATTGATGTTTCAGGTTTAAATAATAATCCAGATTTAAATAGGTAATGTAAACTTATTAGTCTAGATTTAATCGACTTATATTAACAGTAGTAGTACCAGATACTTGCGAATTCTTTTTTAAAATTAGTGTTCCTTCAGATGATAGTGAAGTTAATACAAATTTAATGCTTATTTACTTTTTGGTTTCCTTAGCTATCGTGTTAGTATTAACATGGATTATAGTAACATTAATTAGATATAGATAAAGAAATAGAATTTAAAATGAAGTTTCATTAAATTAATAATCATCTAATTAATAACAAAGAAGAAGTCAAAATAATGGCATTAGTATATAGTAATTGGATTATTTTATGAAAAAGACTTTATGGAAGAATTTAGATTAAATTTAAAGAATTAAAGATAAAAAGATAGACATTCGTTAATTTGAAGCTTGTACTGTTTGTCTAATAGAATATGATAAAGATTCAATATGTAGAGTTACTCCATGTGTTCATGTATTTCATGCAGATTGTTTATAATAATGGATGGTAGACAAAAAACATGAAACATGTCCTATGTGTAGAGAAGAATTGAATTTATAAGCCTTAGAAAAATTTGCTGAATAAGACAACACTCATTAAATATAAGAAAATTAATAAATTAAAAAAGGGGATGTTTAACATAGACATGAAAATAGCTTATAGATTATCTCATAACAAAGATCAAATCAGCCATTTTCTTGAATGATACATATTATTTTGTTTATTATAATGATCATTCTATTATATATTTATTTATTCGTTTTAATTTGATTCACATTCAATTTTTAGCCTTAGGTACAAAAATCTATAATTAATAATTTATTTTTATTACAAAAGTTCTTTCAATGATTCTACCATCTTCTTCACATTTTAATTTGATAATATTTTTTGTTGTTGTCAAATTATCTATTTAAGTTTTCAACTCCTTCTTTTTTTAATATTCTTTCTCCAATTCCATAATTATATGAGTTTTAACTTTTTCAAATTTCTTTGGTTTATCTTCTAAATTCATTTGTTCATCTTTTAATTATTAAAGCTGAGGATTTTCTTTTTCTAATTATAATTACATTTGTTCTTCTTCTTATTATTGTATAAATTTCTTATATAAATCTGATTTCTAATATTCCCCTTCTACAGGATTAGGTTTATTTCTCATAAGATCCTACTAATTTTATAGTAAAGCCTTCCCTATATCTGGTAAATAATATAAGCCTTTTTCATCACAGAATACTTTTTTATAGCCTTAAATAAATTTATTCATGGCAGAATCACTGTTAAAATATAAATAACATTTAGAATCTATTTTTTCTTATTCTCTTATTATGGATTGTAATATTACTTCAATTTGCCTTTGACATAATATTTTAACACAATATCATTCATAAATTCTTAAATAGTTGCATAGAATTCTTCTTCTCTTAAAAGAGGAGGCAATCTTCTAATATGGACTTTAAAACTTTAAGGACCTTTATTTAAAGTTTTCTTTAGAATCATTTATTTAGTATTAATTAAAAAATTGACTTAATAATATAATATAATAAAAGGGATGAGACCAATTTCATCTGCTCTAAAATTAAAAACTAATGATAGTTAAGAAAAACGACTAAGAAGTGCAGTCTAATTTAAATTATTAGATTCCTAAAAGTATTTCTGAATGAATATTGCTTTAATAGATTAAAGAATGTACTCATAAAATAATCACAAACATCACAATAGTCCTTATCTCAACAATCACGATTATAAAGTGGAACAACCTATAATACAACTCAACGTACAGGTAATTCTACACATAGAATGAAGGAAACAGAATATGAATCAGGTTCTAATTCTGCAATTAGAGGTTAAATTAAAATGAGATCAACTTTTCATTCAAGCAGAAATAATCTTATTAGAAGAGTAGATTCATAATTCAGTCTAGATAACAAATAAGAAGCATCTCCTCCTTAAGAAACTAATAGAACTCCAATTCCTGCTCTCAAAAATAGACTCTTTTAATAAGCCAATAGATCTTAATAAAAATAATTAATTGTAACTTAAGAGAATATAGATTCTAATGAAGTTAAAAAAAGAATGAAATTTGATCCGTAAGTTAAACAACAAGTTATCTATTTTAAAATATTGAATATACCTAATATTGGATTAAAAAATTATTTACTTTATCTTTAGAAATAATAAAAGTATTTAATTGATTTAATAAAGTCTAAAGCTGAAAATTAAGTAAAAATAATATTTTAATTAGCTTATTGATTTTTCATAATAAATATTAACATTCTCGATAGGAACATAATCTCCTATTGCATTAATTGAAACTCTTAGTTTTGCTGCGTCTATGCTTGAGTTAACATCTTAATTAGATTGGGCAATTTTTTATCATAATTAAACTAGAATAATGGCTAATTATGCTAAACAAACTATGGATAAATATAAAATGAAATCTTTAATTGGACTTGGTAATTGTTCAATTAAAATGTAACAATATGAAATTGGTATTAAATTTTTTAAGAAATGCCTTTAATACTCATGGTTAAATAATGATTTAGAATAAGAAAATGAAGTCTATTCAAAACTTGGTGTTTGCTATTATTATCTAGGAAATATTGAGAAAGTATAACTTTAATATAGTCATCAAGTCTAAATTTTATCATGAAAGAGCTATTACATATGATTATGAATTAGAAAGTTCTCCACTTCGTTAGATGAGTTCAGACACTCTAAAAGCATTCTTAAATAAAAATTTCAATAAAAATTATGCTGAAACTATAAATACTCCTCTCTTGAATCGATTAAATCTTCCTCTTCCTCAAGATATATTGTCGATCTCATAATAAGAAATTCAAAATGAATCTCTTATAATGATCAATCCTCGCATTTTTAATGAATCCAAAGCCTCTTCTACAAGAAGAAGCTCCATTTTTGAAACTAATCCTCATATTAAATTGTTTTCCACTCTCTAAGTTGATGGTTTAAGAATTTAATAAGAAATTTTATCAACTTTAGAATTCGAAGTTGAAGTTTATACTCCAAAGCATTCATGTAAATATTTATTATAAATAATTTAAAAGTTAAATCAGAAAGCAAATGTTTTGATTTTATTAGAAATAAAAAAATACACCCTTAAGATATATTTCATGATATTAAATATAAAACTAATCCTTTTATTTTAACAGATCTTGGTGTAATCAAAAGTTAAAATGATGAAAATCCTATAGAGAATCCACAAATATATAAATTACCTTTAGATTAATAAATTGATATTAGATTAAAAAAGAAGATATATGTTGACATTTAAGAAAAATTGAAAAAATTAATGGATTACAAATATCATACAAAAACTGAAATGAAGAATAAAATTCTGGTAGTCATTTAATTTAATGAAGATTACACATAAAAATGTTGAAAATGAAAAAAGACATTATGCTGCAGATTAAATTAAAATTTTAGAAAATGTTTAAAAAAACTTTGAAAATCTTATTGAAAATTTGATGACCTAATAATGATTTTTTCGCTTGTAAATTTCATTCTTTATATATAAAATTATTTCAATAAATTTACATAATAATATAAATGTATCCAAGATAATCAAAAAAATAAGACAAACTAAAGTAATCTCAAAATATTTAAGATTTTATTTTGAATAAACTAATAAAAGAATTCGGTTCAAAACCAATAGATAAAGATGTATACAATAATTATTTAATAAGTTAATAACATGTTATGTACACGATTATATTTCTAAATATTCAACTTTTAATGAGAGTGGTGTTAGAGCATTAAAAGTAGAGATATAAGAAGTACTCAAAAAGTCATAACTTGAAAAAGAAACAATAATAAAAACTTTAAAAAAACAATCTAATCTTCAATAGTTACAAAATAATTAGGATGTTTAAAATAATGAAAATAATTCATAATAAATTACAAAAGTTATTACATCAGGTTAAGAGCAATTAAATAATTAAAAAAAGAATAATACTTAAGAAATTCCAAGATTAGATTCATTAACTTCAGAAAATAAATAAAAATCTGTATATTAATTAGATGATGATGAATAAGATGAATGGGCTGCTATTATTAAATATGATACTGTTTTATATTAGAAAGAACAAGAAGAAAAAAAAAAGAGAGAATAATAATTGAGATAAAAATTAAAAGATGATTTAGATAAATAATTAAGAGAAAAAGAAAAGATAAAAAAAGAAGAAGCGTTGAAAGAAGCTTAATTTATTTAATAAAATTAATAAAGAAAATAAGAATTTGAATAATTTGAAAAATAGAAGAAAGAATAAGTGAAACTTAAACAATTAGAAGAAAAGAAATTAAGAGATGAATAAGTATAATTAGAAAAACATAAAAAGTAATTTTAATATTTTATTAGATTAGAAGAGAAAGTTAAAAATAATCTAAATTATAAGATGATGAAATGCTTTAATAATTGAAAAATGAAATAAGTAGAGAATCTTAAGAATTAAATAAAAAAAGATAGGAATAAAAAGATAAGTTTTAATAGATTTTGAAAGAAAATGAATAATTAAGATATAAGGTAAAATAAAAAAATATTTTTAGGCATAAGAGGAGATTAAACTTTAAAAAGAATTTGATTCTAAAATGTAATAACAATAATTACAGAAATTAATATAAGACGATGAAAGAAGAGAATAATTAAAAAAGGATAGAGATGATAAAATTAAATAATTTATGAGTCATTATAGCCATTAAGTGTTGACAAAATAAAAGGAAAATGAAGAGAATGAAGGAAAATATATGTTAGAATAATTAAAAAAGCAAGAAGAATAAGATAAACAATAATAGTAATATAAGAAATTAAAAGAATAAGAGAAAATGGAATTAGTAAAACAATAATTATAATTGTAAATTTAATAGAAATAGTAAAAAAAGTTATCAGAAGAAGAGGAATAAAAATTATTATTACTCTAATAAAAATTAGAACTTATGAATTATAGTGAAAAAGAAAAGCAAAAACAACTTGTAAATATGTTATTATTTATTTTAGAATATCAAAAATAATTATAAGTAAAACCAAGAGGATATAAGGAAATAAATTGAAGAAAGTAGACATAAGAGTGCTCATGAAAAAATGTCGAATATGGAATTATTGCAAAATAAATCTTTATTAAAAAATATAGCTTAAGAATAGGTTGTTAAAACAAAATTTAGGAAAGTGAATGTATCAATGAAATGATAAGATTTATTAGAATTTGATTAATAAATATATTGTTTTTTTTTGTTTAGTTTATTAATAATATAATATAAAAAGGAATAAATAAAATATTATTCAACAATGAATTAGAAAAGCAATAAGGTTTCTCCAGCTTAGAAATCAATAGGATTTAGATTTAATTGTGCAATAAATTTAGAACTGCTTAAAAAATCAACTAGAATGGCTTTACTTAAAATGAAATATTAATTGCCTGAATAATCAGATCGAATTAAAATGAGAAAAAGAAGCTTAATCTTTGCAAAAAATTAATTAGATTCAGAAAAGAAGCCATCTCCATCAAAAAGCAAATTTTTAGATACTATAAAAACAAGATGTAGTTCAATAGCTGATGATAATAATTAAATGCCAACAAAATTAGTTTTCTAAAAATACTCAAAACAATTAGATAATATTAATTATGGCAATCCTAAAATCTTTTAATCGATAACTTCTCAAAAAGATTCTTGTGAGACTTTGATTTTTCCTTTTTAAAGGTCCATATATCCATAAAGAAAATTAGTAAGAAAAAATAGAGCAGAAACTCAATATACAATAAATAGTTCAATAAACTAACCTAGCCCTAATAATACAAAAATTAAAGTAAAGTCACTTATTGCAATTTAAGAGAGATTTGGAGCAACTGGATGGGAAGTTGAACCATCAGATGATATTTGAATATATCTAATGAATCTCTTTGAAATCTTAGAAAATTACCATATTATTGTAATTTTAATTATTTCAATTAATGTAATTATATAAATAATAATATTGACACTCTTGTTATTCTCAATTATTATTTACTAAAATAGATTAATGGATGTAAATATCTATTTTCTATATATTTAAGAAACATCTTATTTATAAAAATAAAGACTATGAAATTTAATTATATTTTTGCAAAGGTCAAATTTGTATTTCAATCAAAAAGCTCACATTTATGCAGTAATTTCTAGTATTGAATGCATAAGATTTAATGATATTAATAAATATATAAAAATTCATTCATCATTCAGAGTTTTACTTTGTATGAATATAACTTAATATTTGCCATGTGAAACAACAATTAATTCATAAGATAACACAACTACAACAGATAAAAATGATGAATAGTTGAATTCCAATTCTAAAGATGGGTAAAATCTATATAATTCCGGTCAATAGACTGATGATTCTTTCGAAATGGTAATATTAAGTAATTAGCATCCTGAAAATGAATGGATCAAAAAAGAGCAAATTATTGTTTCATATCTCAAATAATTGGGTCTAAAAATGAAAACTGATCCTTTAGAAAAATAAGAGCATTTTTATAAAAAACTAAAGAGGCGACCAAATAAATCCAGCACCATGTCTTTCAATACTAACTAAAATATTAATCATTCTCAAATGGAAGACGATAAAGCTAATGATATGTTGTAAAAAATGAGTATAGAAATGAATTCAATAAAATAAAGACGAACACCTAATACTACTCCTTAAAGTTCTCCATTAATTACTAAAAATTTAGAATAACAAGAACCTATAAAAAAACAAAGGATGTCAATTTTTTAGAAAATGCAAACACAACATTAAGATCTATCTCCTGATAGTGAAGAATTGTAAATGAACATAAAAAGAAATTAGTAACAAGTAAATGATTAAAATAATGGTCTTGAAAAAAGTGAAACAAATAGTAGTAAAAGTGAAACTGAGCAAGATTATTTCTAAAATTTATGTGAATGATATATGAAGTATCTATATCATTTTATTCCTGCTTATTATAGCTTTTAAGTTAACTATTACATTTTACTGTCTTTTAATTTCACTAATTGTTCTAATTTTTATATTTTAAGTTCAAGTATATCTATTGTTTCCTTCTAATCTTAAATCACTTAGTCTTTATCATTTTATTTATTGTTAACTATTGGTTTTTAATTGTTAACTTAATTTTAATTTTTTTTAAGTTCTATAGGTTTTTCTTATTTTTAATCTTAATTTTATTCTTGTTGATCCAAAAAAAGATCTAATTTAAATTAGATCATTTTTAAGATCCTTTCTATTGCTTAAGGAATCACTTAAATAACAGCATCAATATCTTTCTATGTAATTTAAAAACCCATCTTTCTAAAAACCTATAAATAATGATTAATTTTACTTTAGTATTCAAAGTATTCCAATTATATTATTTTTATTAAACAGAATGAGCCATACTATAATTATGTATATCAATTATTGTAGGAACATAATGTTATATAATTTCAGCAATTAAAACTCCATCAGCAAAATCTCTTCCTATATGTTTTTTAGCTCTTGACAAAGGGACAATATCAACCCAATTATAAATTTCACTTAATTCATCTTCACTTAGTTAAGGAAGATCCATGTCTTTATTTTTCATAGTCATATGGAAATAATTTAAAATTTAACTATTTAGCTAACTTATTATTAATAAATAGAGATATAAATTTATTCATTTTTTAAGAGAATTTTAAGATTTATTTAACTTCAACATATTAGTTTTTAAACATAATCTAATTTAAATATTATTTAATACGTATTTACTTCTTCTAACTTTATTAATTATTTAATTCTCTTTGCAAATCCAACTTCATCTTATTCTCTTAGTTTTTTGTTTAATTAATTTGATTAATCATAATAAACATCAAGATTCACTTCATAAATTGATTATAATGATTAATCATCAGATATTTCATCTGCCTACTTCTCTGTTTTAATTCTTCTTTATGTCTCTTAAAATCCATTTTAACGAAATTTTAATCTTCTTTTTCTTAATTAATTAAGTTAAGTATCAAGTTGATCATTCAATTATTATTCTTTTTAACTTTCGATCATTGTATGAAATTTTTCAGTAATTTCTTAGGTTCTATAAACAATAAATAATTTAATACTTTTTATTTAATGTGTAAATATTTCTATTATGTATATAATCATATAGTTTTACATCAAAATTAGTAATTAATCCTTTCGTATTTTTTTAACTTTTATTTCCAACAGCTTATTTAGTAAAAAGATAAAAAGGTTTTTTTGTAATAACGTAATCTTTTCTCATTCTCGGATCTGTAATAGAGTTTTTTTTTTAAGAAAAAGATTTATATTTATGAATAAATCTTTTTGGACTTGCAACAATTACATCTAATGGACAGTCACCTAAAGAACTAATATTATTTTAATTAATTGAATCTTATTTATTAAGAGTTAATGGAGATTAAGATTTTGAATTTTTATTACTTTTAATTTAAGACTTTCGTAATTCAGATTAAAACTTGATATTTTATTATTCTAATAATTTTCTAACTTAATTTAATGCAGTTTTGAATTAAATTTATTTTTATTATTCTAGTTCAACTAAATAATCTTTAGAATATTAATTCATTTAATTTTTAAGCATTCCTAAAGATGGATAATCAAATTTATCAAAATTCTTTTCTTAATGTTATATGATTGGTTATACATTATCATACCTAACTAAAAGTTATTTTAACTTTTTTTAACAAGGTACTAATTTTTTATAATATTAAGCATCATCTTATAATTATTCTTATTATTCTTAGATATGCTAATTATAATCATTAGTTATATCAAAAAATGTTTTAATAAAATGAATATTTCTTATTTCCTCTTCTCTTTATTCTTTATTTAATTATTTTCTCAAATCAATCTTTAATAAATTATAATCAGTACTCTTTGCTAAATAAAATCTTTCAAAACTTAGACTTTTCTATTTATTTTCATTTTAAATAATTCTAAAATCTTTCCAGCTTCTGTAATTCTCCTTTAACCAACTAATCGTACTTATTATGCCTTTAATTGCTTTGTCGAACTTGCTATATCTAATAATGGTGTCTTATCACCCTTATTAAATAAATCACTAACTCTATATTTCTTAATTGTTTATACTATGGATAGTTTTCTCTTTTATTTTTTTTGATCCTCTATTTATATCTAAAACTTTAATAATTTACTTACTGCTTCTAAGTGAGGAAAGCTTATTGCCTTTAACAATTCATTAATTGATTATTCTCCTTCTAAATATTTATAGAACTAGAGTTTGAATTGTTTATTTGAACAAGTAAGCTATATGGGAACTTCATTAACCAGTGGATCTTAAAGATGCTAAATCTATAATAAAAATATGATTACCTATTTAAAATCTTGGGAGATTTGATCCTTCTTTTATTTTAGATTAATATCATGAAGGAAATTGCCAAACATTTGTTTCCAAGTTTCTTTTTGATTAGAAATAACTATTTTTTTGTTAGAGTATGTTAACTTTTTTGTGTTTAAAAATCTTTAATTTGTTAACAGATAGTTATGCTTAAACTTACTTTAAGGAACATCTTTGAGAGAATCTGGTTCAGTTTTCAAAATAGATGATATGGTGTCTTACATATAAAAATTAAAATAATTTAATCACTATGAATGAGGTATGAATTGCTTAAAATTATTTAGAATCTTAACTTGTAAAAGTTATTGAATAACAATTTGAATCCTACAATAGACAATCTTCAAGTAATCTATTCCAAGTTACAACAATTATAATATTTTAATTCCTTCATTGAAAAAAACCTTAAAGGAACTTAAAGAGAGAGTCTTTTATATGTATAATTCATAGACATCATAGTTATGTGGAAAATTCAAAATGGAACACTTTGAAGGAGGTGAAGTAATTTTTTAAGAAGGAGATAAGTCAAATGATAAGTTGTATATTATATTTAATGGTAAAGTGGCTTTAATAAAGTAAAGGACACAACATCTACTATACTAAAGTCCTGAAAAACCCTCAGAGAATCAAAAATAACTATAACATTAAAATATATCAAACAAACATTTGCCTTTAAAAACAGAGTAATTTATTTAATTTATGAATATACTTTAGAAAAACACAAAACAAAATTTAAAATTTAACATTAGGAACAAATTTTTTTAAATAACTTGCATATTCAAAAAAGTTTGCTGACAGAATGAAGTCTAACGTAGTTTAAGGATAAACAAATGAAAAAGTCTAGATTACGCAATAAGAAATTTAAAATATAAGTGATAAATTTGGAGAAACTGTTAGAATACTAAAAAGAGGAGATGGATTTGGAGATAGAGCTTTAATTGAAAATGTTCCAAGAGCATTAACTGCTTGTGCATATACTTAAGATTTATTTTTGTTAATTTTAAAAAAAGACGACTTTGATTTAATTAGATAATAATTTATTATTCAGATGAAAGAGAAAAAAAGCTTAATTTTTACTAAATTTCCTGTTTAAGGAGATTATTCATCAAAATAATTAGAACAATTAGCTTATAGTTTTGATGTCGAATAATTTTAAAAAAATTGTGTATTAACTATAGATGGTATTCCTAAAAAAAGTTTTTATTTAATTTAATTCGGAGATATTTTATTAGAAAAAGTAATTAATGACTAAATGGTTAAGATTTGTATATTAAGTAAAATTATAAATAATTTAATTAGCCAAGGGTTAATTATTAGGAGAAGAAATAACTATGAATGATGATGGTTGTTGTGAATATAATGCAACTGTTTTATCTAATGAAGCTACTTTAATGGTAATTCATAAACATGAATTTTTATAAAAATTTCCTGAAGAATGTAAACAATGGGTAAAATAAGAATATATGAGGAAAACTTAATTTAGAAAAATTTTTTAAACTTCAAATATGATTAGTGTAAATAAAATTAATCAACCAAAAATTACACCTGTGAAGTAATATATTGAAATAAAATCCAATCCAAAAAAAATTAAAAGCAAAGAAAGAGAAGATTAAGTTGATATAGGTAAAATAGTAGAAGAAAAGAATTTAATTTATAATTTAAAATATCAAAGTGATCCAGAAAAAGATGCAGGTTCTGGATTGTTTGGAAATGATTTATATTAAAGTCCAAAGATAGGATCTACACCAAGATATTAACATCTAAATAACATAGCAATAACATCTTTTAAATAATAATATCTTTATAAATTATTTAAAAAAAAAAGAAAGCATTTGATTTTTAATACTCCTCCTTTAACTGCTAGAACAGTAACAAATTATTAGACAACAAATACGGATTGTTAAAGTAAACACAAACACACTTTTTCAACAGGTATAAACTCAAATACTCCTGGTATATCACAATCTCCAATTAATATGTATAGCAGAGAATTTATTTGAGATATGAATATAGATAATAATTTATATGATAGGTCATTTAATTTAATTTTTTAGCATTTAATCATAATATCTTTATGTCATTGTCTCTCTTGATTGTCCATTTAAAACTCCAGCTTCAATAATGGGTTATACAAAATTTTATGGAGATCTATTAATCTAGAGTGGAGCTGATTATTAGAATAGTATCACTGACATAGGCATAAGTTCTTATAATACTGGATTTTTATAAATTGGTTAAGGATATACTTGAATTGGTTCTATTGGAATCAGAATTCAGTTTTTGTATATTTTCATGTTAGTTTTTCCATTCCAAATATTCTATTCTATCCAGAGATCTTACAAATTTAAATAAGTCCTGAGTTGACTTCTAAGTTTCATTCATTAATGTTTGTTTATTCAAACATCTTAAAATAGTTATCTATAACCTTATAAAATTCTTTTTTGCTTCTTAATATTTTAAAAGTTAGAACTATAAATAATATAAATATCACTTACTTATTATGCCTTTTAAACTTCTACTGGATTCTTATACGTCTATTGCCCAAAGTTTAAGATATTCTAATGATTTATTATATTATTCTGTTAAACAATTAGAGAACAAATCAATATCACTTGATATTCTTTCTTCTAAATGTTCCTCAGAATGAATCTTTATGCATTCAGGACACATAGGTAAACTACATTCTTTAAATTATTATTCATTTTTTATAAGGTTTCTTGCAAAAATTTTGAATAAAATAATCTTCATGAAACCTACATGGAATTTATGGAGTGTTTGCACTTCCAAAATATATAATTTAATCAGCTCTAATGTTGAATTCATTATTTAATATAATTTTATTTCAATTAAATAAAATAATTAATTAAATAGTTACATAACTTCATAAAAAGATTTTAAGAATGTATATTCTAAATAGATATATTAAAATTGATTAATTTAAATCTTAACATTCAATAATTCTTATTACGTGCATTTCAATTCAATAATTGAATAAAAAGTCTTTAAGCTCAAATATTTTTATCTCATTACGATTAAATTAAATGTTTACTCCAAAATTGATATTAATAAAAACTAAAACTGATTTTATAACTTTTATTTATATATTTTTAAAATTATTATATTTTTATACAAATTAATATTATTATTATTTTTCAATTAATTATTTTAAATTTAAGCTTAGATTAATTATTATAATAACTCAAAGATAGAAAAATATTTTAGAATCTTCTGATTATTATTCATATTATTATGTTCTCTCAAAAAAAAAATGAATATATCAAAGATATTTTAAATTTTCTTAATTATATGATTAAATATTAATTAAAATTAAATTATGCGTAAATTAAATATAGAANCAAAATTTTATGGAGATCTATTAATCTAGAGTGGAGCTGATTATTAGAATAGTATCACTGACATAGGCATAAGTTCTTATAATACTGGATTTTTATAAATTGGTTAAGGATATACTTGAATTGGTTCTATTGGAATCAGAATTCAGTTTTTGTATATTTTCATGTTAGTTTTTCCATTCCAAATATTCTATTCTATCCAGAGATCTTACAAATTTAAATAAGTCCTGAGTTGACTTCTAAGTTTCATTCATTAATGTTTGTTTATTCAAACATCTTAAAATAGTTATCTATAACCTTATAAAATTCTTTTTTGCTTCTTAATATTTTAAAAGTTAGAACTATAAATAATATAAATATCACTTACTTATTATGCCTTTTAAACTTCTACTGGATTCTTATACGTCTATTGCCCAAAGTTTAAGATATTCTAATGATTTATTATATTATTCTGTTAAACAATTAGAGAACAAATCAATATCACTTGATATTCTTTCTTCTAAATGTTCCTCAGAATGAATCTTTATGCATTCAGGACACATAGGTAAACTACATTCTTTAAATTATTATTCATTTTTTATAAGGTTTCTTGCAAAAATTTTGAATAAAATAATCTTCATGAAACCTACATGGAATTTATGGAGTGTTTGCACTTCCAAAATATATAATTTAATCAGCTCTAATGTTGAATTCATTATTTAATATAATTTTATTTCAATTAAATAAAATAATTAATTAAATAGTTACATAACTTCATAAAAAGATTTTAAGAATGTATATTCTAAATAGATATATTAAAATTGATTAATTTAAATCTTAACATTCAATAATTCTTATTACGTGCATTTCAATTCAATAATTGAATAAAAAGTCTTTAAGCTCAAATATTTTTATCTCATTACGATTAAATTAAATGTTTACTCCAAAATTGATATTAATAAAAACTAAAACTGATTTTATAACTTTTATTTATATATTTTTAAAATTATTATATTTTTATACAAATTAATATTATTATTATTTTTCAATTAATTATTTTAAATTTAAGCTTAGATTAATTATTATAATAACTCAAAGATAGAAAAATATTTTAGAATCTTCTGATTATTATTCATATTATTATGTTCTCTCAAAAAAAAAATGAATATATCAAAGATATTTTAAATTTTCTTAATTATATGATTAAATATTAATTAAAATTAAATTATGCGTAAATTAAATATAGAATATTTTTGGATATCATTGATTTGTTTTCGAAATGATTTAAATTAAAAATTAATTAAAAAAATTATATTAGTGTAGGTTTATTTGCCTTAATTTATTGTAAATCTAATTGAAAATAATTATTTAAAAATTCAATGAACTTTGATGTGTAAACTGTGCTTTTGACTCAAATAAGTAAAAATAGAATAATTCAATGAATCCCAGATTAAGCGAATGCAAAAACCCTTTTAAATTATAAGAAAACATTAGCACTTAAGATTATTGAACAAAAATTTAATTATTTTAGGGATAAATTTTGACTTAAGTTTGATATTCATCGATTATTTATATCAATTTTCATAATTCATAACTAATAAGTTTCTAAAAATATTGATTATATAAAAAGAATATATTTAAATTCCTTTTTAAGAATGTAATAAAAACATACTACTCAATTTATATATTAGTTTATAGGAACAGATTAGTTTTTTATAAAGTTATTTACAAAACTTTCCAAAAGTAAATAAAGAAAAACCTAAAAAGGGATTTTTTAATTTTTTAAATATAAAGAAAAATAGAAATAAGTTATTGAAAAATATTTAGAAGTTTTTGAAAGATCTTATCTTTAAATGGAGGATAATTTTGGTTATTAAGTTAGTAATGAGCAATTCTAGATTATTTAATATTAATGGGAAAAAAGGTTAACAAAAAAATATACATAAAAAATCAGTTAATTGCTTATTTTGGAAGAGAATTTTGTGTTTACCTAGTAGATTAATTTAATGATTGTAATCGAAAAGAGTTTTAGCTTCGTTTAAATTTAAAACTATCAATAATAACTTTTTTAGTTGATTAAGGTCTATTAGTAACAGATAACAAACTCTCTTGTTGAGTTTAAAAAGGGCGATTTGTAGTACTTATAGTTTTATATTTTTATTGATTAGATAATTGTTAATGTTGTTCATCAAAATCGATTTAGATTTTAAACTTATTTTAATGAAGTTGATTTTAATTTTTATTAATATCATCAACTGAAATATTATTTTCTCTTTTAATTTATTTAGATATAGGTTCAATAGATTCAGATTTGATATGTGATTTAGAAATTGGTTAAATATTTTAGTATTGATTAAAAGATTAATGTAGAGAGAAGTAATTTTTTCTACCACCATCATAACTATTGTTTTAACTGCAATTATTAGATGTAGGAAGAGATTTCTTTTTATATTCTTTGACTAGTTTATTAGCTTCAAAATATCCATGAATAATAGGTTTATTATTTCTTTTTAATTCACCTTATCCACACATTTAACCATTATGAAATTAACCTTTATAAAATGATCCATCAATCCATCTCATTTCTCCATATCCATGTCTATGATCATTAAAGAATTCTCCTTCATATACATTTCCACTAGGCCATCTATAAACACCATGTCCACATTTTAAATCATTAATATATTAACCATCATAACTTTCATGATATTAAGGATCTTCATTCTTTAACCAATAACCTTTTCCATGTCTTACTCCACTACAAAATGTTCCATGATAAGATGATCCATCAGCCCATCTATATATTCCAAAACCATCAGGTTTATCATTTATGAAATCTCCATCATAAAAATCTCCATTAGCATAACTTTCTTTACCTTTCCCATATTTTAAATAATTCTTAAATTCACCTTCATACCATCCTCCATCTTAATAATCTTATCTTCCATATCCATTTGCTTTATTGCATTTCCATTCCCCTACATACACTTCATTATTTTTTCCTCTCCATTTACCATAACCTTATTTTATACCCTATACCCAACTCCCTGAATATATTCCATTTGTAGTTTCCAATGTTCCTTCTCCATGAGGTTTACCATCCTCAAACTAACCTTCATATTAATCCCCTTTATCTAATACCTCTTTACCCTATCCATGTTTCTTATCATTTTTCCAAAATCCTATATAATATCTGTCTTAATATGTCATTAGTCCTATTATGTTCATTAATTTATCTATATATACCATATCCATGTCTAACATTGTTTTATATATCACCATAGTATTATCCTTATTTATACTATTTAAACTTCCCCTATTTTGACTTTTAATTAACTTAATCAATCAACTTATGTTCTTGTTCAAGATTATCGAAATCTGATATTGATTATTATTACATAAATTAATTATAATTAACTATCATATTTCATTCCTCTTTTTTAGTCTTTATAAAATAAGTCAATCCACACAACATTAAAAATACAATTACATTAAAAATTATATATATTACTGTTAAACCCTTTAATTATCCATAATTATTTGATATTATTAAATCCAATCTAATTTTATTCCTATTCTTACACTAAATAAAATAAAGAAAATAAGTTTCATTGATCCTTCTATTATATTCACATAATCAAAAATCTAATCATGTTTATAATATATTGCATATGGATTAACTACTCTATATATTAATTTTATTATTATTTTCATTTTACGTTGAAGCAAAAAAACTAACAAAACAATATATTGCAAACCAAAATACTAAAGGTCTTAAAAATTTACATTATTCACCACCTTCATCATCAAAATTATATACCATACTTATTTTCATGTGTTGAATAATAAAAGAATACACTTCCCATTAAGGTATTCATCAATATTTAAATAAAGTTAATATAATTTTCTCTTATAATTCATTTGATTTATCAATCTTATAGTATTGTATTGACTATATCAATCTAAAATCAATTTTTTTATTTTTCATTTCTAATCACAACATTATTTCATCTTCTCTTCTTTCCATTATTATTATATATATTCGTTTTAATTAATATTTTTATTAAATTACAATCTATTCTTTTAATAATATTTTTAGAAAATTCAATTAATTTTAAACAGAAAAAATATTAAAAGAACCAAAATATATGTATTAAATTAAACAGAATATCATTTTTAAGGAATATTGAAATTAGTACCTTTACCAAATTATCAGGTTATAAATTAAAGAGATGTAAAATTATACAGAACTTGAAGTTAATATTAAAAAATTTTAAAATGATTTTTGAGAGTAGCCATTTTTATTTGATTTCAGAAAACAATGGTTTTTAATTTTTTTTGATTTTATAAATACATACTCTTTGGAATTTATTTTTGGACATTTAATTATTTCCGAAAGTAGCTGGAAATTTTAGAGATATATTGTAAAAAGGATAAAAGATTTTATGATCATTCTAATGGTCTCTTATTATTTTGGTGATAAAGAACTATTCAAAGAAATTAAAAAGATAAAAGCAAATTATCATTCATCTTCATGAAAAATAAAATATAATAAAAGAGAAAATAGATGAATATATAACGTCAATTGTTCTTTAGTTGAATAAAAAATATAAATTAACTTGATAAAACTTTTATTTTTTATTAACTTAGAAATGATAAGAAGAAACTTGATTATCGAATGATAATTTTTTTTCAAAAACTATTTTACATTTTAATAATTTCTTAAAATTTAAATGGAAAATGACTTAACATTTGTTTGTATCAGTGATACTCATTGTTACAATATTCCCCTACCTCAAGGAGATGTCTTAATACATTGTGGAGACTTTACAAAAAGTGGATAAAAAGAAGAAACATTATCTTTCATTTAATGGTTGAAGAAATAGCCATTTAAATATAAAATCGTAATAGCTGGAAATCACGATATATCTATGGATACAGAAAACTATGAATCGAAGCTTAAATAAATACATCATAAAGTTTGTAATTTCGATGCTTAAGAATTGCTTTAGCAATTAAAAGATAATTGCATTTATTTGGTTAATTAATCTGTTATTATTGATGGAATNCAATCTAAAATCAATTTTTTTATTTTTCATTTCTAATCACAACATTATTTCATCTTCTCTTCTTTCCATTATTATTATATATATTCGTTTTAATTAATATTTTTATTAAATTACAATCTATTCTTTTAATAATATTTTTAGAAAATTCAATTAATTTTAAACAGAAAAAATATTAAAAGAACCAAAATATATGTATTAAATTAAACAGAATATCATTTTTAAGGAATATTGAAATTAGTACCTTTACCAAATTATCAGGTTATAAATTAAAGAGATGTAAAATTATACAGAACTTGAAGTTAATATTAAAAAATTTTAAAATGATTTTTGAGAGTAGCCATTTTTATTTGATTTCAGAAAACAATGGTTTTTAATTTTTTTTGATTTTATAAATACATACTCTTTGGAATTTATTTTTGGACATTTAATTATTTCCGAAAGTAGCTGGAAATTTTAGAGATATATTGTAAAAAGGATAAAAGATTTTATGATCATTCTAATGGTCTCTTATTATTTTGGTGATAAAGAACTATTCAAAGAAATTAAAAAGATAAAAGCAAATTATCATTCATCTTCATGAAAAATAAAATATAATAAAAGAGAAAATAGATGAATATATAACGTCAATTGTTCTTTAGTTGAATAAAAAATATAAATTAACTTGATAAAACTTTTATTTTTTATTAACTTAGAAATGATAAGAAGAAACTTGATTATCGAATGATAATTTTTTTTCAAAAACTATTTTACATTTTAATAATTTCTTAAAATTTAAATGGAAAATGACTTAACATTTGTTTGTATCAGTGATACTCATTGTTACAATATTCCCCTACCTCAAGGAGATGTCTTAATACATTGTGGAGACTTTACAAAAAGTGGATAAAAAGAAGAAACATTATCTTTCATTTAATGGTTGAAGAAATAGCCATTTAAATATAAAATCGTAATAGCTGGAAATCACGATATATCTATGGATACAGAAAACTATGAATCGAAGCTTAAATAAATACATCATAAAGTTTGTAATTTCGATGCTTAAGAATTGCTTTAGCAATTAAAAGATAATTGCATTTATTTGGTTAATTAATCTGTTATTATTGATGGAATAAAAATTTGGGGTAGCCCTTATTCATTAGAATTTTGTGAGTGGGCTTTCCAAATAAAGAAAAATGATTCTGAATAATTTTGGTCTTAAATAGAAAAAGATAGTGATATTATTGTTACTCATGGTCCTCCTCTTAATCATGGTGATTTAGTTAATAATTGGGGAATAAAAAAAAATGTTGGAGATGAGGAATTACTAAAACAAGTATTAAAAATAAAGCCAAAATATCATCTTTTTGGACATATACATGAAGGATATGGAATAACAGAACAAGAAGGAGTGAAATTTATAAATTGTTCTCTTGTTAATAAGAATTTGAAAGTTTCAAACGCACCTATAATTTTTAGATTGCCCAAAAAATAAAATATTTGATGATTTTTTTATTAAAAAGAATTTTAGAATAAATTCATTAAGTATTTTGATTTAAAATTATAAATAATATGCAATATAATTTCTGTTAAAATAATTATGAGAAGATTTGTGAGTTGTAAAATTAAAAAATTCTTAGTAAAGTAAAAAAATATCCATTTTAAAGAACAATTAAGATAATGAATAGATTAAAAATAGAGATATACATTTGTTAACAGGTTTAGGATCAAATATAAATGAGAATAGAAATAAATATTATAAATTTTTAAAATTAAATGAATTCTGCTTTTTTGAAATAAATAGAAGAAGAGAATAAGATTTTAGAATAAGAATTATAATAATTATTAAGGTAGGAGGCAGTAAGATTTTCATTTAGCTAAAAAAGGCCAAAAGAAGAAAATGAGGATGAGAATGATAGTGAAAATGTAAATCCAAATTTTAGAAATGAAAAAGGAATTTTGAGTAAAATTGATGAAGAAACTGAGGAGGAATAACCAAATCGAGTTGAACCTCATCGATTATTGGAATCTCCATATAAATCAGGTCCTTATAAATTTGAAAATAATTAGGAATCAATAATAGATAATTTATAAGACTCGATAAATAATTATATAGAAAAAAGAAGTAGTAGTATAGCTGACATTTAGAGTAATAGAAATTCACAAAAAAATATTGAAAATACAACAAGATAAATAAAATCATTAGAGATGCGATTATCTGGAACAAGAGAAGCTTTAAAATCAATGGAAAAGGAAATTAAAGAAAAAAATGTAATTATTTAAAATCTCTAAATTGATTTGGCAAAGAAACAAAAGCAAATTGAATTATTATCAAAACAATCTAATAATAGTTCATCTACACCATCAAAGAGTGATTTGAATAATGAGAGCTTTTAGGAAATAAAGAAATAATGTAAGGAATGGGAAAAGAAATATTAAGAATGTGAGGCTAGCTTAAAAGAAAATAAAAAATATACTTAGAGACTTTAAGAATTAAATTAACAACTATTATATAAATTAAAATAATATGAATCAGAAAAAGAATTGTAAACAAATGAATTAGATTAGTAAAAGAATATAAATAGTTAAATTTATTAGACAAATACAAGTATCTTAAATAAGTATTTATAAATCATAATAATATAGATATGAGTAAATAATAAAATCTTAATAAGAATAAATTTAATAAGAAGATGAAAAATATAGATAATTAGAAAGAAAGTATGAAGAATTAAAAATAAATAGTGAATAATTTTTATTAAATTCTCGAGATCTTAAATCTTAATATGAACATATGTTAAACACTTTATAGTCAATTGCAAATAGTTATTGATTTAATATTTATATATAATGTGAATAACGTTTATAAAGAAATAGTTATAGACAATCATTGTTTTTTAAATTCTTCAATTTCTTATTAAATTCTTTTGAGTTCAATTCTTTAATCTTATTTAATTTTGCTTCCCAAGGGTGCTATAGCATATAGTAATTAGAAAATCATGTAAATATAAAGCATAAAATAGACAATATAATTCATAATTTAATGAATAGTATTGAATCCAAAAACTCCTCTAAAATCATTGACAACAACAATTTCAATGAATAATTTCATAAGATAAGGTAGAAAACCACCAAAAGTAAAGGTTTCAAAAACAAATATTGCTTTCCATCCACCTAATGAAATGATATAAGTATTAGGTATCCAGTATGATTTAATTAATTTATTTGGATGTTTTAAATTATAAGCAACAATTTCTCCTTGCATTTCTGCAGAGAAGGCTGTTTTTGTTTCATTTTAACTTGAAAGACAAATATCACCAGCACAATAAACTTTAGGGTTTGTTCTAATTTTTAAATATTCATCGACTAAAAATTATTTTTAAGGATCAAACATTTCAAAATTATCATCAAGACGAACACTTTCATAAGAATTACCTTTACAATTAAAAACTAAATCAAAATTAGAATTTAAAGAATGTCCTTTATAATTTTCTTAAATTTCTATTCCTAAATCATTCATTCTTTTTTTAGCATAATCAGAAGCAGATTTAGGCATAGTGGATAAAATTTTACTTTTAGTAATTAAAGCTACAGTTTTAGATTTATAAGATGATTTGATTTCACAGGCTAATTCTACGCCAACAGTACCTCCTCCAATTATAAGAATCGTTGATGATTCAATAATTTTTTATTAAGTTTTTTTTAGTTCAATAAATCTATCTGAAAGTTTAGGAATATTAGATTTAATAGGATGAGTATAATTGGATCCAATTGTAATAGCACAATAATCGAATTCTATTTTACCACCTTCATAAAATGCTATATTGTTTTCAATATGAGTCTATTATATAAATAGTAAAATACAAGTTTGCCTTAAATAAAGAGGATTCCAAATTTACTATTTTTAAATTGTAATGTTAAATCAAAAATAGATTCTGGGTGAATAAAACAATTAAAGATAGAAGGTATAAACTTAAAATAATATAATTAAATTACTTCGAAATAAGATTTTTGATCTAATAAGATAATATTGAATTGTTTATAAGTCTAAGTAATGATTGTCATACCTGCAAATCCACCTCCTATAATAAGAAGAGTTTTTTTAGAATTTTTCATAATAATATTGTATAATAATTTAATTATTTGTTCTTTTTTTAAAAATCAATGCAAATCTAATAATATGAGGATGTAATGCAAGTGAATTTATTTGTTATTTGATTATTTAAATTTGATTAAAAATTAATGAATAATCATTATGAACCATATGTTAGAAATAAAAGAGATTTAAAGGTGCCATACATATCATGTTAAGATTATACAAATTTAGAGTAGGCATCTAAATTAATTCCTGCTTTGAAGCAAATAAATCAAGCAAATAGAAATTTAGCAGATACAGAGGCTTATGCTTATATACTTCGTAGTAATAATGATGATGACATTCACAAAGTAAATAATAAAAGAGTATATTAATTTAGTCAATAAAATATGGTATTTGGACATCAAGTAAAGAAAATAATGAGAAGCTCAATGCTAAATACTTGGAGGCTTAAGAATAAGGGAAAACAGTATATTTGTTTTTCAGTGTTGTAAGAAGTGGACAATTTGTTGGAGTTGCTAAATTGACTTCAGGATATAAAGATGAAAGTTTTCAATACTGGTGGGAAATAAAGAAATGGAAAGGTCATTTTAATGTATAATGGTTATATGTAAAAGATGTACCAAATAAACATTTTGAACATCTTAAAAATAGGTACAAACAATAATTTATCAAAAGTGATAATGTAGAAGTAACTAGATCAAGAGATGGAGTTTTTTTAAGCTGGGAAACAGGAAAGGAGATGATGAAAATCTTTGAAGAATTTGCGGATAAAAAGAGTATTCTCAATGATTTTAATGTTATTGATGAAAGAGAATAAGCATTAAGATAATACAAATATTAGATGCAATAACAAAGAAATCAATAACAATACTATCCTTATTATCAATATTAATATTATGATTATCAACAATATCAGTAGTATCCCTAATATCAACAGTATCAAAACTATTAATGGTAATAACCACAGAAATGATTTTATATATCATGTATTGTAAGGTTTCCATCAGACAGATATATAACTATATTAATTAATAAATTAAAATAACAATGGAGAAAACTTTCTATCTTAATGGCAAACCTCTTGTTTAACCTCCATTAACAATTGAACAACGATTAAATGAGCGTCTTGCTAGAACTGGATATTAGATTGAAGATATAAATAGACTCAATGAACGTCCGAAATTATAAATTGTAGTTATATTACTAATGATCAAAGATTGATCTTGATGGATTAACTTCTGGATATTTGAATAAAAATTAAATCTTTTAGATGCTCAAATAATAAATTATGAATTGGAATGAAAAAGTTACACTTAATAGAGCATAATAACTTGAATTAAAAGATCCATTTATCTATGATAATCTTTATAGATAATTGAAAAATTCATTACTTGAAGTAGCCTGTACTAGAAATAACTAATAATAATTAGAATTTCTAAATAAAGTTTAAATTTGGTTCTTTCGTTAATTACCAAAATCATAAAAATAATAATTATCTTAATCACTTATAGAAAAGACAGACAATGTAATATGTATATTCTAATTTTCAGACATTGTAATATATTCCCAATAATTATAATGAAAGTATGTATGCATCTGGAATTGAAGATTATACATTAAAATATAGATCAACACATCCAGATTTTGATCCTCCTGAAGATAGAGTAAAAAGTTATCACAGAAAAAATTTACTTTCAGATACAAGTACTAGACCTGGTACAACTCCAGGATTAATGGGTTTTTCATAATATACAAGACCCTAAACTTCATAAACTACTTATAAAATGGTAGATTAAGTTGATAAACTCTCAAGACCAAGAACAAATTAATAATATTCTGTTATTAAACAATAAGCCTCTTGGATGTATGATACAAATTTTCCTGTTTTTGAAACTTTTGAAGAATAATAAAAAAGTACTAGACGTTAAATTTAAAGAGAGGAATCTCCACTTAAAGCTGATAGACCTAGTGATAGAGATAAATTAGATTAAATAGAAGGGCTAGAATAAGAATAAGATGAAGAAGAATCTCCTGATAAAATTGATGGTACATAAAAAAATATACAATCACAAAAAGATATTTCACCTAAGAGAAAAAAAAAGAAAAAAGAAAGAAATAATAAATATATTAGTATTGCACCCGAATTAAAGACTTACAAAGCTGATAAAGACACTTAATTAGTTTATTAAATTGGATAAAATGATAGATTTGGAGAATTATAAGGTGCATTTAATAATTATGATCCTTCTAATAATGATGATAAAATGTCTATTACCAGACTTAATCAGTATTATTAAGAATTAAGAATAAAAGAAATTAGAGAATAAAGAGAAGATATTGAAATGGTTTAAAATATGAAAGATTGGGCAGCAAATAAAAGTAGAATTGATGAAATAATATTATAATCTGAATATGTATAAATATGTATATTATAAATATTTAGCTATAATCTTTCGGATCTCAGTTTACAAATATTGGTATCAAAATGTCTGAAATCTATGAATCTAAAAAGATGGATCTTGTAGAAGAAAAAGCTTATGCTAATTATTTAAATAAAACTTCATTACCAAAAGGTAGAAATATCTAAAGTTCATTTCCAGTCACTAAAATTATTTAAAACACTGTTATGCCTACCTAAGTTGATGATGAAGTTGAAGATTTTTAATCTAAAAATGCTTATTTAGAATTAAGAATTAATTCATAAAAACTTTAATAATTAAAAAGAGCAAGAGGTAGTTGGTTACCTGGAGATATATAAAATAATCCTAGCGTTGAAAGTATTTCAAATAATCGATCATTATCTTCCAGTTGTTTTAGAAGTGCTTAACCTTCAAAACAATTTAGTGCTATTTTCAAAAGTCATAGTATTAAGTCTGATATAGATAAATAAGTATTTTATAATTACTTAAATTTAGATTAATGAAATTAATTTCTTAAAAAATAGATTAGCCTCAGAAAAAAGATTTGTTCCTATTACTATACTATAAAAATCTATTGTAATTCCTTAAGGACACTTAAATCCTCAAAAGATTCCATTACCAAAACCTGGTATTTTGCTGGCTAATATTCCTGATACAAGTAAAAAAACTAGAGGTAAAAAAAAGAAATCTAAGAAATGATTATAATTTTATTATGAATATTAATGAAATGGATTTAAATTCAGAAGAAAATAAAAAAAAACTTAATGCTGCCTTCTAGCAAATGAAATAAAAAATATAATCAGAAGAAAAAAGAGCTTCAGAAGAAGAATAAAGAAAAAATGAATTAGAAACAAAATTTAATATTTTGTAATATGAAAAAACTTAAATTCATAAGAAATTTAATGATATAGAAAAAGCTTATAATTATAAAATTGAAGAATTACAACAAAAAGAAACTAAACTTAAAGAATTATAGAAAAAACTAGATTTTTATTATGTAAATCAATTGTAAAAATGCTTTAGATGGAATAACCAAAAAAAGGTTTTTTTAATTTTGGAAGCGATGACTATAAATAATATAGGAAATAACTTTTTGATTATTAACAAGAAATAGAAATTAAGTCTAATGAATTACAAAGACTTCATGAATTATTATTTGAGACTAAAAAACATCAAGATGAAACTGAAAAGAACTATTTAGAATAAATTATTAATTTAGAATAAAAAATAAAATGTCAAATTGAAAGTATAGAAAAAGAGAAAAATTTTAAATAAGAATTATAAAAATAAGTAAAGCAATTAAATTAAATTATAATTAATAAAGAATCAGAACTGAAAGCCTGCAAACAAAATTTAAATGATTAAGATGATTAGATTAGACAATTCTAAGAAAAATTATAATAATAATTGGAATTGTAGAATGAATTATAAAATACGTTAATTCTTAAAAAAGAAGAATTAAAAAAAAATTATTTAGAAACAGATTAATTAAAAGTTAACTTAGAATTAATAAAAGACCATTTATATAACATAATACCATAATTAGAGAGTGAATATTAAAATTCATCAATAATTTTAAATCTTAAATAATTTATTGATAAAACTTTTGGTGTTGATAAACAACGTGATTAAAAAGGTATTTTGTATTTTAAATGTATAGTTAATTAAATAAAATAAGAGTAAGAGTTATAGAAAGAACTTTTAATTTAAAAAGATAGTTATCAAGTATTTTTGAAGGCAAAAGATAGAATTATAAAGATGGGTAAAAATATGGAATAATTGGAAATAAAGAATAAAACATTATAAGATCGAATTTAGATCCTAGAATATAAAAGAGCTTAAACAAAAGGTTCAGAATTTTTGAGTGATCAAATAAGTGTAATGTGATTATTTTTAATGGATATCATTAAATATATTCTCATATTATAATGGCATACTTAATTAATAATAATAAAATCTTAAAAGAATTTTAAAAAGTTCTCAAATAAATAAAAAATAATTTTCCTTTGTATAGTTAATGTCTCATTCCGAAAGTACAAAAACATCATGTTAAAAAATCAAGAAATCTTTAATCAGTCCTTTAAAAGTAACTCTGAATTAGGTTACAAAACAATATAGATTCTACATTTCTAATGAAGAATAAATCATTAATGTTGTAATAGACTTAGCTCCTTAAACAGAGCTTCTAGATGCTATCTAAAGTGTTTTACAAATAGCTAGCAAAGATCATCCAGTTGATTAAAATCCAAGAAACTATGAAGCATATATTGCAAAGAAAAATGGATAACCTAAAACTGATTTACCTTCTTATTAAATAGATCTCAAATTAGAACAAACTCAAAATTCTATATTTTCTCTTGTTCACATGACATATTAAGATATTAAGCCAAAAAGAAAATCAACATATGATTACAGCAACAATTATAGTTCAATCAAACTATAATAACTCTAAGATATTGATGAGATCAAAGGATAAAAGAATTGGTTTCTTAGATTTTTGGGTTGTGGTTGATGATTTTATAATTTTTATCTATTTAACACTTATATATAAATATAAATTATGAATAGATTAACTACAATAACTCGCCTATCTGATAAGGAATAAATGTTGAATTAATATGAATTATTGATATCTGAATATCGTAACTAACCTGATTCCATTAATATTATTGCCATTTGTCTCAATAATATTGCAGCTTTATTACATAAGTATCAACAAATTTATTTAGAAATGAGCTATTATCCAAATCGATTTTTCGATTTGTTAAATAAAACATTCTTAAAACGCTTCCAATTGCTCTTTAATTTATTATCTTTATCAATACAGCTAAAATATTTAATCAACTGGGATTGCATACTAAAGCTTTTTTAAAAGCTGAAATGGCTTTGTAATTCTATGAAAAAATTGCCTTTAATTAATTAAATTAATCTGAAGCTATATTATTGATAAATGGTTATATTACTTTAGCTAAATCTTATGAAATGGCCACTTTTCATGATTTGGCTAAAATAACTAAAAAAAGCAAATTACTTTAAAATGGGTATCAAATTAAATGTAATTTAGTTTTAAATGCACATAAATATTTTATGAAAATTCAAAAAAACTTTTAGTAAAATATGTTGGAATAACCCATTCTTTATATAAATAAATAATTAGATAATCTACATAAAAATCAGCGTTGCTTTAAAAAAGCTTTATATTTTAGTCTGAATTATATTAAAATTAGTTTGCTTATAAAAAATAAACAACAATCAGAATTATGAGATTGCTAGATTCACTAAAAAATAATTTTCCTAGAATTGTTGAATTTTAAGATATCTACTCTTAAACTCCTTAAAAAGGTTTTTCAAGAGTGAAAACTACAACTGATGATTCTATAAATAAAGAAAAATTCTCTAGAATTAAAAAAGTTAGTAAAATAGAGGATGATTAAGAAACAACAATTGAAACTAAAAAGAAAAGAAAATCTTTCAAAATGACATCACTTTCAAATTTGGAAAAAATTATAACGAATAAAGTTGAGTAATAAGTGCAATTGCATTTCCAAAAAAAATAATAAGATGATCAGATGTCTAATAGTAAAATTGATTTAGATCAAAAATATATGATTCTACAAAATGAAATAAATAAAATTGAAAAAGAAAAATCTAATTATGAAAAATAAGGTAATGAATAGAGATAATAAATAAAATTATTGTAAGAAGAAGTTAATTAATTAAGAAATAAAATTATTGATGATGAATAAATACATATGAAAGAGGTTAAAGAATAGCACTATAGACATTTAGAATAAATAAAGCAACTTAATGAATAAAACTAATAACTAAAATTAAAATTGAATAAAACATTTCAACATGAAAAAAATTATACAACTAATAATAATAGCATTGATGATCATTAATATTTTTATTTTACAGATAATATTACTGGCTAGATGATCTATATTCCATTACTTTAGAATGTTTCTTTTATTTTTAAATAGGATGGCATACAAATTGAAGTTTAATAGTTGTAATAAACATTAAAATTATCAGCCAAAATAAATGATAAAATATTAAATGAATTTATAGAAATTTCTTAAATGCAAGATTTTTTATAGTATACTCAATACATCCATACATTACCATATCCAATAAAATATTTGAATAATTTTAAGACATTTATACAATATTTGATAGTACCTTTCGTCTAAATAGTAACTGAGTAAAATGAGACAAAAATTGCCATATGGCCATAACCTTAAGGATTATTATAAGAATAATAGATAATATTTCTTAAAGAAAATTGTTAATGGTGGTTTCATAGTATTGGACTCAAGTGGTTTAGAGTCACCATTTATTCTTAAGCAGACTTTATCTTTTAAATAGATATACGATTTGACGAATTTACATTTTAATAATATTTTAAGCAAGAAAATTTAGATGAATATGAAATGTAAGAAAAAGAAGAAATATTATAATATTTATCAAAATTAAATTAATAGTAAATATAAATCTTTGAGTCTTCTAAGAATTCAATTCATGATACTTATTATTTACCAAATGTTTAGATTTTGGATAAATAAAAACTTATATCTCTTATTAATTAATAAATAAAATATATTGAATAATTTCTAAATTTATAGAATGTTAATTCAACATAGTAAATAAGAAAGAATAACAATCTAGAAATTCAATTAATTTCAATACAATTTAATGAGAATAAATCATAAATTTAAGCAGTTATGTTTGAATAAGGAAAATGTATGGTAAAATTAAGAAACTGTTACTAAAGTTATGCTCCATAGAATAAGTAAATTAATGCTGATGGGTTTTTTGAAATTACAAATTAATTTTTAAAATAAAGATATGGAATAACTTTTGAGAATTTGATTAGAAATGAAGATAAAATCTATTTCTATGAAAAACTGTTAGAATCATTTACTTTACAAACATTTTCAAAACCTTTTGAGTAGGATGATGATGAATTGTTCAAATAAAATGGAATTCTATTAAGAGAATTAAATTTTGGTGGAACGAATAAAATATTTTATGATTCAAATCATTATAAAATTCCAATAAATTTTTCATTAATAGGTGCTAATGATATACCATAATTTGTTAGGATAGATCTTTATAATGAGGAATCAATTGAATAACACTGTATACTACTTAATATAACTGAAGAATATTGGATTAGGCCAGTTGTAACTTAAGTTAAGGTATGAATATAAATTTAAATATAATAGTAGGAAAAAAAAAAAAAGTAATAGAAATATAATAAAGAATTCAAAGTTGCTGGTTAATACTATTTATCATAAATATTATAATAGTGTGGTTGGTTCATTTTGGAACATCATATTTATATGAATGATGATAAATAACTATATATTCAGAGACTTGATAATTAAATTGGGAAATTAGAATAATATATAAATATGAAATCAGTTTCTGAATTAACTAAATGATTGTTAAATGTTTAATAAATTATATGTAAAAAATTCTTAAATATCCATTTACACATTTGAATAAATAATAGCCATTTTTTACTAAAACAAAAATAGGATTAGGTTTAGGAGCGGGTTTCTCATATATTCTGTATAGATAAGGGAGAGAAAGATATCAGTAAATGCATTTTTCGTCTATGTACAATCAGATTCCTGACACTGAAGTAATTCACATATTTAAATAAGGCACTCACATAAGAATACTTTGGAGAAAAGAATTCTAATAAACTTACTTTATTCTAGAGAATAATATAAAGTTTAAGAAGAAAGATTAGATTTTTACATTTGTTGCTAAAATTTGCCCCTTTGGCTATTGCTTTACCATTTTCATTAATGTTTAAGTCTTTTTTATTTCCATATTGGCTTAAATACTTAGTTTATACACTTTAATCTGCAGGTCCATTATGGATAAAATTAGGATAATGGGCTAGTCATAGAGGTGATATATTTGGGGAATAAATTATTAAAGCTTTAGAATCATTAAGAGATGATACTCGTCCTCATTCTATAGAAAAGACTAATTAATAATTTGAGTAAGCTTTTAATAAGAAAATTAAAGATGTTTTTGAAGAATTTGAAGATAAACCAATAGCTTCAGCTTCAATAGCTTAAGTTCATAGAGCAAAATTAAATGGAGAATATGTTGCTCTTAAAGTAAGACATCCTGACATTATAGATAATTTAGTTATGGATATAAGAATTTTATATAAGATTGCTAATTTTTTTAGTGAAACATTAAAAATTAAATAGTTAGGAATGCCTATTACATTTGAAGAATTTTAAAAAACTCTTGTGAATTAGACAGATTTAAGATTTGAAGGTAGAAATTTAAAAGTTTTTTGTGAAAAATTTCATAATAACCCTCATGTTGTATTTCCAAGACCTATTGAAGAATACATTTCAGCAGATATATTAACTGAAACATATGAGGATGCTATACCTTTAACATAATTTTTAAAGTAAGAAAGAACATAAGAACATTTATCATTAGCCAATTTAGGTCTGAAAGCATTTTATAAAATGTTAATATATGATAATTTTATTCATGCAGATTGTCATGCAGGCAATATAATGGTAAGAATTAAAGATTTTCATACTCCTACTAATTTTAAAGAAAGAATATAATAAAAATTATGGAATCTTTAAGATTCTGTATATGAAATTGTAGATGATTTAATTGAGAAAGGTTTAACAAAAATAGCAGAATATTAGACATCTTAGACAATGGATTAAGGAAATGTATATTAATTAATTATATATAGATGTTAAAATTAAAATAGGAAAAAAAATCAGATGAAAAATTGTTTCATTCATTTTTGAGAGGTTAAGGGGAAAAAAGAAAGGATGTTTAGATTATATTTTTAGATCCAGGAATGGTAACAATTTTAAATAAAAGTGATCGTGCATCTTTTATAAAATTAGTAATGTTTGTAACATTGAGAAAACCTTATGAATGTGGAAGATTGATGTTGTAATTAGCCTAATACAATCAAAGATAGATTGAACAAAAAGTATAAGATAAATTTATGAAAGAAATGTAAGATTTATTTACAAATGTTTGTAAAGTCCCTTTAGCTTAAATGAATATAGGATAAGTTTTGAGATCAATGTTAGAAATTTTAAGAGCAAATGGAATGTCAATTGAAGGTCATTTCGCAGCACTTCTAACAAATATGATTGTATTAGAAGGTTTGGCAAAAGATTTAGATCCAGATTTAAACATAGTAGCAAAAGCAGCATCTTTTATAATTCATATAAGAACAATAGATAAAACTATTGATGAAATCATTTAATAAGCATTGTGAAATTTAATTTTGTAATATTCAAAGAGTTTATTAGAATAAGATAATATTTATAATAATCTATGTTCTTATTTTATATATTGAAGAATTAAAGATAATTTAATAAATCTAATTTTTACTATAAAGATTCGAAATTTAAATTAAATAATATAATATATAATAAATTTATTATTCAGAAAATAGAAATATTTTATCAGAAAATGGACTATGTTTTATACTAAAGGAATTTAAATTTTTAATTTTATGAATAGAAATTTAAGAAGCAATCGCGCCAAAAAAGAATAAATTTTAAAAAGAGATTAAATAATATTGTGCAAAGTAGAGACTGAATATAAATTATACAAAATAGTTGAAGATTGGAATGAAAACGATCCAGAAATGAAAGTTTCTGAGATGATACCATTTGAAAAGAAAAAGAAAAATAAATAATAATATAAATGTAATGGTGAAACATCAATATCATCTTTAACATAATGGTAAAATATGATTTATAACAATAGGATTGATGTTTAAGGAGTATCAATAATAGATGAAGAGGAAACAATATATGTTGTTGATATGGAGATATACAAATAAAGTCAAAGAAGTTTAGTAAAGAATATAAAATAGTAAGTGAAATCATCATAAAAGTAATATGATGAAGATGATGAATCTAATGATCCTCCAATAAAAAAAAAAAGAAAATCAACATAATAAAAAACATCATAAAAAACATAAGGAGATACTCAAATTAGTTAATATGAAGAAGAAGATTAAAGTGATTAAAGTTCATCAGCAGAAGCTGAACCAGTTCCAAAGAAATAAAGATAATCAAGAAAAACAGAAGAGAAAGATAAAAAGAAAGGAAAAAAAAGAAAGAGGAAAATGAATGAAAATCTAAAAAATCTAAAAAGCGTAAGTACATAATTTGAAGGAAGTGAAGATTAATTAATTGATTATGAAAGCACAAGAATGAATAATAAGGAAATCATTAGAGCAGCAATAACAGGAAATTTAACTTTGATGGAGAATATTTTAACAAATAGATAAAGAATATCATAATTATATGATAGATGGGGACCAGAATATGATATTTCAATATTTGATATTCTATTTAAAAGATAAGATAAACAGTTACTTATATATTTCTTATAAAATTAACACAAAAGAGTTTATTTTCAAAGAGATTTACCTTGTTAATTAAAAGAAATAGATACTGGTTATAATAATAAATAAGCATATGGTGTTAAATTAAGAAAAGTTGCTTTAGGTAGAGGAAATAGAGAAGGTAATAATGCTTTTGTTTATGATTTAAATTATACTCATGATACTATTTCTGAATGTCGAAGATTATTGGAGATTGAAACAAATTGTGAAATGTATGAATAGTTATTTATTTATCTTAAATAATCAAAATATGATCATTATTTAATTGATAATGTTGCTTTTGCAGTAAGATGTGGTAATATTAAATCTGCTAAGTTTTTGATTAAATATTCATTAACAAATAATTTAGATGGTTATGGATTTAATTATTTACATCACGATGTTTTAGATGATAATTTTAGTACTTACAAATTAGATTAAATTAAAAAGATTTCAATTACTAAAAAAACTTAGAATGATTATTTAATAACTCCAATTCATTGTGCATGTATAAATCCCTCAGAAAATTGGTTAAAATATTTAATGGAATAAACAATGGAATATAATATATAAGATGAAAATGGAAGTAAACCAATTCATTATGCTGCTGTATCTTAAACATCAAATTGCTTAGAATATTTATTAGCTAATGGAGTTGATGCAAGAGAAGGAGATAAATTTTTAAATACTCCATTAATGTTAGCATCAAAATATGGTCGTTCTCATAATGTAAGATTGTTAACTAATACAAATCTAAAAGCAAAGAATAAAGAAGGAAATGCTGCAATTCATTTAGCAAGTATTAATGGACATGTTGAATGTGTTAAAATATTGATTGAAAATGGTTTATTAATTAATTTTGCAGGTAAAAATAGATTGACTGCTTTACATTTAGCTGCTGCTTATAATCATTTAGAATTACTTGAATATTTATTAGATGAAGGAGCAAGAATTAATGCTAAGGATAAATTTGGAAGAACACCTTTAATTATGGCTGCTAGAAATGGTAATTTAGCTATTTTATCTAAATTACTTTATTATGGAGCAGATTTTAAAATTAGTGATTCATCAAAAAATAATGCAATTCATCATGCTGCAGCTTATGGATTCTTAGAATGTGTTTAAACTTTAATAGAAGCTGGAGCTGATTAAAATGAATTTAATTCTTGGAAATTAAAACCTATGAATGTAGCTTAAGCTAAAAATCATTTTGGAATAGTTAAGGCATTATTGAAATATGAAAATACTGATGTTAATTGTATAGATGATGATGGTTTAACATTAGTTGCAGGACTTATTAAATAATTTGATCATTCATAAGAATAATTTGAATTTATTAAGTATATAATCACTGAAAAAAAGGCTAATATTAATATTTAAGATAAATTTGGTAAAACATGTTTATAACACGCATTAACTTGCTCATTCTCTGATTTATTAATTGATCTTATTTAATTATTAATTGATCATGGTGCTGATATTAATAGTTAAGATAAAGATGGTAGATCTAGTTTATTACATGCTATTAATGGAGCATAATCAGAAAACCAAAATAAATTAGTTAAATTATTAATTAAAAATGGAGCTAATATTAATTCTTAAGAAAAAGAAAATGGATTAACCCCATTTTCATTATTGTTATAGAAAAAAAATTATAAATTATGTCTTGAACTTATATAAGAAAATTAAATAGATGTTAATATTGTTAATAGAGAAGATAAATCATTTCTACATATTTTAATCGAAAATCAATTCTTTTATGAAGACATTGCAATTCAATTGTTTTAAATCCTTTTAGATAAAATTAATCCACAATTAATAAATGAACCTGATATTCATGGATATGTACCTCTATTAAAACTCATATAAATTTTTATGAGTTCTATTCATTAAAAAGTTTCATCAGAATTTTAAAACAATATTTAAAAAGCAAAAGATGAAATATGGTAAGATATTCTAAATGAGTATAACTAAAAATTTGGTAATGAAAAAGAAAAATAAGAGATATAATTAAAAGGAAATTTTAAAAAATTTGAATAACGATTATCAGAATAAATTACTTAAGAATCTTTAATTAATACTACAAATCTAAGTAATTAAGAGTAATAGTAAACATTTATATTAAATGATTAGAATGTGTCATCTTTAGGTGTAAATCTTTTATTTTAACAATAACCATAACAACAACAGTTAGTATAAAATAATTTATTTAATCCTCCTCCTCAATAAGGCAGTCTATTTAATAATTTATAGAACTTAAATTAAGGATTTCCTCAACCAAAATCATTCAATATGTTTGGATAACCACAAGCTTCATTTAGCAATTACATAAATAATGCGCCTTCAATCTAAGGATTCTATCCAGTTTAAAACTAAAATAATAATTTTGCATTTTCAAACTCTAATAAAACACCTGAAGAATTATTTTAAATTGATATTTAGTAAAGGTTATCTAATTCAAATTGTAAATTTTTTTAATCTTATTTTTATTATGATAAGCTCTAATTGTAAATTGGTATAACACCTTAGAAATAAACTGAAATAGAAATGAAAAGAGTTGAAGATGGATATTTTTATTAAAACTATATTTTTAAATTATTAAATCAATTAATTCAAAGAGGAGCTGATATAAATTTATCTGTAATTATAAGTAAATAGTTTAGGAATCAGAATTTAAAATAAACTTAAAACTTTAGTAATATTTTTCATTTAGTATTTTAATAATTCCCAAGTATTTCTTTTGTAAAAGAATTATTGAAGATTTTTCCTTATGAAATGATAACAAAAATGGATGGTTTTGGTACTCCTTTGCATCATTTCTTTAAAAACTTTAATCCTAATTTAGAAATATTGTATAGAAATAATGAAACATCAAATTCATTTTTAGACTACTTAATAACATTAGGTTTAGATTTTAAAGAGAAAAATTGTAATGGAGATACACCAACTTTATAGATTGCACTTAAATATAATTAGTCATGGCATTTTTTATTAAAGAAATTAATAAGTTTAGGAGGTTAAATAAATGATTGTAATAATTTTAATTAAGTACCTTTACATTAATTTGTAGAGAAAACAGATTTATAAGTAGTAAAGATTTATTTATCAGAATTTAAAGTAGATCCAAATTATTAAGATCAAAAAGGAAGGACATCACTTCATTTTGCAATAAACTTTAGTAATCCAAATGCAAATGCAAGTTTTTAAATGGAATAATAATTAATAAAATTTGGAGCTAAGTGTGATATTAAGGATGTATATGGAAGAACTCCATTATTTTATTCATTTACAAAATTTAATGATCCTCGTTAAACAAAAGAGATTGATCCATTTGAATCAGTTTCATCTTTGTTAGCTTTTAAGGAATGTGATGTAAATGTATTAGATCGGTATTAAAGATCTCCATTACATTATGCAGCCTTAAGAGGAAGTGCAATTTCAGGTAGATATATGATAAAAATGGGAGCAATTGTCGATAGTCCAGATATTTATAATAATACACCAATTGCATATTCCTTTTTTTAACATTCTAATTTTAGTACAATGTTGATTGATAATAAGGTAGATGTAAATAAAGTTATAAACATTCTCAGTCTATAGGAATTGACCTAATAGAAAGAAAAGTTTTATAGAGAAGAAATTAATAATGATCCAGAGATTGATAAATTAATGATTATTGAAGATGAATATGAAAGGGCTAAATTAACTGCCGAATAAAAATAATAATTAGATTTAAGTGATGAATCTGACGAAGAATATGAAGATGATGAATAAGATGATGAAATTCAATCAGATTATGAATCTTTTTAGGATAATTAGGAAAAGAATGTATTTTATTCAAGGAAAAGAGAAAAATAAAAATTATAATAAGCACCTCCTTCTTAATTTGTTAGAAGTTAAGCAGATAAGATTACATAAAGAGAAAGATTAATTTAACAAAAATTGAGATAAAAACTAGATTAAGATTTAGATATTCCATAACATTTACATAATAATTTACCAACAGGATAATATAGTTATTTTTCATAAGCAATTAAATTTGGATGGTAGGGTGTTGCTTATTTATTAATAAGTGATGGTTATGAATTTGTAAATGCTATTCAAGATTCCATTAATGCAAATTAATTCTAATTAGTTTTGACTCTCTTAATGAAAGTAAAAAATGAAAAAGATTTATCAAAATTAAATTCGTAAGGTTAAAATTTATTCCATTTATTTGCAATATATTCTGCTTCAGTTGCATCAGATCTCAAATAAGAAATAGTAGAATAATTTGAATTAAAAAACATAAGTCCTTATGTTTAAGATGTTAATCTAAAATTACCTTTGCATTATGCAATATCAAAAAATAATAATTCATTAGTTGAATATTTTCTATATAATAGAAATTGTGATCCAAATATAATGGATGATTCAGAAAATAATGCATTCACATTACTCTTACAACGTAGTTACAGTTAAAGTTTTGATAGAATGATTCGAATTGGATTGAAAACTGATGTTAAATTTAAAATATTGAATACTAATAAATACATTAAACCTTTTATGTATTTAGTTGATCATTTGAAAATATATGATGCTTGGACATTGTAATAATATGTAAATTATGGAGTTGATATTAATGAATAAAATGATTAAGGTTAAACAGCATTAATTATTGCAATTAAAAATAACAATCTAGAATTTGTTAAATTTTTAATAAGATAACCAACATTCAATATTTCATAATAATTAAGAGATAAAGATGGTAAAACTCCAATTCATCATGTTGTTTTACCTTTAGATTTTGGATCTTATGAAAATTTAGAAATGCTGCAACTTTTAATGAAAATATTTGATTATAATTAAACTGATAATAATGGATTAACTCCATTAGATTATGCATTAATTTTCGATGCTTAAGTTATGAAAGAAGAACTCTTAGCTAATAATGCTTATCATACTAGAAGTTTGAGATAATAAAGAATGGCTACTTCTATAATTGCTACAGCATTATGGCCAGATCATGAAGTTGATTTTGAAGAAGATGCATTAAAATTCTTAGAAAAGAAAAATATTTAAATTGAAGCTGAAATTGATAATAAATTAATTGTAGATTAATAAGCTAAAATTGCAAAAGGAGATCTAACTGTTTATGATGATCCTGATTATGGTCTTTGGTAATGTTTACTTTCTAAAGTTGATATTGTCAATAGAAACTTTCATAAAAATGTATTTTATAAGATGCAAATATTGTTTGATAAAAATAGAAATAATTATATTCTTTTTACAAAATGGGGTCAAATAGGTGAAGAAGGACAGTTCTAAATGACTCCATTTGAAAATTTAGAAACAACAATAAAAGAATATTGTAAAATATTTGCTGCAAAAACAGGTGGTAATAATTGGAAATTAATCAAATCTGGAGAAGAAGAATTCGATAAAAAACCAGAAAAATATTAACTAATAAAATGTTAAAATAATAAAAGCTATAAATCTCTTTTAGAACCTTTCGATTTAAGTGATAAATCACCATATCCTTAATGTAAATTAGATCCTAGCATTTTTTAAGTTGTTGAATAATTCTCTTAAGTTAAATTATATTAATAAGAATTATAAAACCATTAATTTGATACAGGATTTGTGCCTATTGAAAAACTAGACAAAAATACTATTTTAAAAGCTAAAGAAATCTTATTAGAACTCAAAGAGATTGTTTTAGAAGTCAATTTATATCAAAATTAATTAGATGTTGATTTAAAAAGACTATCGTAATATTATTCAGAAATTAATGATAAATCTGCAAGATATTATGAGATTATTCCTAAAACTTAAATGAGACATAATCTTTTACCATTATTAGAAACTTAAGAAATAATAAATTAATAATTGCAATTATTAGAATTATTATTAAATGTTGAATAATCTATTAAAATATTACTTGCAGCAAATTACAATCTAAATACTATTCATCCAATAACATATTGTTATAATGCATTGAATATTAAAATGCTAACATTAAGTTAATAGGATTTAGAATTTAAAATGATACAAACATATATTTACAGAACTCAAAGTGTACGCATAGCAAATATCTTTGCTATTGAAAGAAAAGGAGAAGCATAAAAATTTGAAAAATATAATTAAGGGTCAAGAATTCTCTTATGGCATGGATCCAAAATATCAAATTTTCTAAGTTTACTTACTTTAGGATTAAAAAGTAATTAATATTAATAAAATTAGTTGCACCTTCTTGGGCAGTCAATACAGGAGCAATGTTTGGAAAAGGAATATATTTTGCAGATTAATTTTCAAAGAGCTATAATTATACCTAAGATTATACTATCTATAATAATTATGGTTATAATTCATATTAAAGAAATTAATATAATACCAATTAGTATTAAAAATATAGATATTTATTATTGTGTGAAGTAAGTTGTATGAATTAAATTGAAGCATATAATGATCCATCTCAAAATCATTCACAATTTTATTGTATGATATTTAATTTATTTATTAGAACCTGAATATACTCTAAAAGCTGTTGGTTCAAAAGGTCCAGATCCTATTTCTTAAATAAAAATGCCTAATAGATGTGTTGTTCCTATCGGGTAAATTATTTCTAACACAATTCCACCTTAGTTGAAATAAAATAAAAAAGTTGATTTTTACACTCAAAATACTGAATACATCATTTATGATGAAAGTAGAGTTAAAATGAGATATTTAGTGTAAATTGAATAATGATTTATAATTATTTTTCATTATTATAAATGAAGATTATATTGAAGAAATCATAAACAAAGATAAGCAAAATGATTAAAAATCATAATTCTTAATTTATTAAGGTATTTTAAACTCTTCACTTTATTTACAAAGATTTTCCCTTTAGAGCAATATTTAATGGTATCTCTGATTTATTATATTAAGAATAAGTTTAGAAAATAGGCCGATTGAAAGTTTTTCTGTAAGTAATACATTTTTCATTTCTCAAAAATCTAGGTGTACATAATTTACTATTACTTGGAGAGTGAGGATATAACTAAATATTTATTAGTTGATGTACATCTGCTGAAGTTTTTAATAATGATGTTAATTTTTTTTAATTGACATCTAATTATTTATTTGATGAAGTTTTTATCAAATTTGTATGTCTTCTCTTATGATTTCCAGACAAAACTTAAAATTTTTACAATTCACTCATCAAAGTTATTGGAAGATGATCACTATTATTCTTAGAATTGTATTTAGTACTCATTTCTGTTTAAAAAGGTTCTCTATAACTTGAATTAATCTTTTTTTAGTTTAGTTATAAATAAGGTGTTGATTTTGCATTAGATTCCATATTTTAAGATTTATTATATTTATCATTTGGAATGGCTAAATGTTATGATGAAGTATTTAATATTAAAATATGATTATTATGCAAATTTTGATGAAGATGTCTTTCTGATTTTACTTAAGTTTGTAAACTAAATTAATTGGAAAATTAAGTTTATTAAGAATCAATACTTGTTCTCATATTTTGATCCTTTTAAACATTTTATTTTTTATTAGATTTCAATTTTAATAATAATGGTAAATCATTAGAATTGTAAACTATAATTAATATTAAAATTACATGAAGTTTTTGAATAAGTAAATTTATTTTTATGAACTTTTGTAAATTCTAATTCTTCTTATGTTTATTCTTACACATCCTCTTTTATGGGATTTATGTGATTATTTTAGTTCTAAATTTAATTTTAATTCTAATTCAATTAAATTAACTATAAGTATTATTAAAATTTTTCATATGTTGTTAATGAATTTTGCTATCATTAAGAAGCTTATTACCTAAATGGATTCTTATAATTCATTTCTGCTAATTAAATAATTTAAATAGCTTATCATATCATTAAATTAAAATGGTATATATCCAAAATTACTTGATGATTCTACTTTTGAATTTTATCTAACTTCCTTAATTATGTTATAGAAAACTATTAGATTTTATATAATTATTTATACTTTTAGATGCATCTGCATCGATCACAGAATTTTTAAACTCATCCCAATTTAATGCATCTAATTTATCATTTAAATAATACTATCTTTATCCTTATCGACTACTCTAAAAAAATCTTTTAGTTATTTTTCTGTAACACCAAATCCATATTTTTAAAACATATCGTACATTTCTCCAATATCAATATTTTCTATTTCATTCAATAGTCATAATACTTGACTTATCTCTATCAAAGTTGATAAATATTTTCTTTATTTCTTACTCTTACTTCATCTAATCAGGATATAAGAGATATTATTTTTTCACCTTATTAAAATGCCTACAATTATAAACTTGATTATTACCTTCTTCTTAACCATGAATTTATATCATTTGTTTACATCTACGATCGAGAAGATTTTTCCAAAAAAGGATTGCTTTAATTCATTATTTATTAAAATAATTTAGATTTTTACTTATTAATTTCATAATATCAAAATCAGAATTAATACCATCATCAAAAGTTGATTATCTGTTTCAACTTCAATAAATAACTTATTTATTATATTTATATTTCAATCCAGTTTCAATTTTTGTATTATTACTCATTTTATATATTATTATGAAAAAAGAAATTCCAATTATTTTCAATCCTAATTATTTACTTCAACTCATTATTTGTCTTCATAAATTTTTGTTTTAATCAGTTATTTAATTTTAAAAAAATAAAAATGAATCAGAAATCAATTTTATCTTTTCAAATACTTGTTATAACTTTAACATTTTCAAATGGCAATCTTAGATTTTTCTTTTTAACATAAAGTTTAATCAGATATTAAAGAAAATTTAAGTTAAGTGTAGAAAATTATTATTTACACTAAAACAAAAATCAAAGATTATAAAAGGAACTCTTAAATTATTTTAACAAGATATGATGCTTTATAATTAAACTAATATTTAATTAATATTTTATTTAGTGTAAGCAAACTCTTCTTAATCGGAATAATTTATTTCCTTCTTAATATAATGTATCAATTAGTTATTTATTAATTTACTCTATTATGTTCCATATATTTAAATTTTGTCTCAACACTACTTTTCATCTACAAACTTTACAAATGCGAGTTTGATAAAAAACTAATCATATTCGCAACCAAATATAAATGACTCAAAATTTAGATTGATATTTATAAATTTGTTAAATAACTCATAATAAGAAATTTCGTATTTTATATATTAGAAATTTGTGAATATATTTTGAGTTGCGAATAATGAGAATCTTAATTTTCATTAATAATTATTTGGTCTAATTATTTATTTTAAGACCAATCAAATCAACAAGACCACAAACTTTATCTCTATATTCTTTTTTAATTCTATTTTTTTCTCATCATTAAATTCTTGAAAAATCATCCAATGGCTTATATTTTATAATTTACTAATAAGAAATAACCAAATTGTATAAATTCTAAGTTATCTTTCTCCTATATTATTTAAATTAATTATATTCTCATGAATAAAGATAAAAAATAATAAAGAATCCATAATTTAGATCTAATCAAAATTAAATCTTTATTTCTTAATGTATAAATTATATTAATTAATTCAAAATAAAAATAGATATTTTTGATAAATTACTAAAATCATTTAAATTTTCAAATTTTAACTTTAGGTTAAGGCATAATTTAAACTTTCTAATCTAGCTATGTTATCAAATCTAGTCCTTATAAATTTCCTTATATCTCAGCCCAGGTAAGATGCATCTACATATATAATATAGTTTTACTTTGGTCAAGTTATTTGCTTAGCTATCAGCAAATTTAATGAAATGTTTTGCATAAATATTGATATTCTATTCAAAAACTCTCTTAATTTCATTATAAGTAGATAGATTATAATATGCATATGTATCTCTTAAGTCATTCTATTAAGATGTTTCTTTAGGCAGTATAACACTTAAACAATATTTTTTATTATCAATATTTTATTTTAGATCTTCTAATATTTCTTTAGAAACTTCCCATTTGTTGAACTCTTTTAATTAATAGAACTTTTCTTTTTTCAAATCTAAACGTTCCTTATATTTTAGATATTCAACTTAACTTTATTATCTGAGCAACAAATGTTCTTTTAATTAGGTAATTTCTTTGTCATGATATTTAAAGAAATTTCTAAAATTTTCTTAAATATAATTTTCATAATTTTAAAAGTTCTTACCCCATATCATCATCATATTATTTAATGTAATTGTAACTGCTTCAAATTTCAAAATTTTTTCAGAATCTTAGACAGAGTTATTAAATTAATTGATGTGATTGGTAATAAGTTCAAAAGATTCTCCCATTTAAAACATAGTTGCTGAAACCATTTCAAAATCTTATAACATTTTTTTAGATTATTTCATAATTCTAATAATAATAATATAATTTACATTTCAAAGTCTAAATTTAAACTTGTCATTAAATTACCTGCAGCCTTAATATAATTATCAGTTTAAGGATTAAATCCAACTTCAATTTGTCCAGTTTCACTTATGACTTTATCTAATTTTGTAGTTTTTTGAAGTTTCTCTGAAGCACTTTAAAGTTATTTAAATTCTTTTTCATCTTGCATTTTAAGAAATTCACAAAAGTATTTGTCATTTTTGAGAATATTTGAATTGAGTAAATGATTTAAGAATTTCTAAAGAAATAGGAATTAAATAATTACTTCTAAGAATTTCATTCTTTTAATTAGATAAGCATCACTAAATTATCTAGTTGGAGTTTTATTAGCAATAGGAGGTACAAATACTCCAGGATATTATCTTGTTAAAATTTCTCGAAGCCATTCAAAATCTGAATATCTTCTGGTGACTACCCATTAAAATGGATTTGTAACAATTTTATAATTTACATAAGATTTACTAAGACTAAAGAATCCTGAATCTTTTTTATCAAAACTAAAATGATATATAATAAAATACTTTTCAATTAATATTTACACATTATTTGTATTTCCAATATCAGTTCCAATCATTTTTTAACAATCAATCTTCCTTTTAAATCCATTATCATCATCAATAATTTGCATCATCTAATTCCTTGTTTTTTGATAATCCGTGACTGCTTGTATTAATTCATCCATCATCCAAATATCTAAATCTTAACCTCCATTTTCTTTCTTTCTATCCATGTACTTAGTAAAATCTTCACTATCATAACCTTTATTAATAATTTCATCAACCAAAAATTATTGTTTCTCTTCCAATGACATAATCTATATTAATTAATTTATTAAGATTCTATATCAAGATTATTTAAAATATATTTATTGTTATTATTAACTTAATCATGTTCTACCACCTTCACCACTAGCTCCAATTCCTTATGTTGAAACTAATTCTCCTTCCTAAACATCATCATCATCATCATCTGGTATCTCAACAACTTTACTAGAAGTTGTCTTTGTGACTGTTTCTTCAATTACAGTTTCTTCTTATGATTCCTCTACTGTTTCTTAAGTCACAGTCTTTGTAACTGTCTCACTTTTTTCATTACGTTCTTCCTTTTTCTATTATTGTGATTATCCAACTATCACTTATTCTTCCTTTCTTTATTATTATTATTATTATTCAACTATGACTTTTTCTAATGAATCAACTCTATTCACTTTCACATCAGGATCATTTTCCTTACACTTTTTATTTATCACTTATATTTTGCCTTCAGCATCATTAATAATATTTATAGTGACCTAACCTAAATATTTTAATTACATCAGCATTTCCACATTATTTAGCTATATGTTTTCTCTCATCTAAAAATTTGTTAACCATTTATTCAATTCTATCACAACATTATTTACTCTCTTCCTCACCTAAAAGAATTCTTCATTTATTATTTACTTGTTGCTGTTTATAATAATTAAATTGAATGCTTTAATTAATTGATCTCATTCACTCTCCATTATTAATAAATTGTATGCTATTTCTTATGTGTATTGTGTCTTAAAGCAGCCAGTATTCTTTTTGCTCTATGTAAAGTATCTATAATTAAAAATCTTTTTACTTGAATTTCTCTATCTATTAAATCTTTATTAATTAAGTGTTTTATGTGCTGTACTCAATAACCTTATTTCATGATGTATAACCTTTTCATCTTAATAAAGCTCAGCCCACATTTTTAATTAGTGGCTCATCTATAATAAATTTGTTTAGCAATCTAACTAATTATAGTCCATAGTCATTAGCTTATTTAAATTGGTCAAGCTTACACCATTTTCGAGTTAAATTAGCGATTCTTTCAATACATATATTTTGTACCCTCTTAACATAGACAAACGCTAACAAATAGGAGGGTTAATAAAATTTTTTTCATAAAAAATAATTAAAAACTTAAATAAGTTTTTTAAATAACCCGTTTTTATTCTTATATATGCGCATATACAAAATAAATATTAAATTTCAAACCCTATTTACTTAAATAATTGAAAAAATAAATTGTATTTTATAAGTTTAGAAATCGGAGTAAAAGTTGCGAATTTTATCATTTATAATTAGATCCATTCCTTTTTCTATTCTTACTGTTCATTTAAAAAATCAATATGAATATTAATTATTAAAATATTTCAGCTTATGTTTTAAGATATATTCCTCCTTTTTATTTTTATGTTAAACTTCTTTCCAATTATAAACTCTTTATATATAATAATTTTATGTGTTAATTTTCTTAATATTTTAATCTAACATAATTAACATAAGATTAATAATATTATTTTTAAGATATTACTATTCAAAATGCAATAGTGTGGCGGTTGTATTTCAACTTAGGATGAAAACGAAAATCTCTCATCTGGTTTGAGCTTGTATAATTTAAGCTAATATTGATATTAGTGATTAGGAGGAATGTGAAAATAAAATAACAATTGAAAGTAAGAGCAAAAATAAAAACTCATATATTGTTAAATTAAAGACAGAAGTATTTAGAAATAATAATAATTTAAGATTTGTAAATATTGGGCAATAGAAGGTTATTGTCCATATGGATAATAGGTACATAAAATAAATATATTAAATAGTGCGGATTTGCTCATGGGAAACATGAAATGAGATAAAAAACACATGTGCCTCCTAATTACAAAACTCAAGTTTGTAAAAACTATAATAAATTAGGGTATAGATTGTGTAAATTATTAGATATTGTTGTTATGGAGAAAGATGCTAATTTAAACATCCTGAAAAAAAAGGAAATAAACTTCCTTGTCTTACTTACTAAAATATTTTAAATAACATAGGGAATATATTTTTTAAACAAAAGTATTAGAATTCTTCTATATTCCTAGATTGATTAAAGATTAAAAACGAAGTAAAGGTTTGCCTTATAAAATTTGATTATAATTATTATAATTTGTATTTATGAATAAATGTAATTTAAAAATGACTAATTATCAAAAGTAGTGAGTAAATTATGAATCGTTTTTTTAGGAAGTAATATTAAGAAGCAACTCTCTTAAATTAGCTTTTGTTACAGGTTTCTCTATGGCTCCTAGCATTCCTACTTATTGGTAGGTTTCTAATTAAGCTTTTGTTTATCGATTGCCTGTACATGCGATAATTTTAAGACTTTGATCAAAATCTAATAGTTTCTTGGCTGTTTATAATCCATCCATTATAGGCATTTCAATATCTAAGAATATTAGTTTGTATTGGCTAAAAGCTCGCTCTTCACATTTTTTTAATGCTATTTATCCTGAAATAGCTGAATCACAAGTTATGTACAATTATTCCAAAATATATTATAAGACAATAATGTTAAATTCATTATCATCTACAATTAATACAGGAGGCTATTTTGATGTTTAATCCAACCAATTATTTGTTTATTCAATAATTTAATTTGATTGACTAGTTGATTTTCTTTAGTAAGATTTTTCACAATCTACATTAAATGGAAGCAATCGATTTGAAGATAATAAATTTGATGAATTCACTCTCAAATTATACTTTTTTATTGATTAATTATTATTCCCAGGTATTACTTGTTAACTATCAAATGATGGTTGTTTAATAATTGGCATTGTGAAATCTTTTGATTTGAAACTACAGCTCTATTACTAAAAAAAATGTGTTTCTGGTAAATTATTCACTTCCTAAACAGCACCATCAGAAATTTAAGAATCAGAAAGATCTTCATCTGGAAACTTTTAATTTAAAATTTAAAAAGAAAATGTTGCCCCTTTTTCATACTATGATTCTACAAAAATCCCTTAATTATTAGAAGATAATAATTTTGATAATTCATTACTTATTAATAATCCTAAACCTATACCATTTGGATTTTTCTCAAAATTTTCCTTATCTTCTACTCTTGCAAATTCTTAAAATAGCATATTCAAATTCTCAGATTTAATTCCTAAACCATTATCTTTCACTTAAACTCTAAAAGTTTAAGATTTCATTGTATATTCACAACTTATTATTATTTACCCTTTTGCAGTCGAATATTTAACTGCATTACTCAATAGATTCATTATCACTTATCTAATTCTATTTTTGTCACTATTGACAAATTGAGGTATATTATCATCGTAATTTAATTTAATATTTAATTCTTTTTTTTCTTTTTATATATCAAATATTGATATTGTTTTTTCAATTAACTTTTTCAAATTAAACTTTTTGAATACTAAACGAATTTTCCTATTTTATAGCTAAGCTTAATCCAATATATCATTAACTAAATTCAGTAATAATCTACAAGAATTTAGAGAAGGTTTTAAATATCTATCAGCCAAAGCTTTTTCAATTTAATCCTTTAGACATAATTACATATTTATTATTGCATTAAGAGGAGTTCTCATATCATGAGACACTTTACTTAAAATTTTCATGTTTTCTTTTGTATTATTTATTTAAGGTTCTTTAACATGTACAACTGGTTTTAATTTTTTTTAAAGAATAAAAAAATAATCTTATTAAGACGTTAGACATCTAAAAAAATTGGATTAGTTAGTATTTTCATTAATATATACTTTCTTAACAATTATAATATAATTAGATGATGTTTCATAAGTTTAATCTTACCAATTATTTTAAGTAGTTTTCAAGTGATTGAAAATTGCCTTGAATTCAAAAGTATTTTTTTCATCTATTAATTTTGGTTATATTCCTATTGTAATCTAATCTCTATTTGTTATTATACGATCACTTCTTTCATCTCCACCTCGAATGACATAATCATTCATAATGCTCTGAAAATTCTCTTATTCGTTTTCTGGATTAAAATTATTATCAAGAATTATGAATATGTCTGAACTTAATTACTTAATAATTTCTTCCATTTAATCAATTGTGTAAGATTGTTTTTTAAATAAACTTAAAAGCAAAAAGTAGCATATACAATTTCTCACAATACCCGTTGCTAAATAATTCATATCTGCAAAAGTAAAAGAAGATGAATGAATGCAAAATAAAATGAATATCATTATTCTTGTAAGCTTCTAGTTAAATTTGAGAATGCAAACTATTTGAATTCCAACATAAATCATCCAAGATCGATAAAAAAATTAGGAAACTATAAGTATTTATGCTAATTTAAGTATGTTGACTAAGGTCCTTAAAAGCTAATTTCTTGTTATTTGTTCAATTATAAATATTATGCCATGAAAAAATGCTGATGATAAACCTAATATTAAATATAATATCTCGTTAGTGATGTAAAATTAAAAGTGAAGTACAAGACTGTCAACTGCTAAGACTATTTATAAAATTTATTGGTCACTTAACATTTTAAATACTTATTTGATTTAATAAAAATAAAATCAGAAACAACATAAGCAGTGTCTATAACATGTATAATTATTTATTAAAGATGATTCATTTAAAAGAAATATACAAATAAATAATTAAGTATAATCATTTTATATAAATCTTAAATTAAGTTATTAAATTACAAAAAATTTTTATGCAAAGTGAATAATTAAATTATTTTACTTAAAAACTATTGCTAGAAGATCAGAAACTATAGAAATTGTTTTCTTCACTCTTAAGCTTTTGAAATTGGTAGGTTGGATGGAGTTCATTATGAAACAATAAAATGAATAATCTGGAAATTGTAGAAATCGTCAAAAAAAAGACAGTAATTAAAGACTTTAAGAAATTGGGATAGTTAAAATAGAGCAGAATATTATATAAAAAGATTTTAATATCCTTAGAAATCTTATGAGCAAAGCAATAAAAGAATTTGACTTTATAATTATTAAGAAAGCTATTGTGAGTATTAAAATAATTTTATTAAGAATCCTCAAGTGGATTTTGTTAATATCTACCCTAATGCTTTAGAAATTAGGTTTTATAGAAAAATATTCATAAATTAGATAAAAGTTTATTAAAAACGAATCTGGATTAAGCTATAAAATATTGAATGTTTAAATCGATAATTTTTAGAAGTAATTTATCTATGATTTGAATAAGAGGGAAAGTTATAAATTTATAGATTGATAATATTTTTTAAAGGAAATTTCACAATATAAATGTTGAATTTATTATTCATTAATATATAAATTTTAATATCTTTGACTTTTCTTCTTTATTTTATTAATCTAGGATAGGATAATGTATAAAGTTAAAGATATTTCTCAATTTTTAAGGTTCAATATTAAAGTGCTCAGCCCAAAACTATAAATTATACTAAGTATAAATGAAATAAATCTTACTAATTTAGGATCTTTGTTGTTCAAATATATAATTTTAGGAATTTCTGTTAATAAAATCCTTCCTTCTTCACTTTTATATATTTAAGTTTTATCGTCAATTTACAATTTTTCAAATTATTCAGCTTTTTTATATAATTCTTTTAATTCTTCTTAATGACTTGGAATTTGATGCATAATATCGCCCATAATTTGTACTTATTTGACTAAGTTTATGTCTTTATCTTTCCTATCAGAATATTGAACTGGTTAATCTCCTCCTATTTTTTCTTTGAGAGCTCTATTTGCTAAAGTTTATAGATAAAAATAAATACATTATTCGATTAATTCTTAGATATCTTATTTTTTATAATCAGCTAACACTTGATCTAATTTAGATTCATATGTATTGTGTGGAATTAGAATTGATTATGAAAAGTCAAGAGAATTTTTAATATGAGCTTCCCATTTTTCTGTCCATACTTTTCTTAATAATTCATGAGATTCTACAAAAGGAGGCATTTATAATTTATTTTATTCTTTCCTAATTTTAATTTTATTCAACTCCAAAAGATCATGATAATCATCATTAATTTTTGCTAATTCTTTATATCCTTCATATACCTCAAGATCTATTCCACTCAAATCTTATCTCAATAATAAATTCTCAATAATAGCATCAATATCTGGAAATCCTTATTTTAATTTCTATAAAATATAATTTATAATATTCTACCATTTCTATCCAATCATCATATTTATTACAAAAGTGAACACATTTATTATAAACAAACATCATCATTTCTCTTTATTCATTTAGAATAGTGACAATAGGATCATCCGATTCAGGTATTCTACTCTTTTCTATAATTTAGATTACACTTGTCTCTTAGACATCTAAAGTAGGTCTATTTTCTTGAATTAATCTTTATTTATATTCTTCTAATTCTCCTATTTCTTCTTAAAATAATTCTGGCACAACTTCATACAGTTTTTCTCTTTGAATTGGCAGATTATTCATAACATGATAATGAACAGTCTCAATATTTTTCATTGTTTCAGGATTCAATACTAATCCTGAAACATGTCTATGTTAAAATTCAATATAATTAATCATGGTTAATACTGTCTTTTTCTCAATCCCTCTCAAAATAACCATATTAGGTTCTAAAATTGCAATATCATTCTCTAAAATTTTTAATTCCTCTTTTTCTTTATCTATTTAAGTTAATTAATTATTAATCTCCTCTAATTCCTTAAGAAGTGATTTTCTTCTTTCTTCATCCAAATAAGCATCTTTATTTATAGAGTTATTTTCAAGAGTAGCATTAGTTGAAACATAATCAATCTAACTTGATTCAAATTGTTTAATTAATGCAATTTCTTTTTCTAAAACTCTTTTTTTCAATTTATTCTTATATTCAATCAATTGCAATCTCTACTTTCTCCTCTCTTTCTCAAACTTTTCAAATTCATTTTAAATATCAACATGTTTATACAACCTTTGCTTTCCTGGAGTAGGTGCACTTCTTAGATAACTATTAAAATTAGTTTATAAGAATCTATGCCAAGTTTAATATAGTTTTTATTTAATTGACATATATAAAATAATGAAATTAATTAATGTATTATTAATCATATCTGTCACCTTCTTAATTCCTTTTATAGAATAAACTAACTGCATTACTTTTTTATATGAAACTAAGTATTGCAAAATGCAAACTTTTAACCAAATTTACTAGAGATCATTAGATTATTCATTCCTAGCGGCAAATTTATAAGCCTTTTTACGAAAAATTGGGTGACAAAAATAATTTTTGTGTTTTGGCTGTGCCATTCCTTAGGTATTAATTTTAGCTTAAAAGAAGTTTTTAGATGCGGATGGTAGTGTTCAAATATTTCAAAAATTTATTTCAATTAACTAAAATTTTTTTTATGGTTGATAACCATTTTTCTAAGATCTTACATTTTTTTTCGATTTATCGTTAGGTTATCGGTTAGATTCATTTTTAATGTTAACAATAAGCACTTTTAATTCATATTAACCAAATGGATAATTTAATGATAGCAATTGTTTTTCTTAGCTATGATTTCTAGTTTTATTTCTTATACGTCAAATTAATAAGATAAAAAAATGAAGAAAAAAATGGAGAAAAAGAAAAACTAGGAAAGAATAGGAAATATGGTTATAGATTATTTTTTTAATAAAAAAAGTTAATACTGTAATTTTTGCATCAATTTAGATTTTGATTTTCTTGAGTCATTCTTTTCACGTAATATTTATTTTTCGTAATTGTTAGCAAAACAAAAAGGTCAAATTTTCAACTGCTATCNTGGCAGATTATTCATAACATGATAATGAACAGTCTCAATATTTTTCATTGTTTCAGGATTCAATACTAATCCTGAAACATGTCTATGTTAAAATTCAATATAATTAATCATGGTTAATACTGTCTTTTTCTCAATCCCTCTCAAAATAACCATATTAGGTTCTAAAATTGCAATATCATTCTCTAAAATTTTTAATTCCTCTTTTTCTTTATCTATTTAAGTTAATTAATTATTAATCTCCTCTAATTCCTTAAGAAGTGATTTTCTTCTTTCTTCATCCAAATAAGCATCTTTATTTATAGAGTTATTTTCAAGAGTAGCATTAGTTGAAACATAATCAATCTAACTTGATTCAAATTGTTTAATTAATGCAATTTCTTTTTCTAAAACTCTTTTTTTCAATTTATTCTTATATTCAATCAATTGCAATCTCTACTTTCTCCTCTCTTTCTCAAACTTTTCAAATTCATTTTAAATATCAACATGTTTATACAACCTTTGCTTTCCTGGAGTAGGTGCACTTCTTAGATAACTATTAAAATTAGTTTATAAGAATCTATGCCAAGTTTAATATAGTTTTTATTTAATTGACATATATAAAATAATGAAATTAATTAATGTATTATTAATCATATCTGTCACCTTCTTAATTCCTTTTATAGAATAAACTAACTGCATTACTTTTTTATATGAAACTAAGTATTGCAAAATGCAAACTTTTAACCAAATTTACTAGAGATCATTAGATTATTCATTCCTAGCGGCAAATTTATAAGCCTTTTTACGAAAAATTGGGTGACAAAAATAATTTTTGTGTTTTGGCTGTGCCATTCCTTAGGTATTAATTTTAGCTTAAAAGAAGTTTTTAGATGCGGATGGTAGTGTTCAAATATTTCAAAAATTTATTTCAATTAACTAAAATTTTTTTTATGGTTGATAACCATTTTTCTAAGATCTTACATTTTTTTTCGATTTATCGTTAGGTTATCGGTTAGATTCATTTTTAATGTTAACAATAAGCACTTTTAATTCATATTAACCAAATGGATAATTTAATGATAGCAATTGTTTTTCTTAGCTATGATTTCTAGTTTTATTTCTTATACGTCAAATTAATAAGATAAAAAAATGAAGAAAAAAATGGAGAAAAAGAAAAACTAGGAAAGAATAGGAAATATGGTTATAGATTATTTTTTTAATAAAAAAAGTTAATACTGTAATTTTTGCATCAATTTAGATTTTGATTTTCTTGAGTCATTCTTTTCACGTAATATTTATTTTTCGTAATTGTTAGCAAAACAAAAAGGTCAAATTTTCAACTGCTATCAAGCTTCTAAAAAGTAATTTAAAACTTAAATTATAATGAATAAAAAATTTAGAAAGCAAGTAGATACGCTAAATGTTGGGAGAAATTAGAAGATGAGAAAGAAAGGTTTAAAATTTTAAAACTCATACATTAGTCTACATAGTTAAAAAAAATAAATTATTTTAGAATTCAATTTAAATTTATTTATTGTATAACAACACTTAAATGGAACAATATAAAATAATAAATGAAATAACTTAATTAAATATTCTAATTATAAAGATATTAAATTCTCAAAGCAGCTAACCCTTAAATCCAATCCATTTAGAAAATTGATTTGATGAATTTAAAAATATCAAATGCAATTATAATATATAATATTTTCGATAAGCTAAAATTATGAAAGATAAAAATAGAAATGGAAAGATTTAGAATAAAAATACTCAGTATAGAAAGTTAAAAAAAGGAAAATATTTCAGAAAAACTAATAAAAATGGAAATGTTTATCAAGTTGCCAATATAATAACTATCTAAAATTATAGGATACATCAATGAATTCAAACTCATTTTGTAGCTTAATTAATATTCCCACAAAATAAATGTATGACAATCACAAACTATCTAAAATAAAATTGAACATTACTTAAATTTATCACTAATTTACTCAATTATCTTTAAAAGGATTCTGAAAAAAAAATTAATCCTGTTAAAGTTGATGGCTCATTGATTATTAAAACTTATGAAGAAGTAATTTAAATTAAATTTTTACTCAATTTTAATTAAAAAATACTGATTCTTGAATATTTGATTTAGAATTATCAAATAGAGGATGATTGGAAACCTTTTTACAAGCAACCGGACTAAAAAGCATTTACCTTTTTAAATTAAATTAATACAACATAATAAATGAACAATAAAGACATAGCTATATTACAAATTTCACAGTTGGTTTTCCTTTTTAGGAGAACCATCAATGAATATTAGCATCAAACCTAAAATTTTTTAATTTAATATTTCTGTTTGAAATGATATCATTAAAGAATTTCTTATCTATAAAATCAAGTTATTAACATATCTAAATAAAGAAACTATCACTGTCCGATTAGCAGAATTTGAAACTGAAATACCATATAGTGAGTGCTCTTGATAAAATTAAACAATTTGTTGTAATTATAAAAAATTTAATAAATTATATCATACTTAATGTAATTAAATAAATATATATGTACAATATATATATATATATATCAGTTTATTTTATTACTTAATCCTGCTTCTTTTATTATTTATTCTAAGTTTCTAACATGCAATTATAATTATTCAGGAGACATTTATGAAATTTAATCATCTTTTTATTTCATTACTGAACTTCCTCTTATTTATTTTCTAGGAGTGACTCCTTAACTTTTAGTTTCTATATTTTATTTTGAACCTTACTATTAGTAATAGCTTTCTAAACATTCTATCTTCTTTTGCAATTCTTACATTTTACGTACATCTACTTAAATGATATTTTCATATATCACTATTTCAGCATTTAATTTTTAAAGTTTAGCTATCTGATCTTTTAAATCTTTTATCTCCTATTAAGTATTCTCCTTTTAACAATTTATTTCAACATCTTTATTTTCTTTTTCCTTTTATAATTCATTATTAACTTTTTCTGCTTATTTTAACTATTCTTAAAGTTCTTTTACTATTTTCCCTTATTTTTAAAACATTGAATCCTTTTTCTTAAATTCCTCTATTTATTTAGCAAAGTTTTCTATTTGCTGATCTTTAGATAGATCATTTTATTCCCATTCTGATAATTATTCATTTGTCTCTTTTATCTACTTTTTTAAATCTTATTCTTTTTTTTCAGAATCTTATTATTATTTCTTTATTTTTTCAGTTTATAAATCTATTTATTATTATAGCTTTTTAACCTGTTCTTCTAATTTCTTTTAATTCTAGTTTAATTGTTAAGCTTACTTTAATTCTTAATTCGATTAATTTATTTCATTTTAAAGTTTTTCTATTTCTTCTTTTTTTGCTTTTGTATCTCTATCAATTTGTTACTATAGCTTTTTAATTTATTCTTCATGTTTTTTTTAATTGCTAATCTAATTCTATAAATTCTTTAGCTCTTCTTCTTTCTAATTAAGTGTAATCTTAAGTTTCTCAACTTCATCCTTCAAAAGTTTATTTTAATTTAAATCTTTTGAAATTTAATCGTTTTTCTTATTTAATTCTCTAAGTTAATCTTACTGTTTTTTCAAATTCTCATCTTTCACTTTAATTTATTACTCTTAATTAATTATTGTATCTTATAGTTTCTTTAATTCTTATTATTAAGCTTCATTTTATTTTTTCTATGAATTTGCTAATTGTTTTTATTGTTATAATTCCTTATTTTCCTCTTAAACTTTCTTTAAACTCTACTCTTTACCCTTTAATTAATTTTCAAGAGTTATTATCTATTATTTACAACTTTTTAATTCAGCCAATTATTTTTCTTTTGTTTCTAAGAGTTATTTTAGATTTTCTATTTCTTCTTCATTAACTTAGATTTTTTATTTTTATTCTTCTAAAATTTTAATTTAATTGTTTAATTAATCATTTTTTTAAATTGATTCAATTTTTTAATCTAATATTTATTATATTAAATCTTATTTATTCTATGATTCTAATTAAGTTGCAAAGTTTTTCAATTCATCCATTCTATACGAATTTAGTTCACTTAAAGTAGTCCCATCATCACTTTATGGAATTTGTTCAATTTTCTTTTATATTTCTTATCTATGTGATTCCATTTCTTATTATTCTTTTTATTCTAATTCAGTTTATTGAAATTAAAGTTGCTTAATCTTTTGAGATGATACATTAATATTTTAAATTAATTATTCTATCTCTTATTTTTATAATTAGAGTTATTTTAGTAATGCCTAAATTTATTATTCTTTCTCAATTAATTTATCATTCTATTCAGCCTCTTATTTTCTCATATTTGTTTAGAGTTCAGCATTCGATAAAATCTATTTTTAACTTATAATAATAATTTCTTAATCTTTTCCTTTCATTTATGTTTCTAATATTATAACTTACTATTCTAATTTTGCTAATTGGTTTATCAATCCATCTATTTATTCTTTTAGGACTAAATTTTCAGATTAAATATTCAAAGTTTTATCCAAAGGTCTGGATGAAATTAAATTTTGTAATTTCTTAATTTCATACTCTTATTTTGCTAATAAATCATTTTGTTCATCAATTTATTAATAATTTCTTTAATTTTCTAGCTCTCTTTCTGTAATTAATTCTTTTTACTTATTGCTCACATCTTTTAATTGGTCTTATAGTTTGTTAATTTAAAAATCTTTAATTTTCAACTATTATTCATATTTTTCAATCATTTCAACTTAAACATCTGAATTAATTATATTTTGCTCTAATTCTAATTTTAATTAAATAATCTAATTCTCTAAATCATATATTTTATTTTAACTTTATTCTTTATCTTTTAGACTTTTATTTTCAAGCTCTTTTGTTTTTAGTTATTATTGAAGCAATGCAATTTTTGCTTTTAAATCTTCTTCCTTTTAATCTTTCAATTATAAATTTTATTATATTTCCTTTTTTTCTTCTATAACAGATTATAAATTAGTTTGCAATTTATTCTTCTCTTTAATTTAATCCTACAGTTTTTTAAGTTCTAAATCTTTTTATTTAATCTAATTTTATATTTAAAAAACTTGTTGTTATTATATAATAAGTTCTTCATTCCTTAGATTTTCAAGGGCATTCAATTTATCTTCATAAATTTATAAATCATCTTGTTACTTAATTATATTCTTTTTATGTTCTGATTCCTTTTTTCTAATATTTCTATTATGAGATTTAATTTCATTATCTTATTGATCAATTAATAATTATTTTTCTTAAATTTTATATTCTAAATCTTTGATTAAATTAACAAGTTTTTCATTTTCATTATCTGCAATTTATTTTTAATAAAGGAGATCATTATATTATTTTTCTTTGATTTATAATTCTTACTATATTTTTTCATATAGATATAAATATGAATCTTAATCAGAAATTTAAGAACGAGGACTCTTTTATTCATTAAATCCTTTTGCTTAAGATATAAATTTTCCAGTTTAAAAATCAAAATTAGATCTTCTTTTAACAGTTGTTTCTATATCATTATTTAATTCTAAATGATTTTATTCTATTTTAATATATTATTGCTTATTTTAAAGTATATTTTATTTTTGTATTATTTCATTTCTAGATGAATTGAGACTATAATTTTTCTTCAATTAATCAATAATATTATTTTTTTCATCAAGTTCTTATTATAATTTATATATTTTTTTTTTTTGTTCTTCTAATTATAATGATTGAGTTATTTTCTCCACTTACAATTATTCCATTTAGATTAAGATTTATTTATTATGGTTTTTTGATAATTCATCATCTTTTTGATGTATAATCTTATTCATCTCTTCTATTTTCTATTATAAATCTTCAATTATTGTTTCATATTATTAAACTTGATGATTATTTTCAGATTTTGTATATGATCCTCTCTAACTTTCAATATATTTTTTATTAACCAAGTCTAATTCATGTATTAATTTTTAATTAAGATGTTCTAAACTTTCGATTTTATCAATCTAGCACGTTATTGATAATATTTTACATAGTCTTTTTAAGTTATTTCTAACTGTAAGTCTTCTTCAAAATGCTACTGATAATTTGCTAGTTCTCTATCCTTTTAAACTATGATTTCTTTCAAGGTTGATAGTTCTTTTTCTAGATCAAAGAGATTTTTTTAATTTAATGAAGAACATTTCTAATTTTTACATCTTTTGATTTATTCACATAACTATATATTAATTTCAGATAATTCTTAATTGTTATTATAAAGAATATCAATATTTTCCTTCAGTTAATCATTTTCTTAAATTTTCTCTTTTAACAGTAAAGTCTAAATGAAATCTAAATGATAAAAAGTACCAATTTTTCATTTGCATTAATAACTGCATTAAGTCTTTGATCCATATCATCAAAAGTATTAGATGATTTTGATGGAGAGTATGTATAATCATACTATCGGTACATATATTTAATTTTATTTAATATAAACAACTCTAATAAAACAAAAATATTGTATCATTTGATTATAAATAATCATAATAGTTTTTCAAGAGTTTAACATAATAATGTAAATTACAGTTCTTCTTCTCTATCTTCCGAATCAAATAAAGACTACTTAAATTCTATTTCATTCTTTTTCAATAGTGATTAAGTATGTGCTTTTGACATCTTAGTACTACCACTTGTATCATCATGTTAACTAAAATAATTACCATTAGCTTTTTAAATCTTTTCTCGATTCAATTATTAATTAGTATTAGATATACGAAATTTAGTCTAAATGGTTTTATTAGTAACTTACTGATGGGGTTATTGGATTTAAACTTGGCTAACTCTTTTCTCTTGTAAGTTATCTGGATATCAAAGGTCTAGGCAACGATTTTCTTGAAAAGTTAAATTATGAATGTGTATTCATTAGGTTCATTATATTTATTTTATAATTAATTTCATATTTTAATATAAAAATTGATATAGATAAATTCCCTTTAGAATTTACAAATAAAATATTTTTAATTTAAGATTTTGCTTTTAGAATAATTATCAATAATTTATATTTCAAATAAATTTCTATATGAATTACATTATCTCTGGATCATGTCCTTACAATAATGAAATGCATTCATCAATAATTGCTATTTATTAGCTTCTATAATCACTCAAACCATTATGACTATTCTAAGCATCATTGCAAGATTATTGCCAATCTGAATTTTCTTTTATTTTTAAATTAACTAAGTCTTAATATATAGCAATTTTGTTATTTAATTCTAGTAATTATTATTATGATTATTGCACATCAGCCCTTAATTCAGCAATTTTTGTACTTAATCTAGTATTTGCAAATTCAAAACGAATTCTAATTTTAAATTATTTATTTACTTAGTCTTTATAAAATCTGCTTCTCTTTGATCATCAGCAATCATTTCTAATTTCTAAACTTAATAAACTTCATCTATCAAATCATCAATTATTCTTATAACTTTTTCTTGACTTGTTCCTTATTAAATTAAAGAAAGAGTTTAATGTATCAAAGTATAAAACATTGATGATTTTTAAATTTAGTTTACTATTATTAATTTCTCAATAATTACAAATATTTTCTTTATGGTTTTTCAATTAAATAAAAGCTGATGGATCTGTTTTAATTGAAGTAATTATTATTTTAGCTTCACTCAATGCTCCAACAATAGATGTTAATTCATCTCTTTTATTTTCAAATTATTATCTTGATTCTTATCTTTATTAAATCAACTTATTAATTCTATCATTATTTCTCTATTCTTCACCTTCTTTATCTTCAGCTTAATGTTTTTTATCTAATTATTTTTATTCTAGTGGACCAACCTATTCTTAAGCTTATGCCAATTTAGTTTATGAATCTGAAATTATTTATGAATTTTAAGAAATGTGACTATCACAAGTTTATAATCTTTCATTTAAAAGTCCAGAATCTTCATCTTAATCATTCTATATTCCCTTTTTTAAGTCTTACAATAAATCTATTGTCTTTCCAAATGAAGCTGGTTCGTCATTTAAAGTTAATTATATTGCTTAAAGCACTGTTTTTCCATATTCATTTTATGATATTTCATATATTGATTTAGTGTCTATAACACTAATTATCAGAAATATCAACACTAATGATGTTGTTCTCATTAAAAACGAATATTAATAATAATAATATTCAATATTATAATGAAAATATTGAATATCGATAAATTATAAAATCAATAAAATAATATAACACAAAAACTTTTATAGGAATTTGCAGATAAGAATTCAATAGAATTTACAGAATTAATTAAATAAAAATATGAGGATAGATAAGTTTTGAAATAAATTATTATTCAATATGAACCTATTGTTAAGTAAATTTATTATTAAAAATCAAAGCAAAATATATGCTGAAGTTTTAGGATTTAAAATGCAACAAATGAAAGACAATTTAGATATTCAAAGTATAAATACAAGAGAATAAGTAATTGCAATGATGATACATATTGAGGAAGTTTTAGAAGAAATAGAAAAACATTTTCAGATTCCTTATAACAAATAATACTTTGAGGAAGCAAGTAATAAATTTTAGATATTATTAGTTTATGAGATTACAATTCCAATAATTGATCAAGATGAGGGAACAAATAATTAAGAGTGTTGGTGTAAGAAATGCACAATCTCATGATTTAAGTTTATTCTCATAATGTATAAATTAATATAAATTAACTATTTATAAAAATTCACTATTTATCTGATACAGAATTATTTTATCGATGTTAAGTAAATTTCTATTATATTTAAAATTAGTTCTAATTAAATTTTAGAGGTGGCTTTGCAATTTATTAAGAATTTTGAATATTTGAACAAGGTGCAAGTATTTTGAATTAATTTTATTAATTCTGATTTTAAAATTAAAGTGGAGCATTTGAATTAGTCATCTAATAATTTGTATTAATAATGGCTGACTAGTTTATTTAAACTGGAGTTTTCAAATCCAAATTTTTCTTAGCGAATTAAAAATTATTGTTAATAAATTATGGTTTTCTGTCAACACTAAATGATCTTTTTTCTTCAATTTCTTTTTTTATTTAATCAATATTAATTCTGTCATTTGGATTTCTTTATAGCATTCGTTTAAGCAAATTCTTGTATTTCAATTCAAGATCTTTTAAGTTATCTATTTTTTGATTTATATCAAGATTCAAAATATTATTATATATTTAAACGACCGTTACACCTTAAAATATAAAAATTAAATCTACCATTAAAAAGAGGAGTGTTAGTAAATAATTCATACATTACAGACCCAAATGCCCAAATATCTATACTTGATGAATATAATTATTGTTATTCATTATTTTATAATTATTCTGGGGCTAAGTAATACGGAGTTCCAACTTATTTAGTTTACAGTTTATCTAATTCTTTAGATGTGCCAAAATCACAAATTTTATAAATCTCTTAAGTTTGACCTTGATCTTATAATTCATAAATAAGTATATTTTCTGGTTTAATGTCTCTATGAGCTAAACCTAATTTATGAAGCTCATATATGCCATTTATTATTTCTTTCATAACATATCTTGCATCTTTTGGTGAGATGGTTTTTTTTTAAATTTGATCATAGAGTGAAACACGACAATATTCCATCACAATATATATTAAATTCTGCTATTCTTCATAATCAAATATATTAACAAGATTTTTAAATTTTCTGCCTAAAAATTACTTTACTAATATTTTTTCAGATTCGGTAATTTTATTTTGAATTTTTATTGCTACTATTTGATTATTGGGAAATTGTTTAGCTTTATAGACTTTACCAAATGAACCTTCTCCTATTCGATCTAATACTTAATAATTTTTTGAATTGATTGTTAATTATGATGGATCAAACATTTTAACAATTTTTTATTATTATTTTTTAAATTAATCAGTTTAAATTTCAAAAAATACTTAATGAACATAATTAAAAATTGATTTTATTTTGAAGAAAGTTTTTAATGGTTAATCATGGAATTTTTAGTTGGCAATCAGAATAAAGTTTTTTTAAACTAAAAATCTACTACAAAAAAATGAAGTTGCCTATTTGATTGTGTTTTAATAAATTAAAACATAAGGAAATATTTTGTGTTAATTGTTTTTTTAGTAAATTGATAAAACAATCAGATAATCATCAAGAACTTTTCAACTAAAACCAAAAAAATTCAAGGAAAATAATCAGAATTCGATGAAATTGATACAAATTGCATCTAAATATTTATATTTTTGATGCTATTTTCAATTGAACTTACCTATTTCATTTTTTTCATTTCATTATATATTATATTTAATTTTAAGAAGTATTATTAATCAGTTAGATAATTTATTTCAAAAAAATTAAATATGAGAAAGAAAATTGAGAAAACAAAAAAAAGTACTTCTTAATCAAATATAAGAACCCTGGACAGATTATGAAGACTCTTAGGTTATGTAGTTAGTTGAATTGTATGGTCCTCATAAATGGACTTTTATTGCCTCCAAATTACCAGGAAGAATTGGTAAATAATGCAGAGAAAGGTAGTTATCTTAATGAAATAATGAAAGATGGCATAATCATTTGAATCCATTGATAAAGAAAACACCTTGGGATCTTGAAGAAGAATGGATTTTATTTCTATATCATAAAGCAATAAGTAATAAATGGGCAGAAATTGCTAAGCATTTAGAAGGCAGAACTGATAATGCTATAAAAAATCATTGGAATTCAGGTATGAAAAAAAGAATTCCAGAATTCAATGAAAAACTTTAGAATATTAAATAATAGTATATACTCAAAGGGTTGTATCTTATAATTTTATGAAGAAAGGGCTTCTTATTTTGATTAGTTTCCCATTGAATTTGAAAAAAAGGCACTTGAGATCATATTTTTAAATAAAACTTATGTTAGTTTATTAACAGATTCAGAAGAAGAAATTGAAGAACCTAAAAGATAGTCTGTCTTCTAAAGTAGAGAAAGTACAACTTTAAGAAAATAAAAATATGTAATTTTTATTATTTTATTAAAGAATGATTCAAAAATAAGGACAATATTGAAGCATCCTAGAAGAAATAGAATGCATAAAAAATATCTTCTTTTCAAAAAGCAACAAAAAGAAAATATCAATTCAAGTAAATAACATCATATGTAATGGACATAAACACCATAAAAATATGAAAAGTAATTAATATTTTAATGATTTTTATTAGTGATGATTATTATTATACACCTGCTGCTTTCAATAAATAAAGAAGATTAAGTCATAGCAGTTATAAATATAGTTAACATTAAAGCTATGTATTTAAACGTTAAAATAATATAGTTGAATGAATCCTTTATGGAAAGAGAGGAACTCAAATAGAATCTATTCATTTGAACAAAATTTTGTGAGAAATCAATTTTTTCATTTCTTTATTTGGAATAAATAAAGAAATTATACAATAATTATATTAAAAAAAAAGTAATAAGGTTTCTTTCCTCTTAAAAATTGATTTGCATCCTGATATTCTAAGTTTAAAAGAATTTAACTTGCCCTGAAATCTATGGTATGAATTCGTAAAGAAAAATTGAATTAGTAAATTAAAATCGGTAAATAACATCATTTATTATGCTTGGAAATCAAACGACATTATATTGAACCAAATGATACTATTAGTGAAATAAAGATTATAGGAGAATCAGAATAATCTCAAAGAAATGAATTACTCAATAAGATGTAAACAACTTAAGAATTTATAATGTATGATATATTTAATTTATATTATTAAATTTTTTCTAAGAAATATGAAAAGCTGTAATTTAATTAAATTCTATTATGATTATGTTGATTGTTCAGTAATGCTTTAGGGTTAATTAGCATAAATATTTAAAATTGATTAACATGAAAAAATACTAAGAAATTTACCTATTATTATATTTATATTCCAAATATCCTGATAATTAAAAAGGAGGATTTGGAATAGATTCTATCATAAAAAAAAAAAGTAATAAAGAATAAGAGATAATAATGATTAAGGTTTCATTAAATTAGCATAATTTATATTTATCCAAATTATTTATTCTAATGCATTTTAAATAGTATTGGAAGAATAATTAGTTTTGTAATTTTCATCTAACAAAAATTTATAGCCAAATTATTTAGTAAAATATGCAAGACAACTATGAATTATTATTTTAATTAGAATGATAAACCTCTTTAATATAAAATAGAAGTATTATATTATTATAATTAAAGGACTAGTATTGAATTGATTGATAAAATCTATAATAAAAAGTCTCTGTTAACTTTTACTTTTTTGAAGTTTCCTCATTTTATAAAGATTAAGTCATTTTAATTTTTATTAAAAATACTTTTATAAATTTGTACCTAACAATAAATTAATATCAAGTATTAATAAAAAATTGTCTCATTAAACTTCGTATCTTGATTCTAAAAATGACATCTTCTTAATTAATTAATAGTTTTAAATTAATAATATAAAGATAAAACGAGATTCTTTTTTAAATAGGACTGAAAGCACATTTATAAATAAAGAAAGAACAAAAAAAAAAGAACTTATATTAAGAAATTGGGGTGATGTTAAATTTAGCTAATTAGATAACAACAAAAAATTAAGATTTAAATTCGGTTAAATAGTTCTTGATTCTAAAGATTTTGAAATTTTCTTGAATAAAGATGGTATATAAAACATGGTGGATAAGACTTTAATTTACTAAAGAATTTGAGAAAAGAAAGATAATTATAAAGAGTCATTTATGAATAGATTTTCGATTAGAATATAGAGTAGATATATCTTTGATAAATTATAAAAATTTAGCAAAGAAAAATAAGTATAATATTTTTTGAATGTTTTTGCTTTAATTCCTCTTGGCGAGTTTGCTGCTACAGAGCCAATTCAGTAATATTATTTCAAAAAAAAGTAAAGAATATTTTATAGATAAAATTTAATAAATAGAAGTAATAGAAAAAGTAAATTGATTAGTGAATAAATATTTTTTTTAAATATAATACAAATGCAAAGCAATCAATAAAACTAAAATATGCAAGCTTTTACAAATGACAATTCATTGCAATTTAACAATCCTAAAGTTAATTTAGTTAATAAAAATTAATAACAAATATTAGCATCACAAGTCTAAAATCATAATAATCCTGTTATTCCATAAGTATTTCACTTTATGGGATAAAATTCTATTTAATAATAATAAATCCGATAAAATATACAATAACAACCTTTTTTTAACATTGAAAATTATGATTTACTCACAATTTCTGGAATTGAGTATAGAAAAATGAGACTATTAGGTAAAGGTACTTTTGGTAGTGTTTATCAGATTTACAATGAATAGAATAATTAATTTTATGCTTTGAAGATATAGTCATCCATTTTGAAAACTGAAGAAGAAATTTTACTAAAGCTAAAAAATAAAATCTTTAAAAATTTAGTAAACACAATAGAATTTGAAAAACATAATGAAACTGGAGAATATTTTGTCCTTATGGAGTTTTGTGAAAAAAGCTTATAAAATGAAATAGATTTAAATCTAATTAATTATTAAGAAGCTAGATATATGATTAAATAAATTGCGAATGGAATTAAGGAACTTCATAATGAGAAAATTATTCACAGAGATTTAAAGCCAGAAAACATACTAGTTTTTTAAAAAATAGACTAAACTACTAAATTGAAATAAAAAATTTATAAAATATGCGATTTTGGTTTATCAAGTGATAGAAATTTAGCAATAACCTAATAATGTGGAACAGCTCACTATATGGCTCCAGAGCAAATTAAGCTTTAAAATTAAGAAGGATATAATGATTCAGTTGATATTTGGGCTTTTGGCACAGTTATTTTTGAAATATTTTCTAGATAAGTCATGTTCATGGAAAAAAACAAATAAGAAATTTACAAATCTATTCTCAATATTAAATAAGAAGAGATAGATAAAAAAATAGAAAATGCTTTATCTATGCTTAACGAAAAATACATTTAACTAGTTAAAGGTATGGTTCGTATTGACCCTTCAAGTCGAATGAAAATTAATGAAATTTTAGAAGTTTTATAAAGATAAGACGTTTTTAAAACAGTTTTAAATGTAAATAAAAAAAATATATTTCAAGAAATAATAAATGAAACAAAGAAGTAATTCAGAAGGAAACATGAGACAAAATAATGATCAACTTTAAAACCAGATATAAAATGAACACTTTTTATAGTAATAATAACATTAGGATTTCATTTCAAAAAAGAATACATTAAAAATTGAAGAGTAAAAGCCAATTTAATAGTTTATATAAATTACTAAAAATCGATAACAATAATAAAACATTTAGAACTCTTAAGAGGTAAACCCCAATTAATATGTTTAATAAAATCATTATAATATTTAGTAATAATAAAACAATTTTAGAACTCAAGAGGAAAAACAAAATTAATATCCTTAATAAATTCATTAAAATATTTAGAAATAATAAAATGTTTTTAGAACTCAGGAGGAAAAAAAAAATTAATAGCCTTAATAAATTCATTAAAATAATTAGCAATAACAAAATGTTTTTAAAATTCAGGAGGAAAAACCAAATTAATAGCCTTAATAAATTCATTAAAATATTTAGCAATAATAAAATGTCTTTAAAACTCAAGAGGAAAAACCAAATTAATTGCCTTAATAAATTCAATTAAAATTATAATAATAAAAAAATGTTTTTAGAACTCAAGAAGAAAAACCAAATTAATAATTTTAATAAATTCACTATAATATTTAGTAATAATAAAACAATTTAAGAAATTAAGATGAAAAACCAAATTAATAGCCTTAATACATTCATTAAAATATTTAGGAATAATAAAATGTTTTTAAAACTCAAGAGGAAAAACCAAATTAATTGCCTTAATAAATTCCTTAAAGTCACTAACAATAATTAAACGTTTATAATTCTCAAGAGGATAAAACAAATTAATAATTTTAATAAATTCATTATAATATTTAGCAATAATAAAGTGTTTTTAAAACTCAAGAGGAAAGACCAAATTAATTGCCTTAATAAATTCCTTAAAGTCACTAACAATAATTAAACGTTTATAATTCTCAAGAGGATAAAACAAATTAATAATTTTAATAAATTCATTATAATATTTAGCAATAATAAAGTGTTTTTAAAACTCAAGAGGAAAGACCAAATTAATTGCCTTAATAAATTCCTTAAAGTCACTAACAATAATTAAACGTTTATAATTCTCAAGAGGATAAAACAAATTAATAATTTTAATAAATTCATTATAATATTTAGCAATAATAAAGTGTTTTTAAAACTCAAGAGGAAAGACCAAATTAATTGCCTTAATAAATTCCTTAAAGTCACTAACAATAATTAAACGTTTATAATTCTCAAGAGGATAAAACAAATTAATAATTTTAATAAATTCATTATAATATTTAGCAATAATAAAGTGTTTTTAAAACTCAAGAGGAAAGACCAAATTAATTGCCTTAATAAATTCCTTAAAGTCACTAACAATAATTAAACGTTTATAATTCTCAAGAGGATAAAACAAATTAATAATTTTAATAAATTCATTATAATATTTAGCAATAATAAAGTGTTTTTAAAACTCAAGAGGAAAGACCAAATTAATTGCCTTAATAAATTCCTTAAAGTCACTAACAATAATTAAACGTTTATAATTCTCAAGAGGATAAAACAAATTAATAATTTTAATAAATTCATTATAATATTTAGCAATAATAAAGTGTTTTTAAAACTCAAGAGGAAAGACCAAATTAATTGCCTTAATAAATTCCTTAAAATCACTAAAAATAATAAAACATTAAGAAATCTTAAGAGGATAAACCTAATTAATAATTTTTATAAATTCATTAAAATATTTAGTAATATTAAAACAATTTTAGAAATTAAGAGGATAAGCCATATTAATAGTTTATATAAAACCAATAAAATTAAATCTAATAATTAAATATTTATAGTTCCGAAGATGAAATGTAAACTAATAAGCTTTTAAAAATTCCATAAAATTAAAGCCCTAATTATTAAAATTCGTAAACTGAAGAGGAAAAACTTTAAAAATAACCTTAATAAATTTCTCATATTTAATAATAATAGTTAAACATTTTAAATTTTTAAGAAGAAAACCAAAATAAATAATTTTAGTAAATCCCTTAAAATTAACTGTTTTAATAAAACACTTTAAATCTTAAAGAGGAAAAACCAAATTAACAATTTTATTAATTTCCTTAAAACCAACTGAATTAATAAAACATTTTTAATACTGAAGCTGAAAAGCATAGTTAATAATTTTAATAGTCTCCTTAAAATATATAACAATAATAAAACATTTAGTAAAACATTTCTAGAACTTATGAGGATAAGATAAATTAATAGTTTTTATTAAACCAATAAAATTAAAAGTAATAATAAAATATTTTAAAAATTGAAACTGAAAAACAAAATGTATAATCTTAAAAATTTCCTTAAAATTAATAACAATAAAACAATTTCAATCTTAAAGATGATAAGCCAAAATAATAAGCATTTCCTAAAAATGATGAACAGATGGCAAATTTATATTTAAACTAAAATAATTCTTAAAATTGCTAAATTAAAGATTTTAAAGAGGATATAACCAATAAAATTTCCCTATAATGTTTTCCGAATTAAAATCCATAGATATGATAATAAAGATAGATTGGTTAATATATAAAATTCAATATTTTTTCTTATAAAATTAGAGATTAATTTATAAGATCTTATTTATATCATAAATATTTACAATTTTTCTGATAATTACTTTATTTTAAAATTTCAAAAAAAATATTATAAATGGTTAAATCAAATAATATGAAAATTATCTATAAAAATTAGATTTATTAAAAAATACTTTCAAAAACAATCATTTGAGTTCGTAATGAGTTAATCAGCTTTGTTTTTTAATTCTTAAAAAATTTCATCTTAACCTTTTTATTAGTTAAACATTTAAATCAATTTATTGGCAAATTACTTATCTTTTATTCTAGTTAATATTCTAACTTTTTTTTAAATTAAAATATCTATATATTTATGATGCGAACTTAAATTTGATAAATCCAGCAATTATTCATGATGGTTTTATATCTAATTCTATTGAATTATATGAAAACTTTAATCTTATTGATTTACATTATCAGGTTTGATTTCAATTTATTAGGACTTCTATTTCGGATTCTATTCTTAAGTAAACTCATCGATTTGTTGACTATTCTATGATTCTAAGGGATTTTCTAGGGTTTCTAAATTCAAAATATGTTTTTACATTTATGATTAGTCTCCATTTATCCTACTTGAGATTCCATTGAAATTTCTCCAAAATTTTATTTTTAGTTTAAAAACTTTTACTTTTTCTCTTTGAATTTTTTGCTATCTAAACTTACGAGTATTTACTCTATTTTTGGCCTTTCCAATGGATTAATGTTTAAACATTTTTCACAAATTTTTTTGATGTTGTCATCCTTAATATTTAAATTTAATTTTTCCTAAATTTAGGGGTTTAAAATCTATTCAAAAATGTTCTTTATTTTTAATCCATAAAATAATTATATTTCCGAGAAAAAATCAAATATTATTACACCAAATGCCCAAATATCAACTGAAGTATCGTAGTTTTTAGATTCATTAGATTAGATTAATTCTGGAGCCATGTAACAAGGTGTGCCTATATTTATCGTATGCATAACATTCTTTTTTGATATTTTCGAAAGACCTAAATCACATATCTTCACCAAGTGTTAATTTTTTTCAATATGAATCAATATATTTTATGGTTTTAGATCTCTGTGAATTATATTAAATTACTAAAGCTCCCAAATACCAAAAGCAATCTTTATTATTAAAAAAATACTTAAAAAATCATATCTTTTATCTAATCTATTTTTAAATTTTTTCTTTGTTATTTTAGAAAACTTGCAAGATCTCCATTATTACAATAATCCATAATAATACAAGAATAATCTATAAAATCACCTTAGTAATTAAATTTTTCGTAGGTTCGAACTATATTATTGAGTTCGTATTTGCTTATTTGTCTTAATAATATTTTGAATAAATATACTCCATTATCTCTTATTCTTTTTCAGAGATTTCATCTTCTAATAACTTAAAAGCATATTCGCATTTATCTTCATCTTTAATTGCAAGATATACAACTCCATTAGCTCCTCTGCCTATTTGCTATTAAATTGTGTAGTTTTTGATTTATTTTTACATTTCTATTAGATAACAAATTAAATAATTAATATATTTGTGAAATAATTTCCTTATTAAGAGAATAGATTTCATAAAAAAAGTTAATTTAGGGTTATATAATATTTAATTAATTTCAAAAACATAAATTTAGGAATCAATTTTTCATAATTTACTTTATAATTTTAATAATTCTAATTGCAAATCATTTGTAATAGAATAATTATTATTTCAACTATATATTTTTTATCAACTTTCAAATGGGGAAAAAGAAATCAATTTAGAGCAGCTGAAAATATATCTGAAAATCATAAAATGGCAAAGTTAAGATAAACTAAAAATGATTTATTTGTTAAATAATTATATAAATTTTAATGTGCAAGGAATAAATATATTTATAATTTTTAAAATTGATTTTTTTCATATTATTATATTATAATTTCTTTCATTTTTTTTTTGGAATTTATAGGTAGACTGACATAGGAATTTTAATTTGTTATCTCAAAGCATTAAGTTCAATAAATTGAGGATGGACTTACATTTATTTAGGAGGCAAAAATTTTTAAAATGGTAAGGTTTTACACCATCCTCTAGGTAGAAATTAATTATGCACAATTTCTAAATTTTAAATTAAATTGTATTTTACTTTCTTATTATTCATATTTATATTAATCATGACAATCTAATTCTACAACACTTAGTTTTCGAGTAGAAGTATTGCTCCTTTTTCCTAAAATAGCAAAATATAATATAAAAATAGATACTTGGAGGTTCAATTACTTTTGTATCTTATGATATCACACTTGTTTTTCTAATATAACCATAAACTGGAGTGTGATTTTAGTGTTATTATTATTGTTCTGTATTCAAAATATTGTTAATAATAGGGGTATTACCACCATTATGACTACTAAGTCTATGAACAGGTGATTAATTAGAAGGAAGTGGTCTTAAAATATTAAATTATGAAGCAGTATTTAAAAATGGTATGGATTACTATGGTTAGATGAGATGTGGTTGAGATTATTACTATTACTAAAATTAAGTTAGAGATGCAAGTTAAATTTTCTTAGGAGATTCAAATTATTTATTCTCAGTAGGATGATTAATTAATTATTTAGGATTATTAGCAGTAGTAGATCTAGATCTCTGTTATAAATCAACTGAACTATTATTTTATTTTTTAGTAGTAATAAATTAAACTATCTTTTTGGTTTTTTTTTTATTTTGATTATTTCTTTTAATAATAATAAGTTTTCNGAGTTCGTATTTGCTTATTTGTCTTAATAATATTTTGAATAAATATACTCCATTATCTCTTATTCTTTTTCAGAGATTTCATCTTCTAATAACTTAAAAGCATATTCGCATTTATCTTCATCTTTAATTGCAAGATATACAACTCCATTAGCTCCTCTGCCTATTTGCTATTAAATTGTGTAGTTTTTGATTTATTTTTACATTTCTATTAGATAACAAATTAAATAATTAATATATTTGTGAAATAATTTCCTTATTAAGAGAATAGATTTCATAAAAAAAGTTAATTTAGGGTTATATAATATTTAATTAATTTCAAAAACATAAATTTAGGAATCAATTTTTCATAATTTACTTTATAATTTTAATAATTCTAATTGCAAATCATTTGTAATAGAATAATTATTATTTCAACTATATATTTTTTATCAACTTTCAAATGGGGAAAAAGAAATCAATTTAGAGCAGCTGAAAATATATCTGAAAATCATAAAATGGCAAAGTTAAGATAAACTAAAAATGATTTATTTGTTAAATAATTATATAAATTTTAATGTGCAAGGAATAAATATATTTATAATTTTTAAAATTGATTTTTTTCATATTATTATATTATAATTTCTTTCATTTTTTTTTTGGAATTTATAGGTAGACTGACATAGGAATTTTAATTTGTTATCTCAAAGCATTAAGTTCAATAAATTGAGGATGGACTTACATTTATTTAGGAGGCAAAAATTTTTAAAATGGTAAGGTTTTACACCATCCTCTAGGTAGAAATTAATTATGCACAATTTCTAAATTTTAAATTAAATTGTATTTTACTTTCTTATTATTCATATTTATATTAATCATGACAATCTAATTCTACAACACTTAGTTTTCGAGTAGAAGTATTGCTCCTTTTTCCTAAAATAGCAAAATATAATATAAAAATAGATACTTGGAGGTTCAATTACTTTTGTATCTTATGATATCACACTTGTTTTTCTAATATAACCATAAACTGGAGTGTGATTTTAGTGTTATTATTATTGTTCTGTATTCAAAATATTGTTAATAATAGGGGTATTACCACCATTATGACTACTAAGTCTATGAACAGGTGATTAATTAGAAGGAAGTGGTCTTAAAATATTAAATTATGAAGCAGTATTTAAAAATGGTATGGATTACTATGGTTAGATGAGATGTGGTTGAGATTATTACTATTACTAAAATTAAGTTAGAGATGCAAGTTAAATTTTCTTAGGAGATTCAAATTATTTATTCTCAGTAGGATGATTAATTAATTATTTAGGATTATTAGCAGTAGTAGATCTAGATCTCTGTTATAAATCAACTGAACTATTATTTTATTTTTTAGTAGTAATAAATTAAACTATCTTTTTGGTTTTTTTTTTATTTTGATTATTTCTTTTAATAATAATAAGTTTTCCGCTATTAGATTCAGTATAATCTTAAACATCTTAAATGCTTTATTAGGAAACAGATCGTTAAGAGCCTTCAGTTTATTAATTATTATTAATAGAATTATATTAATTAAGGATATTTTCATCTACAATTTAACTATTGCAAGGTTAATCGATATAAGAATCATGTTAATTTCGAGATGGATCAATTAATCTTTTAAGTATGCTTTAATATTTAGGTGTTTCAACTCTGTGATTATGATTATGTTATCTTGATTTAATTTATGCATGTTCAGCCATCATTTCTTTAACATAAGATTTATCTAATAGACTTTATGATTATTATTATTATTAATGAGCATATGATATTTTATTACACTATTATAAATAATAATATAAATATATACTTATTCTAAATAAGTTGTATCAATTTTTTAAGTATTAACACATCTCCAATAATCTTTAGACATCATTCTAATTACCATTAAAGCTTTAATGATTCTGGTAACTCTCTCTCTCATAGAAAAAGACTTATACATTTCAGGTAGAGAGAGTGGTATTGGATCATTAATCTTACCTGTAATCCATGGATGATGTAAAATTTAATGTGCATTATATCTGTGCATAGGATCTTCTGCCACACATTTCAAGAAAAGATTCTTAGCTAATTAATCAAAACCATCAGGGAAATACCATTATGGATCTTATAAATGTTCATAAAGTTTTTGTCTATATTCATCAGCTGTTTATCCTTATACATATAATGGATGTTTTCCACCTGTACATACCATATATAATATAATTCCACAACTCCAAATATCGACTGGCTATTTATTGATTCAAATTACTATTACTTTAGAATAATGTTTATTTGTAAAGAATTCTGGAGCCATATAAATTAATGTACCACATTAACCACTAATGAGAAGCTAAGATCTTGTAGACAATCCAAAATCCACTATTTTCAAAGTTGTCATATCGTTAGGATCTTCCAACAAAAGGTTCTCTAGTATACATACAATCCTCACCTCAGGTTTAATGTCTCTATGAACTACACCTCTCTCATGTATAAATGCTACTGTCTTGAATAGTGTTTCCATTAATTATCTCTTCTATTCATAACTCAATTCAAGTTTATCTGTAAATAACCTTTTTAATTGACCATATTTCACTAAAGCCATCTCTATCAACAATCTTGTATCTGTCTCATGTACTCTCTTAAACTAAACTATATTCCCATGCTTCATTTCACTTAAAATACTAGCTTCTGCTAATATTTCAGAATAACTTTTTCTACATTCCCTTTTTGGCACTATTTTTACTGCTACTCTTTCACCTTTTATATTCTTTGCCTATACTACTTTACCAAATCCACCTGAACCCAAAAATTACTCAAATTCATAAAAATCACTAAATTTATTTGCTACATCTCCACTATCAAGTTCATTCATTTAAAATTAATTATATATTCAAATATTTCATTTATCAACTCCTTTCTAAATCTTCCATTATAATTCAATCTTTTACATCCAGCTAATATACCACTATACATTAATTTCCTTTTTTATTTTTAATACTCCTTTGTTATTCTCCCAAAATATTACTCTTTTGAATTCTATTCATCCTCTTATAATATTAAATTTTAAAAATTGTTGATATTTATAAATTTTACTGGATTACTATATATTAATGTTACAACATCCTAATAATTATAATTCAAATTATCCTCATTAGTCTCTAATAAAGTAATATAATTTAAATAAGGATTATATATTGATGTTATTATTTGATAATTAAAAGTATATATATCTAAAACATTTACTATTTTATTATTTCTTATATTTAATTCCAAAATATTCAAATTTGTTAACTATTAAAATGATCTATATATTTTATTCAATAAAATATCATTTATCACTAATTTATCATTTTATAAATCTAGCTAATATTGATAATAGAAAATACTTATAATTTGACTAATTTTTGTAATTCACTTATTTAATTGAATAAAAAATAGTAACTAACTGGTTTTAAAATCATTTAATTTTGAATGATAAATTAAAGCTATTTGATCTCCTTAAAATCAACTATTGTTTTTAATAATATGTCCAAATTAGGTTCATCACATTGAATTCTATCAAAATTTATAATCATTTTTTTTAATGATTTCCTTAGCTACCATTCTTTTGACAAAAAGTCAAACAATTTACCAAAATTAATAAATTTTTTATCTTCACTATCTACTGTCTCTATAAATTGTAATTAAACAATTTAAGGATTAATTTTCCAAGAAAGATTTATACAAATTAGTTATTCCTTTTCTTTATAAATCTCTAAAAATATTTATTTAAAATACTTGTTATTATTCTCATTTATTTATAATCATTTGTCGTCCTATCACAAGTTGGATTATTCTGAATAACAAATTCCTATGTATTCAACCCTCTTATCTACTCCAAAAAAAGGTTTAATAAATAACTTTATTTCCATTTTGTATTATCTAAATCTACATTAGTTCCATATAAACGTAGATTATTTAATGTTATACTGAGTTAAGAATTTATCAATTTGCTATACCCTTCATTATTTGTTTATATAAATCTGCTATCTAGTATTCTAAGATTTGGAAAATTTTAAGCATTCAATCCCATTTCATCCAAATTATTTATTTTATTACACCATTAAATAACAAATGTTTCTAATAATGGCCATTTTATTTTAGATAAATAATAAATACCCTAATTATCAATTTTAGTATGACTTAAATCTAAATACTTAATTATTTAGTCTCCTTGAAATAAATATTCTAAAGAACAAGATGTCATTGATTAACAATTTAAAGTCAAAATCGAGAGTTTCTTAAAACATGCTGATAGACCTCCCTTTTTTTATAATAATTCAAATTTAGAATCTGGGATATCAATACTAACCAATTTTAATTCTACTAAACCACTCAAATCAAATTTCACTAAGTTTTTAATAATTTTTGGATGAGGATTTTTAATATTTTCTAAAGCTATTTTTCTTAAATTTTTGTTATTGTATCTCAAAGATTGTTTAAAATCTTTATAATCTATTAAATTTGAGTAAAAAATATCATTCTAACATTTTGATATATAAATTACTAAATTGTGCAATGATTTCGTATTTTAAACACCCTATTAATTTTGATTTTTCACACTATATTTCATTTATTTTTCCTCATCTTCTTTTTGAGATTGTCCTGATAGAATTGAATCAAATAAACTTATCTATCTAGTTTCTGTCGTTCTTCTCATTTTATAATATTTTTTTAATAAATTAATAATAATATTTTTTTGTTAACAGAACTTAAATAATAGATTTATTTAAGTAATAAAAAAATAAACTTTTACCTAGTTGATTTTAATAACAATATTATTCTAGCAATAATCTTATTTATATCTAAACAATATTGGCTTTGTTTAGATGAATAATTTAAGAAAATCAATTAAAAATATATAATTATAGATAAGAAGTAGGAATTCAAAATTGCTAATATACTGAAATTCTAGTAATTCAGAGATTAGTTTTTCAAAAAATTTCGGATAAAACTTAATTAATTTATAAGTAATTAAAAATTTAATTATATTTATGTAGACAGCATTAGTATATTATCGAACTTTATTTTAATGAAGAGCATTTTTTTTGAAAAGAGGGGAAAGATTATTAATTTTTTAAATCTCGATATATCAGTAAAGTGAGTTTTTATTTGAAAATAAATATAAATTCAAGAGAAATTGATAAAGCAATTTAGTTTACATGTAAAAGAAAATTTATTACTATATTAAGGACATATTGAGTGATTGAATAATTATTAAAAAGTGTGAAACTTTTAAGAAAAATATTGATAAAATGCAGATAAGGAGAGATTTAAAATCAGATAAAAAAATTGATATAAAATTAGAAATTAAAGATGATAAATGATTATCTCTTTGATTCTTTTACAAGAAATAATTAAAATCTGACTAAAATAATACTCTGTCATCAGTTAGCATAGTTGAGAAAGAAAAATATTTCAAAAATAGTTTAATAATTTATAAAAAAGCAAGGATATAGTGAAGCATTTCTTAATGATAATTTATTAAACAATATTTTGGAGATAGTATTGATAATTGTGTATAAGATTTTGGAATTAAATTATAAATAATTTATATTTAATATTCTTATGACAACGTAAATAAAAAAGCTATCGAAATTAGATCATACAGTACCAATATTTTCACCTCGCTCAACTTATAAACAGATTTTACATGTAGATGAAACATTATTAGCTGATTTAACTCTTAATTTTGATCCATTTACGATTAATGTTTTGAGAACTGAATTTTTAATGAGACAGGGATCAATGGAAGTCACAGAATTCATTTTGGTTGTGAAGGAGCATTTATTAAGTTGGCAATTAGAAATATCAAACAGAGATATAAAATTGATTAGGTAATTTATATAATAATAAGATAGATAACTGGTGAATCTATTTGAAGAGATTGATTTAAATGGTAATGGAAAATTGGAATGGGAAGAATTTACTAATTATATAATAGAAAAAGCAACTGTATTAAATAATATTAAGTCTAAATAAGATGAAATAAAGCTTTATACAAAATCAAATATGAAACCATTTAAGAAATTCACTCAAATAATTACTAGAGTAATTTACATAAAGGAAATAGATAAAATAGCATTTTTTGAAGAAGGAAGTGATGAAATTCAATTTATGACACCTGATGGTGGATTTGGATTGAAACCTTTAAAAATTGTTCCAATAAGTGATAAAGTTGTGACAACCCAAGCAAAAAAAGATAAGGATAAACAAAATGTATATAAAACTAATTAAGAATTAGTTTATCATAGTCAAGAAAGAAGATACTATCGAAAAAAAAACAAAAATTTTGACAATGTTATATATTGATGATCCAAAGTATTAAGTATTGTTGACATCAACTCATGATGGTTATGTTAGAGGTTGGAGATATTAATCTTCAGGATTTGTTTTAGCAAATTAACCTGATAATGATGAAGAGATGATTGAACATCATTTTAATAATGACATATATAGTATGACTTGGGATGGGATTAATGAAATTTTATATTGTGGATAGAAAGAAGGTTAAATTAATATTTGGAATTTAAAAACTGATACAGAAACATAATTATAAAGTGAAGCTGGTCATACTGATGTAGTCATGGATATGATAGCTATGCCAAAATTATAATTTATGGCATCAGCTAGTTTAGATGGTAATCTAATTTTATGGAATACTTTATATAATAAGAGAGAACGTACATATAAAGAACATACAAGAGGAATTGTGTCATTAGCATTTAATGAAAGTTTAATCTTATTATTTTCTGCTGGTTTTGATCACAATTTGTGTGTTTGGAATCCATATATAGAAAGCTTAATATTTAAAATCCAAGGTCATAGTAGTCCAGTTATTGGAGTAGTAGTAATAGAAGGAACTTCATAGATAGTTTCTTTAGATTAAGAAGGTAGTGTAAAAGTTTGGGATACAAAAAAATTTAATTGTGTTTAATAATTTAGTGTAGAGACTTAAGATGAAAAACATAAATTTAATCCTTCTAGTCTATGTTACATACCTAAACCTTTAAAACTAATATTTGGAGGTAGATCAATATATTCTTATGAATATGACAAAAATTATAATCCTAATTCAGTAGATGATTATGTTGCTGTATGTTGTAAGTTTATTGAAAATTAGATGGCCTTCTTTACACCAGCAGGAACTAAAATAAAAATATGGAATGCTTTAACAGGAGATGTTAAGAAAATTTATAGTGATATTACTACAACAGAAATTACAGCATTTAAATTAGATAATTTAGATAAAAGATTTATAATAGGAGATAGTAGTGGAACTGTTGCATTATTTAATGTAATAAATGGTGCAAAAATAAAAAATTTACCAAAACATTCTGGTGAAGTTGTTGCTATTGTTCATGCATCAGATATTGGAGCATTCTTTACAGGATCTATGGATAATAATGTATTTATGACTTTAGATAATGAATTTGGAGAAAGTGAATTATTGCGTACTTTTATTATTTAAGATGGTTAATTAACATATTTAAGCTATGACCCAGCAATGAAACATCTATTAGCTGGAACTAATTCTGGTTAAATTAGATTTTATGAAACTGATACTAATAAATTACATGGTGTAGCTAATGAATTTAAATAAGGAGAAGAAATCACATCTATTAATTTAATTAAAGGAATTCCATTTCTTTTTGTTACTAATAGTCAAGGAAGAATTTCAATTATGTCTATGCCCCCTGTTTTACACAGATTTGTCAAAATATATACTTTTACAAATATAGATCCTGAAATTCCAAGTTAATTATTAGGAATATCTAATGCAGTTTTCAGTTAAGAAAAAAAAGTACTCTTTTTAAGTGATGATAAAGGATTTATTAAATGCTTTGAAGTTGATTGGCTTGTAGATTTTTTAATTAATGTAGTCAATGAAAAAGATAAAGAGGATGCTGCTACTAAAAGAATGAAAGGAATTAAAACTGGATCTACTTAAAATGCAAGATAAATGTTAGCATTACCTAAAGTACCTTAAAAAGAAGTTAAAATGAAATGGATTACTAGAGCCCATTATGAAGTTATTAAATCTTTAGAATATGTAGAAAAAGAAAATTTTCTAATTACAACCGCTTTTGATAAAAAAGTTAAATTATGGGATGCTGAAACAGGTAAATTTATTGATTCATTTTAATAAAATTATGATCGTAAAGAACCTAGACCCATTGCTCTTAAAAGAAGTGGAACTGAAGAAATATATAATTCTGATCTAAATGAAAGAATTGATCTCAAATACACTTAATTATTATTATAATTATAATAAGATGAATAAAATGGATAAATACCTTAAATCTAAGTTTTAGACGAAAAAATTTCAGATCCTCTTGGATTAACTAAATCTCCTTAAGAAGAATTTAATCCTTTCTTTTATTTAGAAAAAATAGATTAATCTAAATTGACTACTTTAAAGAGTAATCCTGAATGGAAATTAGAAATAGGATTCAAAGAATATTATGAAAAATACGAATAAAAAATTAAGACTTTATTTGATTAGGTCAAAGTTAAAGAAAAAGAAGTACATGAAAAATAAGTTAAATAAGGAATTCATAATAGGCATTTTAAAGTTTAAAACTATTCGACCGATGATGCAAAATAATTTGATTCTAATCATAAACCAATATTAAAAGATGACGAAGGAAATAATAATCATTCTCATTAATAAGGCTAATAGTAATTCAATTAAAAACTGAAACCAGAATAAGTACTGTAAAAACACAAAGTTTAATAAAAAGATTAACATTAAATGGCATAAGGAGGAAACCAATAAATTAATTTTGATAGTATAACTAATTAAGGGGAAATTGTTAAAGAACTAAAATAACAATAGTAAGATTTACAGGAAAACTTGAAACATGGAATCAAAGTAAGTATTTCAACTCCTTAAATTAAATCTATTTAAGTTCCTCCACTTGCAAAGGCTGGCACCCAGAAAAAGTCTAAAAAAGTTGATCCTCAATTATTTGAAAAATTGTATAGATAAAATTTGAGAAGCAAAGTACTCTTTAACTCAGATCCTGACGTCTTTTTATCAGAAGTAAGTTATTATATTTAATTTTTAAGGCTGAATGTAATGCTGCATACAAATTGGCTGCTGCATTAGCAAATTATGATATTACAGATGAAAGATCATTAAAGTTCGCAGAAATCAAATGCAGATCAAAAGTCAAATTGCCAAGATTATAATGAACATATCAATTTACATAATAAGTTAACTTTATATTA